GCCTCTACAAATGCAGTGTGTTTTGCCAAGATGTTTGCGCCTCATAAACTGTCCGCATGTGCGTTTCGCCATAGCTCGGTGTTTGCTGAATGGTGTAAATTAACCGAAAAGAAATAAGGCCAACACCTTGTCGGCACATCGTCATTTGTTTCGGGTGTCGTGCTGTGCCTGCACCCGAAACTCCCGCTGCACAATTTCTGAACTTCGCGTGCAAAGCCATGAACCGGTTCCGACCGGAGCAGGTGAATCGAACGGACCTTACACCAATCAGAACCGGTTCACGGCTGTGTACGCAAAAGTTTGAAAATTGTGCAATGCGAGTTCAGTGGTGCAGGCGCAGTGCGACAGCCGAAACGAATGGCGATGTGCCGACAAAGTGCAGGCCTTATTTCTGTTCGCTTAGTACCGTTCATCTAACACTGACCGACGACAAATCGCACATGCGTACAGTTTTTGAGGCGCAAACATTTTGGCAAAACACACCGCGTTAGTGGATGCAGGTGCGGCGCCTACACCAAAGTGCTGCGTCGTCTGCCCAGCTGCGCACGCGTAGGAGGTGCAGAAAATTCGTGAACCAGCGCTGCACCTCTTGATACAAATGGCAGGGTTCAAAGGTTGTCAATGTCAACCGCTGAAATGAATGGCAAAGTGCAGCATCTCGTGAAATTGTTTATGTGGTGCAGGCGAATCAAACGGACCTGATGGTCAGCGTACGATGTGCAGGCACGGCCGGTCTAGACTGCACCTGCGCGGGCTTTTTTCCAGGTGCAGTATAGCCTGGCCGTGGTGCAGAAAAACCAGCGCTGCACCTCTTCTGCACCTTTCGAAACGAATGACAAGGTTCAGAGGTTGTCAGGGCCGCACCACTGAAACGAATGACATGGTGCAGCACCTCGTGAACAGTCCATGTGGTGCCGGCGAATCGAACGGATTTGTAGTAACAGCTCGCGCGCCGGATTCAAATCAGTGCCAATGCAATCAGTGCCAATTCAAGTGCCAATGGTGTCGCCGCAATAACCTGTGGACTGTGCTAAATAAGCGTAGAGGTAATCACGTCAGCCTTCGTACTTCCGTACCTCAGCCTGGTGTCTTTTTTCTCCTGCATCACGGAGAATGAATGCGACATCGCATTAGCTGTTTCGTTCGAGTGCCGATGCCGTACCCCGAGAGTGCTCCGAGCACATTTGGTGACCTATAAAACTGGTAGGTGTTCTGTGATAAGAGTTATCGCATTCAGGACGCGCAGATTATATGGTTTGAGAGAAGCGAGATCATTTAAACCGTTTGAACACGCGAGATATGCCGCTTCACGACAGATCAGGAGGCAAGCAGCGAGAGCACGCCTCAAGATTGGTCATGCAAATCGTCAAGTGATTAAAGTGAAGCGACCACATACCACATGTTTTCCCTTGTTGAACGAGTCAATCAGCCCGCCAAGGATCGAGTCATCATCTTGGAGTACGACGTCGCCGCACGAACGGCACCCGCTGCGTGCCGCCTGTCAGAATGGGGCCCACAGAACACCGTCTGTGCCACGTTGATCAACCAAAATCGATAGCAGTGACGGTGTGGCGAGATCTTCGCAGCCTTTGGCGTCGAATGCCGCGAAGTCAGTGAACATCGTTCTTGAATGAGCATTTACATCGAGCAGCTCATTGGTCGACTTGACCGCGCCTAGGTGAAAGAAAGGCGGCACTGACCCGTATGATCTGATATTGCGATCGAAAACGACAGCCCGTCACGCTGGAAGCGCTAGTGTCAGCACTCCGCTAGAAAATTCGCAAATCACGTTTCTGGACGATCGATACGTCGGGAACGGGGGGGGGGGGGGGCAAAAAAGTCAAGTCAGCGCGTTATGACCTGGCGCACATTCCCTCTCTCTCTTTTAATGCGAATCATTGCTTTGCGTACTGCAGACACTTTGAGCGTTCCTATCTACGTATCTGTCTTATCTAGCCGCCCAATTCTGGATGATCTCGTGATCCCCTCCTTAATCTAGAGTTGACCAACAAGATTTTTTATGGGAGGGCAAATGGGTTTGACGAGTGTCTGGCTAATCATGCCATGAATAGCGATAAAATCCCGTCACCCGTCACGTACGTCGCCAGACGCTTTTCTCCAGACACGTGTGGAACTTACCAGTACACCACGGGCCTCGGCATGCGGGTATGCATTGTGGGGCAGTTTATATCTACCGAGGAACTGCAAGAAGACTTTGACCGAGAAATTAAATACGAGAACGTTAAGAACGACCGATCGGCAGCATAGACCCGATTAATGCAAATATATGAACTAGTCCCAGCAGGAATCGCGTAGCAATTAGATATAACATTCTTACTACAGGGCCACACCAGGTATGTTGGCGACACGTCAGTAGCAGAACTGCCGCCCATCTTTTATAAACACTACATATGTACTCCAACGATATAGTCGTCGCTTCGGGTTAGCGTCAATGGTACTTAAGCGCAATCCACTGAAGTTGATCTACCTAGCACGTACTATTCAGGGCTACCATCTTCGCAAGCAGTAGCGCTGCATTTCAAATTACCGCTTCTGGTGTTGGTATGGCAGTTACCCAACTGTGGACAACAGGTTGTTCACATATGCGACTGTTCAAGATATACGTCTGTTTGTATGGCATTTGTATGTATGTTTGCAGTCATTTCATAACATTTCACTAAACAAAATAATTGCGCCACAGTCTCCTTTCGAACACTGCGTGCTTCGCATGACGTCGATACCCACGGTACGTGGAATCTGCCCACTTTTGTTTTTCTTCGAACGCTTCAGCTCACTGTTACTGAAGGCCCGACCACATGTACCCGTTGCAGCGCGTTGACGCAGCGCCACATCCTCTTCCTATGAAGAGAGCGGTACATCCCACACGCCGTGCGCGTGGTCAGACTTTGAGTTCATGAGTGCGTTAGTGCCGCAGGAACGCGGCGGCCGCCGCAAGTATGGAACACAACGCTTAAACCGGTCAACGGTTATAGTCGCTCCAGTGGCAATCTTTGCCAAGATGAGAGCGATTTTTAAATTTCTCCAAAAGTTAAGTTCCCTGCCACATGCAGTGCTACAATGTTCGGCTCACATGTTCTCAAGAGCCTCGATTGTTTGATTGATATGTGAGGTTTAACATCCCAAAACCACCATATGATTATGAGAGACGCTGTAGTGGAGGGCTCCGTAAATTTCGACCACCTGGGGTTGTTTAACGTGCACCCAAATCTGAGCACATCGGCCTACAACGTTTCCGCCTCCGTCGGAAATGCAGTTGCCGCAAAGCCTCGATTGTCAGCCAGCATTGTTCTCTGATAACGTTCAACAATCCTTGCAGGGCCCCTCATGTGAAACGGGTCCTCTGGTACTGTCTCTATGTACAGGGGGCACCGGGAAAAAAAATGCAAACAGCCAGGCACACTGTTTTCATCACACTCCGTCACGGTGGCAAAACAAAAACATGCTAGATGACATCGTGAGTTATGCGCTAAAAAGAAAAAAGCGAACACATGTAGAAGACAAGTTTGACGCTACAAGCAACTGTTTTGTTGCAGAGATTGCAATGAAATATATAGCATAGTGGTGTGCAAAGTGGTGTGCCTATCAAGGCGACACCACTTATCAGGCTAAGGACATGCGACATTTAAAAGCCTAATCTCGCTCTTGCACAGGCAGATGGACGTGTCACTAACGCAGCTCCTTTTTTCTTGATATGAGAAGCTAGATTTCATGGATGACTCAAGTGGCTACTTATTGCCATCTAAATTAAACTGCTTGAAAGTAAATGCAAATCAGCATAACGTAAATGCCGCATGATCACGTTTCTTTCCATCCCCACTGTACCTGCAGCAGCACTCGGTGGTTCATTGCAATGCTGGATTGCCATCCCACCATTCGAAGCTGTGTTGACGATGCAAGCCAGAACGCCAACAATGGCACATGAGCACAAGAACATTCGGTTGTGAACCCCTCAACTACCTGAATGACATGTTTCTACATGCCTAAACCTAATGGCATATTACTTGACAATGTTGATGGCAGTTACTTCTGAAAGAGAGCAGTCTAGCATAAGGATAAAATAACATTATTCTCAACAAGTCTAATCTGCATTCAAGGCTGGTGAAATGTAGAAATAAGCACACAATACTACCATTAGCTTGAGCTTGTCGCTACTATTTACAATATTGCACCTGACCATTGGAACTTCAGCTATTGCATAATGAATCGCGAAGCCCAGACGCAACGTGGGATTTGTCCATGACAAAGTCATTGCAATTTCGAGTTAAATTTCACTGTAGCAAGGCCACATACTAGCATGAGATTTGTTAAATGTCATGTATAAAGCACTGTTTATGAGATAGACATTTCACAAGTTTTGTGCACACTGCAATGAACAAGCTTTGACATAGAGAGTACACATTTCCCAGTTTCACGAGTTCTGGCTAAGGCATTAAGTCGCAAATGAAATTCGGACAAATGCCATTTAATTTGCCCATGTGGCAATGTACAAAAAGCATTAAATGTTAAGCCATAAAGAAGGAAAAGCCATTTCCTGTGCAGCCAGAACATACATCTAAACACATGCCCCGCCACGGTGGTCTAGTGGCTAAGGTACTCGGCTGCTGACCCGCAGGTCACGGGTTCGAATCCTGGCTGTGGTGGCTGCATTTCCGATGGAGGCGGAAATGTTGTAGGCCCGTGTACTCAGATTTGGGTGCACGTTAAAGAACCCCAGGTGGTCGAAATTTCCGGAGCCCTCCACTACGGCATCTCTCATAATCATATGGTGGTTTTGGGACGTTAAACCCCACACATCAGATCACATATTTAAAACACATGCGAATTACAAGTCCAGAACAAAGCAATAGCAGTATATTCTGGACGAAGTCGTCGGACAATATCTTTCTGCATATGAGAAGAACTAGCTCATGTTATCTTCCGATGGTAACTTTCAAATGTAAAGCTTAAAAAAGAATCCTGAGGATGAACAAATACTGTAGTAAGCTTTCAAAAGCACCAAGTAATGTGGCCTTTTTATTAAGCACAGACTATGTACATCTTAGTATACCTTATTGGGCAATGTAACAGTGTAAACCCTATGTATTTATATGACAAAGGAAGCCACAGTAACAAAAAAGAAAACATACAGGAAAAGGTACTCACATTTTGACACACACACACACATTCACAAAATAGAAAGGCTGTTGACTCGCATGGCAATCACAGTACATTATGCTCTGATGAAGAAAAAAGCATAAACACAATTTTTTCTGCACTTTTTTTTTTGAACAACTCTTAAAACTCTTTTCTTTTTCAGTAACCTTTGTACACTTCTGTTGTTTACTGCACCAAGTAACAAACATTTTCAATAGTTTTTGAAGCCACAATACATTGTCCCTTCTCATTTGTACTCCAACGCCCAAGTGCTGTAGCAATATCTAAACTTGGTCTAAAGATTCAGCAAACGAATGCATTTTTTCGAAGCACGTTTTCGCAGCTGCTCGATGCCATGCAGTTTCTTCTGATGTGCATCTCTGTGTGCATCAACAAGAAATGGAGACACCCCGCAACTACTAAAAATGTGGTGAACACTCCAATGTCTGATGTGCCTTCAATCTGCACTGGAACCAGAATTACAAATGCCTTGCTGTATTGCGCAGTAGACGTATTCAAATTTGCAATGGTACTATTCAGTTATCTACAGCTGCGTTGAAAGCTAACTCTGACAACATTGTTTTGCATTGCATCAAAAGCATGGTTATGGGCTGCATGAGAGTATTACACTTGAAATGTGCACGCTTTATGAAGCATTCACAGAGATGGCATATTTGATGCAAAAATACTTGTATATTCAAAAAGAAAAGAGAGAACAGCCTTTATATTTATAGCTAGCTGAAAATGATGCAGAACTCAAAAGAATGAATAACCATAACTCCCTAAGCATGAGCTCCGAGATCTGGCAGCAACCGCGACGACGCACAACAGATCTCGAAGGCCATGGCACAGAATTAACACAGGGAATGTCACTGAGAATGTGCATGCACCCTGCGCTTGGGTGCTTTTTAAAACCAGTCACAGGAAAATTTCACAATTAAAGACCTGCAACTTTGCCAAAACTACTGCATGCAATCAAATAGTGAATTGGTTCTCATTTATAACTCATTGAGCCAAAGCAATATAGTGTGGCGGTTGGCCTGTAACATCATATCTGATCGCTAAGTGACAAGACAACAAATATAGCCTAAAAACTTGCCAATTTGCCTTCTGTGTCAGTATCTACAGTCAGCACACACGACTCAAAAAAATGCGTGCACACCAACTTCCGGCAAGAGTTGTTCAGCGAGTAAACACGTCGAAGTACACATTCACTTACAGATCCTAGAAACTTGGGGAGGGGGGAAAATGGGAGCGGGGCACATAAGGAAATCAGAGTAAGATTTAGCAATGCTAGTCAATAGCATTTCTTTAAATGGGTACAGCGCAATACCTCTGAAGAAGGGCTTGTCAAATGGTCCCAAGAGTGTTGCAAGATCCTCTTTCATGGTGGCCTTTTGTTTTTTTGCACGAACAAGGTATAGCGTTCCTTTTACAGGCCAAGCATGCTCAAAAGCATCCAAATGTACAGAACAGATACACAAACAACAACAGAACAGAAATGCAAGCTTGAACATGCTTCATTTTCCATAACTGAAATGCTCATTCAAAAGTGATGACCATGGGACAGACAGCCAAGGCCGTATTTTAACTTGGAACCGTAAAGCATCATAGGACTAAAGTTTTTTAGACATTCACAATTGTCAAATGCAACCTATGTTTAAGCTTTGCCATTGCATGCATAAATCTTCCAGACAGAAAACACTCAGCCTTTTGCCAGCTGGGCCAGTTACCTAACCTATTTTACTTAATGATGCAAGTACCCAAGGCAGGAAGATTCGCAAGGCTTACCATTGGAATGGCAAGTGAGATGGACATAGCCAAATGCCCTGGCTGTTATGTCGAATTTAATATGTCTGAGAAGCAACAGTGGATGGCTTTGGAGATACCGATATAAATGACATGTTAGCAATCATGGCAACAACCAACTCGCATGACTGTAGCTCATTTATTATGCTCATTCAAAAATAAGCACTCCCCTCACTATTTTGTGTATCTCAAGAATCATTTGTGGAAGGCTGGCAGAAGATAAGGTTGCACCTCAAGCCAACTTGCAAAATAATTTAGTTTGCCGATAAGCACAAATGCTCTGGCGTGCAGTAAGAATATTCCAGTAATACACTCAAACCCCGATATAATGAGTGCTGATATAACGAAATATCGATTATAACAAATTAAATAAAAAATAGTCTCGCAATAGATTTAGTGTTAAGAATAAACCTTTAAAACAAATTTTCGGATATAACGAAGTTAATTTCATGTAATATGCAAGTTTGTTATAATGAGGTTTACGTGTCGTTAAGTCACACCGAAGTACCACGAAGCTGTGTCAAAACGTTTTACATGCATGACGCCGGGGATTTGGGACTTGACAGCTTTGACAATGGTAATTTTACAAACGTGCCAACTTACACAGAAAGCATGCCAGGTTGCTGCACATACTAGAAGCACTTACCCAGTGAATACTGCTATACAACTTCAACTGCCTATCGACAGCACACACTTGTAATGTTTGCAGTACAGACATCATGTGACAATTCATTGTAATCGAGGTAAATGAGCTATTGGTGGACACTACATTCTAAGCCACAGCACAAACTACAGAGTGCCAGCAACAGGTGCGAAACATCCAGCAATGCGCAACTCTTTCGCTGGTTACAGTTCGACAGAATACATGTTGTCTCGTCAGATACAAAACTGTAAGCACAGATAACGTGCAACAAAATCACAGAAGCGATTATATAGACCGATGCATCCTCACAAAAAATGTGTAACATAAATCTCTTGAGCAATTAAAAACTGCAAAAATAATAAAAGATATGGAATGTCCCAACACAAATATCTATGAGAGCAAACAACATATAATGATTATGTCAGCATGAGCACTAGGCCAAAGAGGCCTTTTAAAAAAATATTCGGCACAAAGGTATAGTAAAGACACGTCCTTGGTGTCTATCAAATGGAACTACAATACAATAAGAAATGATAAAAAAAAGCTGGTGCACAGATATTTACATGGAACTAAAATGTGTCGTAGGCGCTTGAATATTGCTCATGAAAGTGTGCAAGACCTCAGTCTGAGCCGCTGATATTAGGAATACCAAGTAAATGTGCAATGAAGTGCTACATCGCACAGGAGTGTTCGAGTTGAAAGCTGAAAGTGATGATAAGTCACTGGCCAATATCAAACAGTTGAAACATCATGCATCTTTCGAAGTGTGTGAATTATGAAGGATGTATTGCACCACCGCCACCACCAAGCATCGAAAAGCCTCCGAAACAAATAAATGCGCCTCAATAGGAAGGACTTGTGAAAAACCATGTTTCATGCATATCACAGCTATTAAAACAATTCAGTGGTGTTAAAACATAAAAAAATTGATAAACTCCCGAAGTGTGCAGAATCCCGGCAAAAACATCTTGGAAATGATCCTACGTCATTGTATTCACAGAAAGACGGCCGGAGATTAACTAATGTCAGATCAACGCATTTCAAGAGGGTACCGCGTGAGAATTCGTGCTGTTAGTTTAAGTGAAGGCATACCACTGTCTAAGCACTGCAGCAGTACTATTGCGTGTGACCACGTTAACTAGCGTTACCGAGTGGTTACGATTCATTCACTGCTCAACACTTGTCTATCACGATCAAGCAACATTTGTGCCATAGCACATTCTACGGGAAGAGTCTAAACATCAGGTAACTTCCTATCGGAACGCGTCACGTGACATTCTGCAAGCAAATTCCAGAATTTATGAATCAGTTAAAAGTAAGTGCTTTTTTTCTGGAAGGGGGCATGCCAATGTTTTCTTGCAAAACTAGCTCTGCTCGAATGAAGTGCCCAGAAGCACAATACTTTTAAACGTAGTACACACAAAAATAATTCCCACTTTGCAGTCATAATCACAATTATCAGTTTGCTCAAGCTATTCCTGTTTATGCCGGAACATTTCCCAGCATTCAGGTAGCACAAAAACTTGCATGTGCCATTCTTCGATCTGAACTTTCAGCAACAGCTGGAAAATGAACGAGTTCACCGACGATATTTACACGTAAGCACACTCCCGCGACGAGAAGTGCCCAGCGAAGCGTTTTAGAGTAATAAAAACCTGCCACTTCGCTGTTTACGCATTGCATTCACCACCCAACCTTTCCTCGGGTTCAAATCGACGACCGTGACAAAGCGACCAGCTATGTGGCGCAACGTCACAGACAAAGCTACAGTATCCGTCAGTTCCTAGAAGCCTCAACAACAAACCGTCCCAACATCTGGAAACGCCATTTACCCGTCCGGCCAAAACGAGTTCATATTGCCTCAACAATCTCCACCGATAAAACGACACAAAATGCACATTTTCAACGACATTAACAGACATTCAAACAAGCAGATGGAAGTAGGCGACGAGAGCAGTGATGAAATGAGAAGCTCGTAACATTCATAGATGACAAGATGTCAACACTGTAGATGGCAGTTCTCAAAAAGAACACTGGGCCATCGAAAACAAAACCAATTCTTTCTACATACGTTCGCTACCCCCGTTACATGTGCAGTGTTACCCAATTCTAATATATGCCTTTTTTTTTGTACGCATAAAATGAATCCTTAATTTCGCCAGAAAAACTGTAATATCAAATAAAAAGTACCACACCAGCAAGGGAATGTTGTGGACCTCATGGCATCAGTACTGACGTACATAAAATAAACGTAATAAATTTCGATGTGCGTTTCCTAAATGCAATGGTCAAGTCCATGCTCTCTTCACTGATGTAAAGTCCAGCAGATATAAGAATTGGGTGAACACAATACTTGGGGGAAGTGAATTCAGTTCTGACAGAATCCATACAAACTTGATGAGGTGGCGTGAAGAGTGGAAATTGAGAAAGCGACATTTAGCCACAACAATCGGCACAATCGCCTAGCAATCTCTTACAGGTGCTAAAAGCAATGACATGCAGATGCCCAACCTTGAGGAAACGAACTTGCACAAGCCAGTGTGACCAAAGAGTAAACAACACAAGAATGAATGCCAAAGTTTTTGCTGGATAGCGTGCAGATCGTTAAAGCCGTTTTCACTCGCGGTGTAGGACGGAGTGATGTTTATCAGCACGTCAAGAGATCACAAAAATATGGACATCTGCGCACTTGCAAAATAGATGTAGCAAAATTTCACCATAATCAACCGCTTCATAGAAGATGTACAAATATTGAACTAATAGGATACTATTCCAGGAATTATGTATCCGATCCACGTAAACTTATGAAATTAATACATGTACCAAAAAACTTCAACTATATGCAAAGCATACAAAACTTAAGGAGTGCATATGAAAGAGTTTCAGTACAAAATGTCTTCACAAGCAAGAGCATGTTGAACAAAAGATTTGATTACCGGCAGAGTCCAACTGCACACCTGACATTTCATACTTGGCTGTTTTGAACACAAGGTTATGGGTTCAAGTACTGGCTGCACGGCCAGAACCTTACAACAACAGCATAACGCTAAACAACTTGTGTACTGTGCTTTGGAATCATGTTCAAATATAGATTGATTTACTGAAATAACCTTAATAAGGAAGCGTGGATGAACAACATTAGTTGGGAGCCCCCTCACTGCACTTCTCATTAAACACTCCTTACAGATTATGCTAAGCATTTTAAACCATGCAAATAAACTGGTACTCAGATGTATGGTACAGTACCTTAATTCGTAACACATTTCTTGTGCATAACGTAAACAACCGTTCTGCACAGAACCATTGTCTGAATTATTTGTCTAAGTAGGTAAGTTATTATGTCTAAGGAAAATACTGTATATGCAAAAAAGAACAATAACATTTACAGCAAAATATTTGCCATAAGCTAGCCTGCTGAATCTCATGCGGTATTGAGATGCTACAACTGTGGCAACGGTTTCGGGCATCCTTTGTGAGAAAGGCGTGCACAGCGAGAATATATAAAGAGCGAAATAGTGGATAATGCGAATTTCATTTAGCCAGCTATGCATCACATGAGACACCACAGTGTCGAGCTTCAATTTTTACCAATCGTAAACTTTCAAAAGTCTTTGTTACCAAGCTCACTGCCTGCATCGCTGAGCTCCAGGAACTTCCGATAGCAGATAACGCCAATTACAACTGATATTATGGTTAGGCATAGCTTCCTTTTGCAGAGTAAATCTAAAAGAAGGAATGTTTATCACAAGCATCCCACAGCTAGGACACTCTGTCCAGTCAAATTAAAAAGCTTGCCGAGTGCTCTATACCTTAGCAGTAAACAGCTACGTAAGAGAGCATGCCAGCTGATTTATACCACTAGGCAGTGAACAGCTGAATGAGATTTGAAGCCCGCCACACTATGATGTCTCTCGTAATTTGAAACAGATGCGGAGTACCATACCGATCACATGTCATCTGCCTAAGACCCGCACACTAGCATTCACAGCACTTAAAAAACAAACACACAAACAGAAGCAGAAGATCACCACTGGCATTAAGACGGCTCTGTCTTGAAGACACGACTGCCACCCAGGTCGTTGAGAAGTCCCCGGCCATCTTCCATGAGGTTTGACTCACTTGCAATGTTGTTGCCACTGTCGAACAGGCTCGCTGACAGGTTTGCGTCCATTAACAAGTTTGGACCGGTCAGGTCGCTAAGGTTCATGTTGAGGTCACCCGAAGTCAGAGCATCGGCATTGATGCCGAGGTCAAGGCTGTCCAGCTTCTCGGCTGTCTCAACCACCTCTGGCTCATATGCGGGCGGGGCCACTGCGGCCACTTCGCCTTGGTATTGCGGGTTGACGGGCGTCAGCTGTGCCATCGTAGGTGCACCGGCCTGTTGCATCATCGGGTAATGCTGCTGTTGCATTGCTGTTGCGGCAACCATGGCCTCAGGAACGGGGCTACGACCTGTGGTTCGCAAAATGGAATAGTCTTTAACAATGACATCTTAGCGATGCTGATCATGTAGCAGTGCCCTTTTACCCATTAAACATCCAGTACACCTGTTGAACAAGATAAGGAGATCTAAGTCCCCACAGCTGCATTGGAGACCCGACAACACTGCAAGCATAGTAGAGCACTATTAATTACATTCTGTATTTTTGTGAGGCCAAATTACAGTAAAATCTCGATGATACAATTATGCTTGATGTGCATTTCACAATGATACAAATTTTAAGTTTGCTTCGAATAGACGACAATATATAAAATACGCCATGACTCGGGGTGTTTTACGAATGGTTTCCCCTGCAACCACGGACGATAAGAATACGTGACTGACTGCTGCATGCGAGCGACACAATGCGGCTTGTCTGTGGGAGAAAGACCCATTCAAGCTTGGCCTCAAAGGGAGTGAATGCATTAAAACTCACCGGAATTTCCCTTGCTTCACTGCCAGAAAAGTGGCCAGAGAACTATTCCGCGAGGCCGAAGCTAAAAAATTCGGTCTGCGATCAATTTTGCCACCACGCGATGGCCTTTCTGCTATGGCTTTAGATACACCGGCTTCGCTAGTTCTTGAACCAAGTGATTTGAGCTAATTCAAACAACCAGACGTACATTCAACATGGCATCAGCGTCAGCGGTGGCTCGTGTCGGCGCAATCGCGAACAACTCAAGCAGCACGACAAAGCTCACGGCCTTGAAAAAAAAACGCGTTCATCGAGAGCTTGTTTCGAATTACGATTTCTGCCAACACCGGAAGTAAAAGGTGCAGCAGCAGCCAGTCGGCATGCTCTAATGTGTCTCGCTTTTGCACGGCCGGCTGAATCCGTCGCCACCACTGCCGGTGCGTCTGCTCATGTGGTTTCTTCTGACGCATCTTTCGAAACATTTGTAAAGATGCAGACTTTCTTTTCAGTGTTTTGCGTGCATAACCAGAAAATACACAGATACGCAATTCTAAAGGCCCGAGTGTTTCTTACACCGCACTGAAAATACAACGCTATGCATGAAAAGGCCTCTTCTAACGATATGGTGCTGCCACCTGGCAGTGGCCCTGCGTTTGGCACAAGCTCCGGCAGAAGACTACAGTCTTTCGACGACATTTTCTGCAAAGCACTCAGATACACGTCCAAGTTTTTTACGGGAGACTACTTCAGTTGCGGAGGCAATCGACCATGGTACTTTGGCTATCTGGACGGGGCCTTTCCTACCTCCTTTAGATGTGCTCTGCAATAGCCCCCATATGTACCTCTTTATGAGAGAGCGTTATCAGTCATGTCATTTGTTGCACAGCAAGCAATGCAAAACAAAGTGCAGTCTGGGTAAATGTGTAAACAGTCCACACATATTCCCCTTCTTCTGAACTACATAATCTAGTAGCTGCCCAGCGCTCTCTGCATTTCAACTTCACAGACTTTCACATAGCACAATCAATAAATAGATATGTGGGGTTTAACGTCCAAAAACCACCATACGATTATGAGAGACGCTGTAGTGGAGGGCTCCGGAAATTTTGACCACCTGGGGTTCTTTAACGTGCACCCAAATCTAAGCACACGTGCCTACACCATTTCCGCCTCCATCAGAAATGCAGCCGCCGCAGGCGGGATTCGATCCCACGACGAGCGGGTCCGCAGCTGAGTACCTTAGCCACTAGGCCACCGACACAGCACAATCAAGGTCGCCTTTGCCCCATCTTCAGCCATCTATTACAATGGGCAGCCCTAACAATGCCCTGGCAACAACTACAGGAAAGGCGCACCACCTCACAAAATAGCAGCCTGCGGCCTCTTCCCATGCCATTACGCAAGCGCAGCTGCCCCAAGGGTGTTCCATAAGATGTAAAAACTAGTCTGCACATCCCCTATTTTTTTAGAAGAGTCACACACACCACAAAATTGTAAAAAATGCCGACCATTTCTTTTTGTTAAAAGCTTAATATATGAAATTACAAATGTTTTTAAAACTGGGAATGTAATTTTCTTTGCATTGTTATTTTTGTGAACTGAATCTGCTTTACGGAAATTTTGAGCAATTTTCTGTGAAGATATCTAAACAAACTTGGTACCATTCTTTTCCGCAGCACTTGAACTACAGACTAAAGTTTTTCTTCTCTCAACCTTGATAGAATTGTAATTATACAGTAAATACCAGCTAATTACTGGAAGCTCATTTTTACCTTCCAAGTTTAAAAATTATTTCTCATCAAAGCATTAGCTGTTTTGACATCTAGTAAGCTATAGCCTGTGGGATGAACCTTTTAGGGGAAACATATAGTTTTGAAAACTAAATTTTTATTGCGAATTACCATAATGGTTCATAAGAAATTATTTCATTATTATATGAAAATTTATTATTACTTTTTCTAAATCAGATATTTGAAATCTCTTTGCAGATTTGAAATCTACATTCAATGGTACGTATGTACGGTAATTTTTCATGAGAGTAAGATAACAAATGAAAACCCTTTTTTTCAAGACCCTCGTCCCCCTTAAGTTTACAGCATTTAAACGGGAAACGTAAGATATTTCGAACGAGAGGTAGAAAAGCAAAGATGTGACTGCAAACAAAAGATGAAAATGGCTCTCACCGCTCTCAGGCCTCGCCTGAGTTCTGACTGGCTGCCTTATTGTTCTAGGCACGGACACCACTTGCGCTATAGGAACAGGGGAGGGGGGCACAGTCAAGATGCCCACGTGCAAGGACCAGGAAGGTGGCGAAAACGGCAGGCAAGGCGGAGGATGAATGCAGAAAGGTGAAAAGTAAAAACAAAACAAGAGAAACAAGGGCAGTGAGTAAAAGAATCTGAACGGTGGTGCAGCAATTAGACAGCTCTAGAATTTTTGTTCCCCCCGTAAACTGGTTATAGCTTACACCGTTCTGTAAACTACAGAACCTATCGAGTTCCATAGTTTAATTAACTTCGTATGGATGCCAAAGGCATGCACGACACCTATGTTAGCACCAATGCAGGCAACATCAGTTCCCTGTATGCTCAAATACGTTTCTGCCAACGCTCCTGCAAAGCACACACAGAATGCAATTGATTTGATAGCAGATGCCTACACTTGTATGGAGATGCAAGCATTACTGTGCACATCTGTGTGTCAGGTGTTCTCTACTTCGTAAACTGTGATCTGTATGCAATAAGGCTTAAAAATCCAATAATTATATGCAGATCACGGGCACAGCCACAAGCTATGCAACTTAAAACTTAAAAAGTCAGCAGCACTTCTTTACGGTGCTTGCAAAGAGTGGTTAGCGATTCCACAGCACTACCCCAGAATCACCTCAGCAAGCAATGTGCGTAAGACGTGCTGTGCAGATCAAAAGAAAGGGTGGAGAGGAGGAAAGCAGTGTTTCAAGTGCACTCTCAGCAACTCGCTCTGTACTGTAATCAATGACTGAAACAAGAATAGATAGTAGCACACACGTGCAAATCACACTTTTCCAATTACCAAAGGCCCCAACATTGAAAAGAAAGTAGGCATGGAAACCAAAATCATGTTGCCATTAGACAAGCTCAGCTACCACATAAGTGGTATCAGTCCACAAAAAATGCATAAGTACAACTATGTGTGATGTCGTGATGGGGCTGTATTGATCTTTGTGGCAAGTCTGCTTGACAAAATACACGAGTCGACAGAATCAGAAAAAATGTTTGTGTCCCTTGATAGTCCCTTTAATGATGCCATCCATATTCAAACTAATGCAGCCCAGGCCACACACAGGTACCCCTTTCAAGTTTGCAACCTAAGCTTTACACTTTAATGGTACCATCAGCAATGGTACTTACCAGCAGATGCACCTAGAAGAACGTTCTCCTGGAAGTACCGGTCAAAGTAGCCTTCACCTATTTTGCGTTTCTTGCGTTCTATTGCCTCGGGATCTGCAAAATAGTAAGAAACAGGCCGTTCGATGCGCTCCCAGTTTTCCTCCTTCAATTTTAACACATTCTCTCAGAGACATAATTTAAGTAGCTCATTAGTAAACTTTACTTAATCAAAGCAGAAATGAGTGCCTATTGAGCAGTTTTTATGTCCCCAAGCACGGACAATATATCACCAAAAAGAAATCCCCTTCAGCTGCACCGCACTGCTTTGAAGTGTTCCTGCCAACAGGGCAGGGCTATCAACCCATTATTATGACCAGATTACGACGAGACAAAAACACATTATAAATGACATGATTGTCAAACTATTTTGAATACTCATATCGTACAACAAGTTAACAGCAAACACATCCACCTCTCTATTTTAACATTATATCTCTTAATGAAGGTGAAAAATCTCTACCTGTTTATATCATAAACCTACAAGTGTACCTTTCTGAAAGTTTTCATAGTCACGCAAGATGGCTCCAACCATGTGAACTCTCCTAAACTTCGTGGGCCTTTGCAGCCCCCATTAGGCATAGACCTTATGCAAATAGGCTATAGTATTCAACATCACTCCAGTGTTTGCAAGATGGAAGATGAGAGCGTGAAAGGAGACGAGGCCTTTTACATCTACTGGCAACCAACTGTCCCTCAGCCACACCTCACGTTACTTTGCAACACCAAAGTTCTGCCCCAATACCCACCCCGCTCGTTCGGGTGAAGGGTGAAGGCTCGCGGCTCGCTGAGGGCACCGTCGGAAGGCCTCCGCAGGAGTAGGTGCACATCGACGGGCACGTCGGCCATGACGGGATCCCGGTAACGGGGCGTCCTGAAGCAGATGGCCACCTGCTTGTGCACCCCGTTGGGCAGCAGCTCGGCCCGCTCCTTCCAGACTGTCTGGCCATCTCGCTCCTCCTCAAACCACACTTCAATGTCGTCTGCGCACAGGGGGAAACCGAAGACGCTGGAACTCTCCCATACACATGATGAAATAAATTGTGGTGTTTTACATACCCAAACTGTGATCACATGCCAAGTGATGCCAGCAAGCAAAATAAGTGTTTCACGCTTGCCATCAAGGCTATGAGTAGCGCTCACATATGTTCCCAGGTTTGAATGCACAGATATACCTAATAAAGTGGAAGGGAGAATAACCACCGCTTCAGTTCAATTGATGAAGCATAGGACGTGTTATTGAAAGGTTCCTCCTTTGGTCCTTGCTAGCAACATGTCCTTCCACCTACTTAAATTTATTGGCAATTGTACTGTAACTGCTCCAAACAACGCCTTCTGTACATTCCTTTGCTTGAATGTTGATTGCTTGTCATTAATGTTGTTGTAACAGACTACGGATGAAGTTGTATCATCCATAGTGCGCTCTTACAATCAAGTAAACAGGCAATTTTTTAATTCTGCCCCCATCGAAATGCTGCTGCCACCATGGCTGGGAATCAAACCCATGCCCTCATGCTCAGCAGCCCGCCCAACAGCTCAGCCATTAAGCCACCTTGGCAGTTGTGCAAGCATGCAGCATCACCTTCCCACATTAATCGCATTGTGCGAAACAAAATTTTATCTAGATCAAAACAGAGGACCTCGCAGCCTCTCGTCACACAACCTTCAGCTAAGTGAACGTAACTGGTCCTAAAGTATCAGCAGGCTTTCATGCTTTCACGGACCTTTTGTTATGTACAAGAAACCTGTACACCCCAAAAGCAATACTACATACATGACATCCCCCACATGCACATGTACATTCAATCTTTCCATTCAACAGATGGTGTTCAAAAGTCACAAATGGCAACTGTCTTTAAAGTGCTTTTTTCAGCTAACAATATATTATGGCAAAACCAGATAGCATGAACGAAGAAATGTTTCATTTGCTTTATTATGCTATATATTTTCTGCACCGAGGTGAATATGCGTGAGATCAACACGGTACGTACACTTACCTTTCGCAACCTTGTCACACAGCAGGATCATCTCCAGGCCACCAGACATGGGAGCACATGTGTGACTGAGTTTTGTGATCGTTAGGTCAGACATAGCCTCTGCAAGAGAAAAATTTGAAAAAAAACGACGAAAAGTTCAGTTAGCAAACAAACTCAGACAGCCATTAAAGTTATCACTCTTCACTTCCTTTGTCATCTTTCTTCCCCATTTTCCTTTTCCTTAGTGCAGCGTAGCAAACCGGATGCCCTATTTCTGGTTAACCTCCCTGCCTTTCCCTAATTTTATTCTGTCTCTCTCTCTTTCTTTAACATTATCCTAACCAACTTGCCCCCGGGCACCATTAGCAACTACCGTTGGACAAACGAAAATTTGTCAAGTAATTAACACAGTCCCATCAAAGAACCGACTGCCCTTGATAAGTACAAAATGAAGCAACATTTCCTCGAAACACACAAAGCACCAACATACGCTTCTAAAGGCAAAAATGTCAGGAGGTTCCAAGCACACCCGCGCTGAGGAAGTTTTTGAATTAATTGTGCAAGTGCATATTGCAAGCTTTCCACGTACAACAACAGCACGCGCAAAGACAAAGACCGAAAGACCGACTTCTTTTGAAGAATGTGCTGTTGGCCAAACAACAACGCTTAAAAGAAGCTCCCCATCTTAAAATAAGAAGCACTCATTTTTGTTACCATTCGCCAAGGCCTGCACTCAGTCGAACACAACTTGAGAAGCCCAGTGTAGATGACCAAAGCACAACAGGCGATGCCTCTACAACTAAAAAATATAGTCTCGCCAATGGACTCGACCCCATTCTCCAAAAGCGGGCTGTCACTGGTTGTGTAGCTCATGACGTTAGTCTGGAGTGCTCCCCCATTGTTGCTAGCGTGCATCCGCGTTTCAGGAGGTAATGCCGCAGACTTCTTAAAGTTGTACCCAACTATAAACACACAGCAGGTACACTACCTGCGAAAAATCTTGATGCGGGACAAAATCTTGTTCCTTGGACAAAGCTTGGTATCTCTGCCCATTGTGTTAAACTTCTAAGGCTAGCTTCCCAAGCCCTTCTTTTTCCTTCCTTCTCCCACATGATGCCAAGTAAAGGGCACCTGTCCATTGACACCCGCTGGCAAATTGATAACAGCAACACGAAAGGATTTCGACCTCGGCTATCATCCCAAACACAGTCCCTCTTGCCATTCACGAGAGGATGTTCCAGGGCACTTTATCTTGCATCAAGGAAGTGATGGCAGTTTTCGACACAAGAAAGTGAAGGTGCTTTTCGACAAGAAAAACCACACACGCCAATGGGAACAGGTGCAATATAAATATATCACATGAATATGTGACCATCGTTACCTTCATACGTCACAAATATATGGATCAGGGTCAATGAAACTGAACAACCTTGAATATGTGCTCATGAGCCTTTATAGTAAGACTGTAAAGGATAGCCCAGCTTGTTTAAAAACAGGCAAACAGGAAAGGTGTGATACATATTTTTTCTAAATACTAATTAGTTTACAAATATTAATGAAACCGCTGCAAGGTTAGGCACTTCACATGGGACACCTTTTCGAGACACAAAACATAAAAGCCATGAAGAATGGTAGAATGTCCCTTTAAGCTCTTTGAGATGGCGCTTCCATGTCAGACGTCCGTGATGCACAACGGGTTTGCGAATGACATTCCCAAGCAAACGTCAACTTTTTTGTGCTTGTAGATTTTTTCCTGAGCTTTATTTTTACCCAGTACATGTAAAAGCACTACTGAAGGGTCTCCAGTGAAGTTGTAGTCAGCTTTTAAATTTCCTTCTCAAGTCTGACGAAGTTGAATGCAGCAAACATTGCACTGCACGAACTGACCAGCAACTGCACCTTGGGATTTCAGCGACCGTTTCGGCAACTCAGCTCTTGCCGAATGCGCCTTCATTCATAACTTGGCTGAATATGCCCACACAACGCTCATTCCCCCCTCCCAGCATCCTTCCACAATTCGCAGACATTTGCAACCTCGCTCGAATCCATATTCTTTCACTTTGGGGACACTTACGGACAGGTATGTACATGTTGGTCCAGTATTAGGAACTGTACCTGGTACAGTTCCTAATACAGCTCCTGCACTTAGTATCATGTCTACAAAAAAATTTACAAATAAGTTATGCATGTCTCCACTGACAGGCCAAAATATTTTGCTCGTGTCAGGACTAGTACGAATCTTGACATATCTATGCATATATTGCACTACTCGAACTCTGTACGAAAATTTACAGGCAGGTACACACATCTAGCATTAGCGCAGATGTCATACAAAATTTTACGATGTATACGTTTTTACGGACGTAATTGCATATACTGCTTACAGCATAAAAATCCGTATAAGAATTTATGAACAGGATTGCACATTTTTTATTACCATCAGGATCTGTATTAAAACTTAGATAACGGTGTGCGTCTTTACGTATATGCATGCACATCTTGTGCCAATGTCAGAATCAGTCCGTCTATTCTTGTGGTTACATTTTCCCAAGACCGCATAGTGTTATCAACATGGGAAAACCTATGGCTCAGGCTTTGATTTGCACACTGGCACAGAATGAAGACATTGCAACGATCAGTGACCAGAAGGCGAGGCACTCACTGCGGTCGTAAATGATGTCCGAGACGACGGGGTGAAGGGGAACGGTGAACTTCCCCGGCTGCGAGCCTTCGAGGAACACTTGGAAGCACAAGCGCACAGCGTTGAGGTCAATGCTGGCCGCTTGGTCCTTATGAGCAAAGCCATCTGCAATGCAGGAGCTACGTAAGCATTTTGACTATAGGAGCAACACCACTCGAAAGAACAGGCCTCGTGTATTTAGAAAATGTTTAATGCCAAAACTGTTTGTCATAGAAAGTACCGGCCAACGGTGATGCGAAGGCCATCTTTGCGCTCATTGAGAAGACGGCCTTTACAGGGGTCCTGCAGCCCTTTTCAATTTTTTTTTTTTTTTTTTTTTAGCGTCACTGTGAACATGAGAGCCAAATATTATCACGCTCAGCCCATAGCAGGAGATTCGTAATTTCTCATCAAAAAAGCAAGGATTCCCTGCTCTCTCTCACTGCCACCTCCAACTACACAGCCAGCAGTCCTGGCAGGCAAAGCGATTCCTTGATCAAGAGAGCATTCTCAGTAACGTCATTAATGCAACTAACTATCAAATTATGTTAACTACTACTAATACCTATTACTTGGGGTATTAATACGTCGCTGCTCATTCACCATGCATTTATAAATTTCACTAACATTCATAAATTCTTAAAAGGCCTTCACGCATAACCACGTAGGGCAGGTAAGGCTTCACATACAATTAATGCCATGCCTACTTACTTCGAAAAGGATCCACTCGAATGTTTTCTCGTTGTAGCAAGTTCTGCTCAACATCTCGCCTCTTGACGCACTGGATGCCCAGGCTTGTAAAGCTGCAAGCCAACAGAAGAGCACAGCTTGAACTCCTATAGATGTAAACACAAGCTGTTAAATGTCAAGCGAGAACGCATACGATTGTGTTTAATACCACTTACTCCAAATTATTTCAATTATCTTCCAGCACTTTACAATTGCCTCTGATAACCTTCGCCTACAATAATCTAATTTGGTAAATCCATATACCAGCTTATTCCGAATTATGCAGTTTACCTTCATTTACATTTACCTCATCTAGTCTTTTTTATACATCACAACTACGCCTCCATTACTATAGCTAATATCGCATTAAATGTTCATTGGCACTAGAGTACAAATAAACTATAGCTCAGACTGGCTGTGTTCCTGCACATTCAGCTTTTACCATTCCTACACTCCAAACAATAACGCTTTCGACAACGAAAAAATTCCAACTCACGTGCATGTCATGTCTGGCTTGAGGTGCTGTGTGCAGATCCCGTTCTTGCAGCCCTCCTTGCCGACAAGGTTGTGTGGATGTACCCGATATGGCTGGTCCTTTGTGACGCACGAGACCACGACCACTGCTGGCTTTTGCACGCCCATCACCTGTGAGAGCAGGATGGGACGCAAAACAAACGTCAAGTGTTTTTACATTTTCAGGTTGAAGTTTCCAACGCTAAGCACCCGCCGACAAATTCTGAAGGCAACCCAGGGAAAACTAACACATCCAGTTGCAAACAGAGGAAAATGTTAGCTTTGATCACAGAGCTATGGCACACCTGTTTTTCACTCGAGAAAGGCAGTTGAGCAAGCTGGTTTTCACTCCAATAGTAAGTAATGTATTTATTCAAATTTAGGCCGATAGTTTTTGAAAACCACGCCATTTTTCATTGAGAAAAGTGGTGCACAACTACCACCACCTAGACGGTATTACAGCCGTTAGTAGCCGAGCCCACACCTGCCTCAAGTACACACAAGGCTGCCATTTTTATCTATGTGGCGAGTGTTGGGGTGAGCTGTTTGTCATTGCGAGTCGCGCTTCGAGTGTTTTGTGTGTGGGTTAGCTCAATGGCGCCAAGCAGGTAGGGTCATTATAGCGCTGCTTATAAAAGCAAAGTTGTCCCAGTCATGTAGTCGTCGTCCAACGTTCAAGCCAGGCGGAACTTTGGAGTGGACGAAAAAAATTTGCGTCACTAGAGGGGCTACAGCATGGGACAACACCCCAGGAACTTTGATTGTGTGCTTTTTTAAGAAGTGCGGCATATCCAGTGTGCTTGATGGCACCGAGGATTGCGCACTGTTTGAAGACTGCGACAAAGGAGTCAGCGACGAAAGATGCAGCGACAAACATTCGAAATGAGCGCGGCATCTTTATGATGCAAAGAACAAGAAGCAGCAAGAAAAAAATTATGTCTAAAAACACACACAACAGGACTAGCCACTGTATGTTTTTCTAGTTTTTGGCATGAACTGCTTTGTTTCATCGTCATGTTCAATAAATGTTATCTCTTAGTGAACACTGTTTTTGCTGTTTCGTTCAGCCTACAATCGAGCTTGTCCTTGTGTAGTTACCTGCTCATATTTTTAAATGTTGTTAAGCACCAACTTGCTCAGTCGTTTTAAAGAGGCTCAATGTGCACACCTTGATGGTGGGGTACGTCTTGTTCTCGGCGGTGCTGCTGACTCCGACGAGGGTTCCCGGGTACCGGCCCTCACACTGGTACCGAAACCGCAGCGCTCTCGACGCGGGCTGCTCCAGGATGACCACGTGCGGCTGCTGCTGTGGTTGGGCCACGGGCAGCCGCGACTGTTGGTCCAGGGTCACGTAACTCGGCTCGGCCGCCATGTGCCGCTCTATCACCTCCGCTACGGAGACGAAAAAACGACGGTGTTAAGACTCCGCGCCCCAGAGTGGCTAGAGCCTATGATGACGTTCAAACAAGCAAAAAGCCCGTCAATCCCATCAACTCCTTCTGCAAGTCATACTAGTTAAAGACGTCACCTTCATTACTTTATATTAAAGGGGTACTGACCCAATACTATATATAATTTGTCTTGCGTTACATGAAGGTGCAGGATCTCGAAATCATAAAGATAGTGCCAAGCCCCTGGAGCTCTGTAAGCATTTCAATTCAGCAGCACTCCCATAGCAAGTTTCAGTTTCATTTTGTGAAGGTTATGTACTGCATCCCTGTGTTATTACACAACCACGCGAATCGAACAGACGATTGGCTAGGGAAAGCATAAAGGATATCGATTTTGTTTAACTATAGTGTACTAATTATGACAAGTTGAAATGAAGTGGAAAAAATATCACCCATTTCTTCAGTGGGATCTGAACCAACAACCTTCGAATTATGTGTGCAATGCTCTACCAATAAAGCTACAGTAGTAGGCGCTTTTCCCTGTCCACTTTGTTGGCTGGGCTACAAGCGATGCTAGCTAGCACTCCCCGAGATTACACATACGTACACATTAACACACACGCACACATAAACCAAGTGGATGGGGAAGCAAACACCTACCATCATAGCTCTTCGATGGTTATAGGTTCAGAGCCACCAACAGAAGGAGTGATTTTTCATAGACTTCAGATCATGCCACAATTCATGCGCTGAAGTTAAGCACAATTAGCATCCGCCGTGCTTTTACTGACATAACTGTCATTTGATTCATCTGGTCATGCCTAAAATGTAAATAAAAAAGCCTATTGAAGAAAAATTCCCTTTTGTTCTTTCATCACTGTGTCATGAATCCAACGTCCTGACTCACGGTACGACATCTGGGCCCCAACTGATGATGTCATTCATGATTGATGCCTATACTAAAGGAAGACTGATGTCATGACACCAGTACGCCAATAGCTGCCATCAACTGCCGCTATCAGCTGGACAACAGTACAACGCTGGACAACAACAGCTGGACAATAATAGCAGTGTACCACGAACGACAAATGAATGTGAAAGGCCTTGATTGATGAATGAGGGAATAGCATAATTGGTTTATTATATTATGTACACACAGTACAACATTTTAGATGAAATACGAATTGAGAAATCCACAGCACCATTCTCTTGTTGATTTGTCTACAACCTATGTATGCAACTCTCGGTTGTTTAATAAGGTCCGCCCCGGTGGAACAGTGCCGAGGGTCCTCGGCTGCTAACCCCAAGGTCGCAGGTTCGATAGCAATCGGGGCGGTCGAATTTCGATAAAGGCAAAATGATAGAGGCCCGTGTACTTTGCGGTGTCGGTGCACGTTAAAGAACACCAGATGGCCGAATTTTCAGAAGCCCTCCACTACGGCGTCCCTCATAATCACGATGCGATTTTGGTACATGAAACCCCGTATGTTTTTATTGCTTCATAAACATTCAGAGGTACAACGATAACTTGCATGACATTTTCACTGTTTTACTGCTGCCTGTCAAATGTGATGGTCAGTGGATGCTTTCAGGTCCAATTTCAAAACTTTTAGACCACTGCCCAGACATCATTGTCTTCCGATGTTGCAAATAAAGCTGAACAGCTGAAATCTCAACAATTATTATAACAGTATGTAATGCAGGCTTAATACAAGGCGTGTAAGATGTGTCTACCGTTTAGTATCAATCACGCGTCTAACCTGAAGAAGACAGACAAGAGACATCATTAAGGCCCTGAGGAGCCAGCCAGTGCAGTCCTACAAAGGACCCCTGGATGCTGTCGGCTAATCGCCTGTTGGAGCCCCGGGAGGCCATGCCTTTCTGCTCTCTCACGGGCCCTCTGGACTGCCTTGGACTGGTATTCCAGTTTCATATTAAAAAATGAAGCATTCCAATTTTACGCATTATACAGACGAGCACTTCCACAGAAGGCAGAAACGTCACATTCTACCTTTACTGAATGCACTAGCAAACTACGAAATGTCCATAACATTGACATAAATAACCAAGAAAGGAAACAGACAGCATACAATACGAAAAGTGTGTCAACTCCTCAGAACTAATGTGGAAATATTACATGAGCACACAAGGTAGAAGGATGCACTTGACACGATGATTTACTAACTGGCCCAGCATTCCACTTTATTGACCCTCGGAACTACATAAGCACCACCTGGACAAAACAGCAGCGCAAGAGCATGCAAACCAGTAACAATCACTCATTTGGGAGTCCAAAAGCACCTTAAAGAGTGTGTTGGAACAAAGCACGTCAGCTTATTACGTTCACTTAGGATGATACCAGGGTCACCATGGTGCTATGCTGATTGCGATGAGGCCCGATCCTGATCAAATTGTTCAACAGTGATTTCCTCCTTCCCGATACTTGCATGAAGAAGACTATTGTGCTCAAGAAATTTGATCCAGATCAGATCGGATCACAATCAATAGTGACTGCTTGACACCGGTGTAGGCTCAAGTTGCCATTAGGTTATAGCATAAACAGCCATTACACCGTTCTACATTAGCAACCAGTTAGCCATCGCTTGGAATCGCTCTGACATTCATGTTAACAAAAGCTCTGCGTCTGTCACCTGGTTATTTAACGCTGACGCAAAGTGAAAGAGCACCACGCTATGGTTAGTAAGCAGCATGCCTTACCTATGTCATCTAGGCTGACGTCTGTTTGCATGTTAGTGAATGGGCTGGCCTCAACTCATGCAAGAGGAAGAAGTGAAGAAGGGTTGGCACTCTGAGCCCAGGTCACAGTACGAACCTTGGGTGCATCAAGACCTTTAGGAATAGGGGCAGGGTGTTAGAGAGTGAAAGGAGGTAAAAGAGAGAGAGAAAGCAAGAAAGAGTGAAATGTGTATTACTTAGCAGTCAGCCCATTCGGCAATCGCACCAGCCAAACAAGCCCCCAAATCACAGCACCATACCAATGTGCTACAAACATTGGTCAAGCTCAGGAAAGTTATGGGTCACTGCACAGCCAATTGCAATGGACAATCAGCACTGTCAAGACTTTGACCAACAAGCCATTGCCATTTCGAAGCTCTTCAGCACTGCCTGGTTTTCACAGGTTTCTTTTCAACATTCATCTTTTCTTCCCACTATCTCTTATTGAAAAGCTTACTGGCAACTCTGCATAGCATCAACTAAACTGTATTCAATCTTTACGTTGTCATTAAAAGTTTTCTAGTAAGCTTCAATACATTACTGATTCCGTGACAATCTAGAAAGCAATACTAAACCTCTGGTCTTCACGTTTACATAGAGTACTGTAGTTCACTAAGCTTTTACAACATTCCATTACATTACGAGTACATTTTAAGGTAACTTTTTTAAGCTTACGACAGTTTTTTTTTTTCTCATTTTAAAACACTGCAGAACTTTTGCAACAAAAAATTACATCCAGTTAGAAAATGAACTTACACAGGAAATGGATAAGACAGGAAAGCAGCTAGTTCCTGTCTCCTGCGCTTCCAGTGTAGGTTCATTTTTTGGCTGGAGATAATTTTCTAATGCAATGTACTAACCAGGCCAACAACAAGTGTTATCAGAACATATCCTTGCGAGTTGAAGAAAAATGAACTAAAATGCGGACCATCGTTTACCGTCACGCTGTAATCCTTCAGAGTGCTGATTACGGGACACGGATTAATTAAGGGCCACCAGTTAACGGGACTCATGTGCAACCAGTACTCGTTCCTGATTGGCTGTGAAGATCCGTAGCTGTTGCTGCGTTGAAAAAACGGCGGCTATTCGAGCGTAGATAATGCAAACTAAGGTGTTCCTACAACACCGCTCCCGTGTGGAAGCATATATTGTCAGCCTCGTATATCACACATCGAAGTTTTCTCGAACAACGGCCCGATGGTAGATTCCGGTTGTACAGTATATATGCTGGCCGGTGCACGCAATGATACCCTGTGAAAAACGGCGGGTTTGTCTTAAAGCTTGTCGCCCAAGCGGCATAACTGGAGCGAAAAGAAGTGTGAACGTAACCACGAAAACACCCAGCTACATATCACTGTTTCACAGATAAGCGCGAGTAAACACCGATTACACGTTCACACACCGGTCCTCCTCCGTAATTCAAAACAAGACAGTTCCAACGAGAAGCCAACGGCGTTCGGACGCCTTCTCTTGTTCAAATGTACAAGTCGTATCGACATACACGGGTTTCCAAAAACTAGCGAGACGCCAATTCACAAAACCGCGACTTTATCACCTGAACGGTCTAGGCTCGCTGTCGATATTTAAGCCGCGAGAGAAGAAAAAAAAAGTAAGAGTTTGGCAATGAACAAACGCCGTTGTACCAAGAAACCGGGAGTACAATCGGTGGATGCCAGCATTCGCATCCGCTTTTAGCGAGACCAACGCCGAACTCTGACGACGAAGACACAGCCAGCAACATCATGCCGACTCTACACGGTGTCAAGGAACTTCTCAAGGCAACAACGCAGTTGTTCGGCGACGTTCGCGATCTCGAACTGAAGAAACAATCCCTTCACCTATGCGCGCGACAAGCCGCTATCACACGCGCTAAACACCGCCTTATCTTTCACGCTTCGATTCGGCAATCCGGGTTGCCCAAGAAAAGTAACGCTTATCTGCCGCTATCCCGATATAAGCGGCATGTAATACTAGGCCTAGGAGATCTCTTTCGGGAGAGAAACTTGTGAACACGTTCGCTGGCCAGTCTAAAGAAGAAGCTTACCCTGAGTCAGCGATCAAGCCTATCCGCCGCAGAGAGATTCCGTGACCGGATGGCGCATTCAGGCGCTGGTTATGACGCGCTTCGGCTGGCTCCAGGCCGAAAACACGTCTAGTAGAAACGCGTCTATCAAACTCCGGCCGCGATCACGTAACACTGCAGCAAACCGCCATCGTTCGGTTCACTCGAGGCGCCGCCGAGGACAACTTTTCACTGAATGACTCACGATAATCGCCAAGTAATAAACAATACAAAACGCGACGGATAGTATCGGACAATCCGTCGCCGCGAGTTTTCCAGGAAAACACGTCGCTAGCTCGTCGCCCATTGGTCGAGTGGGTATCATAGACGTTTAAATGTCTGCTTAGTTGAAGGCTTTTGGCTTTTATTGCATTCAAAACTGAAACATTTGCTGTTCCTAATATGTGTAAATAACTGTTTGTTGCGCCATCTAGTATTATTAAATAACACTGTTTTTGTAATGTTTTGACAAATAATATGCAAGTTATAATTTTTTGCGTTTGTATAGATTACGCTGCAATTGTTTTATTTAAAAATTATGGGGATAATGTTTTAAGCGTTGTGATTTTCACGCTAAGTTTACGTTTAGCCTTTGTGGGCTAGGCCACCATGCGGTTGAATTGCGAAGCCATGTCTCGTACACGCGCATTTTGTGCTAGTTCACGGCCTTGACGACATCGGCAAACAAGTGCAAAAGAAAAGCGTAATCATCCGCTCGTTGACGAAGAATGACTGGGTGCCTTTCAAATGCCGTTCTGCGCGGATCGTCAATGAGAAGTTGGTAACGTTACCAGGCAACAGCGTTTAAAACGTGGGCGCCGCCATTTTTCACCACCTCCGAAACTGGAAGTGCGCGACTTCTCACTTGACGTCAATGAAATTCACGTTTTGATCCACGACGTCCGCTCACCCTCTCCACACCGATGCCACTTCCTTGGGTTTTTTCGCGTTCGGAAGAGCGACACAAGAGTGAAGCGAGTCGTTTACCTGGCTGGCAATGAAGCACGTCTCGTACGCGCAGACTGGGGATTTCCCCTCGTGTAAATGGAGACGAGGAATAAATTATTGGGCAGCGTTTAAAAATAGCCAGCAAGTGTCTAAATCTTGACACCGAGCAGCGTCATCCGCATGCGCACGCCAGCGTCACCGAATGAATAAAAACAGAGTTGCGCTTCGGAAAGGACGATTGGCATCTAATTAGAAACGCTGGGAAATCCGGCACGCAAGCGGCAGCTACTACGCTAGCTGGATTAATTTGTTTATTAATTTACCAATCTATTATGTTCATGATCTCTTCTCATCCTACGAGAGCACGCTCGTAAAAAGAATTGTGATTGCCTTGGATATTCGAGCGCAGCGATTAGATGGAGGGCATACATCTTATACACATCACTAACTGTCTTGATTCGCGCCGAGTAATTTGGTTCCAAATAAATGTGCGTTCCAAATAAATTCCAAATAAATTGAGTGTTCCAAATAAATTGATTAATAGACGTAAAGTATGCGATGTAAGAAGGTATAACATAAAGAGAATTGAACACGCTCTGAAAAACGGAGGAAGCGTCAAAGCAGTGAAGAGGAAACTTGGGATAGGCAAAAGTCGGATGTATGCACTAAGGGACAAAGAAGGCAAAATAACTACCAATATGGATAGGATAGTTAAAATAGCGGAGGAGTTTTACATAGATCTGTACAGTAGCCGAGACAACCACGACCTTAATACTATAAGAACAAGCAAATAACCCAGATGACACCCCACCAGTAATGATAGAAGAAGTCAGAAAAGCTTTGGAGAGCATGCAAAGAGGCAAAGCTGCTGGTGAGGATCAGGTTACATCAGATCTGCTGAAAGATGGAGGACAGATTGTGTTAGAAAAACTAGCCACCCTGTTTACGAGGCGTCTCCTGACGGGAAGGGTACCAGAGTCTTGGAAGAACGCTCACATCATCTTAATACATAAGAAAGGAGATGACAAGGACTTGAAGAATTACAGGCTGATCAGCTTGCTCTCTGTAGTATACAAGCTATTTACAAAGGTAATTGCTAACAGAGTAAAGAAAACATTAGAATTCAATCAACCAAAGGAACAAGCAGGATTTCGAACAGGCTACTCAACAATTGACCACATTCATACTATCAATCAGGTAATAGAGAAATGCTCAGAGTATAACCAACCACTATACATAGCCTTCATAGATTACGATAAGGCGTTTGATTCAGTAGAAATATCAGCCGTCATGCAGACACTGCGGAATCAGGGCGTAGATGAAGTATATATAAACATTCTGGAAGAAATCTACAGGGGATCAGCTGCTACCATAGCGCTTCATAAAGAAAGCAACAGAATAGCAATCAAGAAGGGTGTAAGGCAGGGGGGCACAATCTCCTCAATGCTATTTACCGCGTGCTTACAGGAGGTTTTCAGAAGCCTAGAATGGCAACAGTTAGGGATAAGAGTTAATGAAGAATACCTTAGTAACCTGCGCTTCGCCGATGACATTGCAATGCTGAGTAACTCAGGGGACGAATTGCAACTCATGATTACGGAGTTAGACAAGGAGAGCAGAAAGGTGGGTCTTAAAATTAATCTGCAGAAAACGAAAGTAATGTACAACAACCTCGGAAAGGAGCAGCGCTTCGAGATAGGTAATAGTGCACTTGAAGTTGTAAAAGACTATGTCTACTTAGGACAGGTAATAACCGCAGAGCCTAACCACGAGATTCAAGTAACTAGAAGAATAAGAATGGGGTGGAGCACATTCGGCAAGCACTCTCAAATTATGACAAGTAGATTGCCACTATCCCTCAAGAGGAAGGTATATAACAGCTGTATCTTGCCGGTACTTAGCTACGGAGCAGAAACCTGGAGACTTACAAAGAGGGTTCAGCTTAAATTGAGGACGACGCAGCGAGCAATGAAAAGAAAAATAGTAGGTGTAACCTTAAGAGACAAGAAGAGAGCAGAGTGGATTAGGGGACAAACGGGGGTTAAGGATATAGTTGAAATAAAGAAGAGGAAATGGACATGGGCCGGGCATGTAGCACGTAGACAGGATAACCGCTGGTCATTAAGGGTAACTAACTGGATTCCCAGAGAAGGGAAGTGGGTTAGGGGGTGACAGAAGGTTAGGTGGGCAGACGAGATTAAGAAGTTTGCAGGTATAAATTGGCAGCAGCAAGCACAGGACCGGGTTAACTGGTGGAACATGGGAGAGGCCTTTGTCCTGCAGTGGACGTAGTCAGGCTGATGATGATGAAATGTGCATTATCCGCAGCGATATGCCGGCAGGAGAGTAATGCCATCTTTGACTGGTCGTAATTGGGAGCACTCCGAAACGACCAAAGATGGCATAGCAGCCGACACGTATATATATTGACACATCGGCGTACGTGGTCGAGGCATTCAGAACAAACCCGCAACCATAGCTGGCTAATGAATCAACATCGGCGATTGACCGTTACTGATGTGTTGCTGCACGGGGGCGGGGCCTCCGAGATGGCGCCAGCGTCGGAATGGCAGTGCGACCATCTTTGTGGTTTCCGCGTAGGCACTCGACCGCACTCTATCCTTACGCACTGGAGCGTCATGCACACAGCCCCTCGTTTCGACAGAACTGTCAAGCCACCGCACCAGAGTAAATTTGTGCCACCATGGACCACAAAAATGGCGGCTGACGCCGCTAGTGCCCCCAAGCGGATGACGTCACTTGCAAGCGTTCAGTCTCGTGAGAGTGGCTCCCTATATTCATTTCCTCTGTTTTCCCTCCTCCTGAAAGAGTAAGCAGGCGTCGTACCCCTCCAAGCAGCAGTTACCAGCTTGCTTTCTCCCTCTTTTACTTGCATCCTTGTGCATCTATGCAAATCAAATAAATAGATAAATACACCCACCAAACTATTATGGCCAAAGCAATGGCACAACAGCCATTCCATCTATCGGCATAGGTATTGGGGCAGGCAAAACGCACTTTCAGTGCAGGGTCCAACGCGTACATGCTTACCGTACAGCATCATGGAAATTTTAAGTGCTAAAAAAGCAAAGCTGTGGGCAGGGGCTCAGCCTCTGTGCAGGAGCTCTCGTAGTAAATACCATCTTTGTAGAGTTGGGCAAAACACTGATAAACACATCTATGCCAAACTTACCCATTATTAGCAGAACCAGGTGAAAGTGAGGTTATAATGAATGCAAGGCAAAAATGTTTGTATAAAAACAATATGATTGTTTATTGCAAAATCCATGTAATCGTACAAACCACGTAGCCCTGTTAATAGTGTCAGTGCAGAACGAAAATTGCTGGGTGCCGTCAACAGATTGCTCGTAAACTGACGTCTCGTAGTGCATTGACCCTGAAATACTTTCTCTACATTACGCACATGTGCACTGGAAGCCAGCAAGAGAAAAAAGTTTATAAATACCTAACATCTGCCAGTTATATGTGCTTTGTGTCGTAATCTTCCCTATGGATCATTATGACACACTATATTATACCATGTGAAAGAAACTTGGCACCACCTCAGGAATCTCTAATTAACATTTCTAACTACACGTGCATGGCATATGAATTAAGTAGACCAGGAGCTGGAATGAGTTAGGTAATTAAATTACAAAAAGTAAATAGAAGGCATCACAAATACAACAAGCCTTCTAAAAAGCAAGAAGGAAGAACAAAAATATCTTTGTAAAGCATTTATCAAACTTAGTTATTTCCTTGAATAGCAATCCCAATGAGATGCAGGTGATTTAATCCCACAAAACTGGACCCATGACACAGTTTCTAAAATTTCACAAATATAGTTTCAAAATATATTGATTATAGGATTCCAGAAACAGGACTGGACAAAGTTGATAACCCAAAGACTGTAAAATAAAAGCAATTATAGTCCATTATGTTACAACAACAAAAATCCAAAGGAGCAAAACCATCTTTCGCTGCTTTCACAATCATTATCACAACTATGAAAAGAAGAAATCACTACTTCTAGAAGTACAGTAAAGACCTCCACAAATCAAATAATATCTCGCAACAGTACGCATACAAAATGGCTAAATTCCATAAATTGCTGGCTCAATGAAAGAAAGAAGATTGGGGTCAGTCACATAATTCAAAGCTGCACATGCTCTTGGCGACATAGTCTTTAACGGCTGTCGATGGCAGACAAGCTCAAAGAAAGCAACTTCCTGCTACTCTAACATCAACGTCCATTGTTGAAAAGGATGACATCCATCTTTCACTACTTTTCGATGGTGTGCAAGTACCAGTGGCACGTGCGACGTTCAAATTTGTCCCAAGGACACCCCACGACACATAAATGCATACATCGTAAATCTTCCAGAACGAAATCTCAAAGCTTACACTGAGTCAGTAAACAGGAGAAATAAAACCATTCATGCAAATCTGCTTCTGCTATGAATAGCTGATTAGTTTTAGCTTCCTCATAAATGTACTACATCTCACGGAATTAGAAAAAGATGCTATCTACAGAATAACATTTCTACTATTCCATAAATAACAACTTAGGCTATGCGAATGGCTGCAATGGCAGTGCCACCTGGTGACATTGGTTTCAACGAAAACATGCGTAATTATTATTGCAAAACAGGCTCTGCTGATGTAAAGGCAACAATAGCCCGATAATAAAACTGCAATGACTACTTTCTTTAGAAAAAAATGTCGGCAGAAGACGGCACATTTACGACACTTTCCACATGAACAAATCACCACGAGGTGTCACCACCAGCATAATAATGCCATTCACATCTCCAGTGTTTTGTAATCGTGAAAACTGCGATAATGTAGTCACACAAACAGCAACCTAAAATTCTGATGTTATGAAGTACAAAAGTTGTCAATTGGTGCTCTGCTACGTGCATTATGACCATCATATGACACACAATTCATTTTGGCCATACACGGCGATACGCCACAGGTTGAAATTGTATTGGATCACCACGGCCTGCAGTAAAATGACAAGGTATTGGCCTATCATGCCGTGTATGCAACTTTGCGTATACACGGCGATATGCCACAGATTCAAATTATATAAATCACCACCACCTGCAGTAAAATGACAAGGTGTGCCTGTCCCACATGAAACCTGTGACCTGGTCTCAATCAAGTCTTTTCAATAAAGGCAACACGCCAGGAAAGGGAGCCTTCGACATAAATGGCCGAAACGATACACTACTCAACCTACTTCCCTGCCAACACTTGATCAATTCGCTATTATAAGTGATAGCTTGACGAAGGGACAATCAGTGGGAGATGGCAAAAACGCCACCACCAAGGGTCGTTCGGGAAAGGTGCCGTCAATGAGCTGCGACCGAACGCTGAGGTCTTGTTTGTGCAGACGAGGTCAAAGCTGGGCTCCTGAAGAAGACTGCCATTGAGCAAGTTGCAGAAGAACCCACGCCATCTCTGCTATGGGCAGTGGCACAACCGCAGTTCACAGATGAGCTCACCTCAAAACGCAAAGCTTCAGTAAAGAGGTTGAACGTAGTTTGCAGGAAAGAGGCCAACTTTTCCATTACACTTTCCACGCCACCAGCCCTCGTCAATCTGAAAGATGAATCAGCAGAAATTGGCCACATATTTCCACAAAGACACTGTTCTAGAGAGGAATGCATGAATATTTGTTAGTTGACATTGTTGCGGAAGTGGATAACCGGCAGTTAACATTAGGCAGTGCTGCCATTATGCAAGCTTTGTAATGTTCAACAATAATTAATATTCTAGTGTACACTCTGAGATGATAATAGTTTCATATAATAGTTTGCATGTCATACATTACATAATTAGAGACTGTTTTGTTTGTAACTCAAGAAATGCTTCTTAAATGCCAAATAAAAAGTCCTTTCTCAAACACTTCTAAACTTTTCACAATTGTACTACTCAAGCCTCATCATAACAAAGTTGCACCTTAAACAAAAATAAGTTTTTTATATCCAAAATTCGTTATAAAGATATATTCCTAGCACTAGGTTTAATACAAGAATACTACTCTTCACTTACTTTGTTATATCTGGGTTCGTTATATTGAGGTTTGTGTGTGTAGGTGTTAGCGTAGCATGCACTAAATAATGATCCAGTGGCAGAGGCATGCTAACTTGAAGCATGCCTCTGTTTCAGAGTGGGTTGTTCATCTTGGTTAATTCAAACTATGTGAAGCTTTCATTCAAAATAGGTAATTCTTATTTGTGGCCAAAACAATGGGTAGCTTCGTAGAATTCACCTAAGACTGGTTAAAGTAAACATGCACCTTAGAAACACCTAACAAAGCACGCAAGAAAATAGCTATCACAGCAGCCTTTAACTGTGCCGAAAGCAAAGCAGCAAGTTATCTTTTCAAAGACTCTAATTGTATTTTCTTATGTTCCAACACTTTAATTACACGTGCTTAATTTACTTGGCGGTGGCTGCTCACTTTTCTTGCTTGCTGCTCGCGTGAAGGCAGATACAGCTTAGTTTTGACTGCAATCACTTACCGTTTCAATGTCTGTGATGATATCATCGGGGTCGAAGGATATCTCATCATAGTCAGCTGCATTAGAGTGAAGATTTATCAAGCTCCTATACATACAGTGTACTCACAAAGATAGAAAAAACACTCACAGAGTACAATTAACAAAACTAGCATTATATCTCTAGCCGAGTGCTTGCTTGTAGTTGGCATGTTCTTTGTGACAATGTAACGATGTACAACGTGCTCTAAGTACAGCTGTAACATTAAGAGTAATCGTGAAGCTTACCTTTACAAGCAGTCGGTATAACAATGTTAAAGCATAAGAAATTCTGATGAAAGGCTTAGGCTCATCAACAGTAAACATAACCAGCTGACACATAAAAAACAGGAAAGTGACCAGTCCTTTCTACGAATAGAAAGTTTAGCTGGAATGAAAAACTGCAACACATGACATTAGTAATGAAAAAACAGCATATTTTCTCCCGTACAAACCTTTGCGTTTAGAAATATGACGATGCCATCAATTGCAGCATTTCTTCAATGTTTTTTTTTTACGTGTAACATTATTTGCTGTGACATTGTAATCTACTCATGGCCAACACTTCCAACTCACATGGTGTCGAAACAATCTAATGTTTTTAGGAACCTAAGTTAAAGGCTACAACTCCCCGGCAGGCAGTTTGAAGCTAAGCGGTACACAGGTTCACAAGGACCCACACCCTGACTTTTTGCACCCCCACAACTTTTCCTTTCGCTTAATTTGTCAGAAGTCCTGCTAAATGCTTTAAGATATACCTGGTGAGGCAGATTTATCAAAATCAAAAAGGGGGAACTGCTTTACGCCGTAAATGAACTAACCTCATCCAAGTTTGCCAAGGGGCGAAATGTAATGCAAAATTTGCTGCAAAGGTGGTCTAAACTGATTCTTGCAAATGCTACCTAAAATTGTGGTTGATAATGAGACCCTAATAAATCCTCAATCTTTCAAGAAGTGGCTGCTTACCAGCTTGGTAGTCGTACAATGCGACGGCCGACATTTTCTTCTCAGTCGACACTGGCTCCAAATGCTCATAGATCCCTTCTTCCAGTGACTCACCTATTGAAAGAAAGAGGAACCCATTTGGGGTCACTAGGCAAAGATGGCTTTTTCATTGAAAAAAAAAAATGTTTTTTTTTCAATGAAAAACTGCTTTTTTCTTTGGTTCTGCACAGCTCCGCATGAACAAACATACAACCAAAGCTGTTTTCGTTATGCAACACCGCACAGCCAGGGCGAGAGGGCAGTTGGTGTTTAAGCCCCCCAAACTAACTGAAAATTTTCAATTTTGCATGCGTGTATACACGCACACTAATGCACACTGAACTATGCGTGAAGGGTGGTTGACCCCGTTTCCGTCCCCAACACCCACAAAAAAAAAAAAATTCTGGCTACAAACCTGTCGTGCACCTCTCTGGTAATCTAATATTTCACAAACGCTAACATGTTTGCTAACAAGTAAAAGATCTCTGTCAATTATTAACACCGAAAGCTTCTTAATGTCTGTGGCCAAAAGACAGCAATTGAGAATTGTTGCGTTTCAGTTCTGTCCCGAGGTCATTGAACCCGAGGTCATAACCAACCAGTATTTAGAAGTGAGCCAACTATTATCTTTAATTAATTGGCATCCAACACATTGAATGCTACATAAGTTCATCAAAGTTATTTGTACTATATCACTCGTTTGCATAGTAAAAAAATTGTTGTTCACTATAACGTTTACATTTATAAAGTGTACTTGTTTATATCATGTTGCTTTACTATATCCACGCTTTCAGTTCTGGCTTGTTTCTATCTGAGGTTGTTTTGCTATCTCAAGTTTTTATTTGCATACATTTCCCTACGACTCATGATGAATTTTATTATGCCTTTTACTGTATTTTGTGCAGTTATCTTTGTTACACACAACACAAAATGTTTATGGGTATAAATAAATAAATGAAAATTCCCCATGCAGACTGCTCAACGCTTCTTTCAACGGCTTGCCAAGAAAGTGCCAAACTGCAAAGACATACCAGGCCCCGAATCGGGGCTCGACTCGGACTCCACCGGCGAGTGGTGAATCTGCGGCACAATCTTCTTGGGGGCCTCCTCAACAACTTCTGGCTCCGGCTCTTCCGCTGCAACCCGCGCTGCGCAGGGTGCCGGTGCTTCTTCAACTTCTGCAGACGCCGCAACCACGGATGCGGGAGTTGCGGGTACCGCGGCCGCGGGAGCTGTGTCCTTCACCTGAGGCAGCGGTTCGGTCTCTTGTGTTGGGGAGACATCGGGACTGGCCACCTTATTAACATGATGAGAAAAAAAAAAGAAAAAAAAGAAGTCCCGAATATCATCACAACTCACGACAGGGGCAGATGCAGCGACTCATTTTAGGGTGACGGAAGTAACACTGGAGGGGGGGCGGTGCTACGACTATCTTGTTTTTATCAGTACAAAAACCCCATCCAGCATAAATACTGTTAATGTGCGTTCACAGTTGTCCCACTCATATGCCTTAAGTGGTGACAGAAGGTGGACGACCAGCACTGAAAAGAGGAGGGGGGTGCTGACACAGGCGCTGGATCCGTCGATGACTCGCGGCCACCACTTAAGACAAACATGGTGCCACAACAGTCACGGAGTTTTAGGTATTTAGTTCACCACTGAGGAGAAATAGTTACAATGCTTGGCTGGTGACCCAAAAGCCGCGAGTTCAATCAATTTGCTTGGACACGTTCTGCAATTAATTATGGCTGACAGAGCTTGGATATCTCTCTAAAACACAGGCTTCCTCCAAATCAGCTCAGCAGTTGTCTAACGAAAGGGGTATTGATGTTTTCTGAAATACAAGACCAGTTTTACAGGGGAAAATAAAAAAGAGAGGGCCAAACACAGCACTCTTTTGTTGTCCTTGTTGGCTAACACTTGAAGCCATGAATTATGCAAGCATCAACAAGCCGTATCTTCGATGCTTTTCTGTCTGCACCTTTACAGATCGAGAACACGTTATCGACGGCTTTCCACTGAATTTTGTCACAATAGGAGTGTTTATGGACAACTAATGTCGTCCATCACATAAAACAGGAGCTATTTCTCTAGTTCTGCTTCTTTTTGTTCATTTATTCAATCACAAAGGAAGGAAACTTTCAGCTGCCCTCCAAGTCGAGGGTCCGAGTGCTCACAGTTTCAAATACGGTGTCGACATCGCACACTTTCCCCTCAGAAGTGGCACGTCTCGGCGGATTCTGACAGGTCTACTTCATAATTTTTTTGATGGTGACAGCAGCAAAGACTCGGAAGATGATTCCGACTTCTCCGATTTCGGCACAGACAGCGAAAATGGATGAAAAATGGATTGGAACATTGATATGTATCCGTAGATAACTTTTCTTTTTACCTTTGAACCAAGTCGTAGCTCCCGCTCTTTGTTCTAAAGATATCTGGCATGTTTTAAAGGTCACAGCTATTATCTGCAGGGTGTCAACACCATTCGCCCAAGACAGCTTGCCGATGTATTTACAAAGTATGGTCATTTTGTTTTTAAAAATTTCATATTAAGATTTTTTTCTCACAAGACTGTAATATTTACTTTAAAATTATTATCAGTAGAAAGCACATTTCTTATACTTCAAATTCATGCCACACATTATAGCATCAATAATTTTGTAAGGCAGCAGAAAAATTGTTTATTATAGTACCCAAAAATGTCTTACTTTCCCGTGAATAGGGAAGTGTTAACCTTCGGCATACTGATCACTTCGTCAGTTCACATGTACTTGCATAAAAAACCTGGAATACGAAAAGGTGAGCTAGTTGGTTTTACTCCTGGTCCTTGGGATCTCTCCCTCTGTGTCGTCGTGTGTGTGCTCTAAAGTTTCAGTATGTAAAAAGCTGGCCTCAGGCTAAAAAGCTTTGCTCAAAAGAAATATAACACAACATAAGGATACCTCCTTAAGAAATATTCAAATATCCCTAATTTTAAAATATTTCCTGAAGAAATATTCCAAATTTAGCAGACTGTCAAGTCCACTGGAACAGTGCTTTACCTGCTTCGTCGGCACGACTAGTTCCCGCGGGATGACGGAGACCCGCGAGTGGTTCTTCCGTGTGCCAGGCCGAATCAGCTCCGACTCGTCGGGCTGGCTTCCGGCACTGTCCGAACGTGGCTTGCGCTCCGAAACCTCCTCGTCTCGGTCCTCAGCCGCCTTGAGCTGCTCCTGGAGCTGGTCGATCCGCTTGTGCTCGTCTCGAAGACGCTTCTGCCTCTCCTCCTCGGCCTTCTTGGCTGCCTCCTTCTCTGCCTGGTCCTTCTGAAGCCTCCGCTTGCGCTCCTCTTCGGCGAGCTTGCGTGCCTCCTCCTCCCCAGCCTTGGCCATGTTCTCGAACCGCGAACGCAGGCTCTTGGCTCGCTCCGAGGTCACCTCTGCACGAGCAATGAAAAGGACTCTCCAGGCAGTGTAAACTCCCAGAACGAAGTATATGTATGTATGTATGTATTGTATGTATGTAAGTATATGTATGTATGTATGTATGTACGTGTATATATATATATATATATACATATATACACACATACATACATACACACACACACCGTATTTACTCGCATAATAGGCGCACTTTTTTTTAGGAAATCCAGCTCAGTGTTCAGGTGTGCCTATCACCTGGAGTAAAATTTCAGAAAATTTAGTTTTCAGCTACAGCATAGACCGCTGACAATGTATACGTCACCAAGGTCACAAATATCTGCACTACAGCTGAAACAACGTCCTTCATAGGCTACACTAGCACGCAGACGGCCCCAGAGCAAATGTTACTCTGATACCCCAGAAGCCTCCATTCTACCTCACTCGGCGAGACCGCGGAGCTGGCGTGGCATGCCCGCGGTCATTTTTCTTTTCTTTTTACTTGCTTTTGTTCATGTGAGAGCGCGTGCTATTGCGACTGTGCAAATACAGTACAGAACTACCGATCCCGGCCAAGCTCGGGGTGTGCTTATTATGCGCAAAAAATGAAAAAATCTGAATTCTCGCGGCCAAACTGGTAATGCGCCTATTATGTGAATGCGCCTATTATGCGAGTAAATACGGTACAAATATACATATCTGTACCATAAAATCCTGGGCAGACACAGCTCCCCCCTTCCTCCTTAGGTGCAAGATAACCTTCCTCTTTAGGTGCAAGATTTTGAAGGGGGCCTTCGCTGAGCTGCAGTTAAAAATTTAGGATGAAGACAACAAAAAAAGACAACCACCAGTTTGTAGCACGAAGCCACAAGGAAATCCAGACAGATTTTTCAGAAAGAGAAACCTCTTAGTAGCCCGAAAATTCTTCCTGGCCAGGGGTTTGAACCCAGGACCAACGCCTTTCTGGGGTGGTCGCTCTGCCAGTTGAACTAACGAGGAAGCTAGCAATTGACAGCACGCAGGCAAATTCATTGACAACTCGAAGCACATGGACACATGTACTACAAATGAGTTCTGCGGAAAACCGCAAGCTGGCAGGAGGGTTCACAAAGAAGAATACAACCACCCGTTTTAGCACGTAGCCACAAGGAAATCCAGATGGATTTCTCAGAAAGAAAAGCCTCTTAGTTGCCGAAAAATTTGCTACTGGCAGAGCGGCCACCACGGAAAGGCATTGGTCTTGGGTTCGAACCACGGAACAAGACGAATTTTTCGGCAACTAAGAGGCTTTTTTTTCTAAAAAAATCCGTCTGGATTTCTTTGTGGCTTCCTGTTACAAACGGGTGGTTGTCTTCTTTCCGTTTCTTAACCCTTCTGCCACCTTGTAAGTTTCCACAGAACTCATGTGCAAAGTTTAAGATGCAGGCAAAAAAGCCTCTAAGAATAAAGAATGTGTACCCATGCTTCTAACGAAATGCTTCACTGATACACATGCACTCGCTGCTGTTATTCGCCCCCATCGGGAGAATAAAAACAACGAATAAACGAGCGCCATTAGTACACGGGGACGCAAGTCTCCGCTACGCTCACCGATGTCGGGCCTTGGTTTCTGGTACGCTGGCTTGGGCTTCTCGACTTCGGCGAATGTGTGGGCACACTGCGAGGAAGATGCAAGCAAGTAGCTCGTCGTAATATGGAAAGTGCTTAGAATATCTAAAAGCACTCTCAATCGTAAAGCATGCATAATTCGACGAGTATTTGCCATAAATCCTGTCAATAATAAACTACCGCAGCAAAGCCGTAAATTTGCACATAACACCTTTGTGTATGTATCACTACACTTCTAGTTCACATTCTAGTTCAGTCGGAAACAAGCCTGTTTCTGGTATTAGACTACATCGAACCATAAACGCACTCAAACTTCAATATAACGAACATGAATATAACGAAGTATTGGTTATAACGAAGTAAATGAAAAAAATAGGAATAACCTTTAAAAAGGTTAGGAATAACCTTTATAACGAATGTTCAGATATAACAAGCTTATTTTCTTGTACGATGCAAGTTTGTTATCATGAGGTTTGATTGTATAGCCAACAAATGATTGCACCGCTAAAGACGTAGCTCCTCAAGCGAAACGTACACAGCAGCACTTCATTCGACCTGTGAGTGCCTCAATCCATTCTATTAAAATAAGACAGCTGTGAAAATATTTCTTGCCTACCTTGTCCTGTTTGTCCTTCTCTATGCCAAACTTGCCACCGAATCCCTTGGAATAATCTGCGCATCACAGTGAACAATAAAATGCATGCAGCCTCAGAAGATGGACAGCCAAGTGCTACTTTTATGTGCACGTAAGCAAGATGTCACACAGTATTTGACGATATTTTTATGACTCAGTTATTCAGGCTAATGAAATGTGCCACACCTTTTAGTGGGTCAATTTACAATGTCAAAATTTTTGACATAGCTTGTTGGTTCATTTTACCATTTTGATAGAAATTCGATAAATTTTCCTGAAATGGGGAAAAAAGATATTGCTTCAAAGGTGAAGTGATTCCTCACTGGAATAGTGAGGCCTTTGTTTTGTGGAGAACTTTAATCACATAGTTTCAATGTGAGGATACTTGCAGATCACACACTCGAGAGAGAGAAATTTAGCTGGCTAGTTCAGACACGAGGTGCCATTCTAGAAACTCAAATTCCGAGTTTTGGTGTGATTCTCTCCTTGGGCATTGGCACCTTCTTCAAGAAAGTCACAGAATCACCCAACCCATCCTCACCTTTCTGCGATTCGTGCTTCTCCACCTTCTCAATGTGGTTCCAGCCAACGGCAGACGTGTCCTGCCGGTCACTCTGAACCCCGAACTTGCCTCCAAAGCCGATGGCATAGTCTAAGCCACAAAAATAAGAGAGCCAAAATTTAGCTAAGTTTCCGCACCCCTGCCCAACAACACAATGCTATGCTTGGGAGATCAACGTAGGAGGGACGAAAATCAGCTCCGAACATATGCACTTTCCAGCATGCACGCACACAGACACACACACACTAATACACACATAAACAGAAGCAGTATATATCTGAATGCATAATATTTACAACCCTTTTTTTACTTCACAAAAAAGAATCTAGCAGATATCATAGAAATTTCTGAGATTTCATTTACTGGACTTATGCCAACCCATCTGCAATGCTAACTGTAATCCTCCAACAATAACCTGTGCAGACACTGCCAACAAAATCGCAAGCTAGCACGTAACTTTTTTTCTGCAAAGTATTAGTACAATTAAATTTATCAAATACATAAACTGCAGATGCTTCCAGGTGTTCCATGTAACACGCTGAATCCAGCACAACTCCAGAACTTACCAGTTTGTGATGCGTGCTTCTGTGTTTTCTCGTGAAACTCCCAGCCAACAGCAGACTTGTCCTGGCGTTCCTTCTGGACGCCAAACTTGCCACCAAATCCGGTACTGTAGTCTGTGATCAGCCAAAGCTTACATTACTCCACAAAAACACCGGCAAGAAAATGCTAGAACAAATTGTCAAGGATGCTAGAACAAATTGTCAAGGAAAGTTTGCATCAATAGATGCGAGTATGAACATCCACTGTACTAAATGAAATGTAGTCTGCTATGATTTTTAAAAACAAGCTCTCTAGTGTTCTTCGTCTTTTGTTTTACTGCAGTAAATTTCTGGCCAAACAAACTTCCTCAAGCTGTGGTTTGAGAAAACATTTCTGGCCAAACAAACTTCCTCAAGCTGTGGTTTGAGAAATACTATACATCTGGTGAATTAGGCTGCAGAATTTAATGAATTGAACCTTTATTTTGTAGATGACAACCCCCGGCCACAGTTTGTGAATAGGCGGGGAAGAAATTGTTGGGTGTACAACATGAGCACATTAAACTAACATCCGTTCGTGTGAATTCGTTTTCAGTAGAGGTTCAATAGAGTCGCTCTCTTATGTGAGATGGTCAACCTCTTCTACACTGCTCAAAACAGACCACTAATACTAGCATAGGCTGCAAGTGCTTATTATGCTTCGTCATTACATTGTAGCACAACGCCTAAGCTTCTGATGTCATCACGGGGCAGGCATTGGATGTGTTCTTCCTCAAGAGAAAGCTGAGCAGATCCAAATGAGGTTGTGCAAATCTGCTCTGCATAACTTTTGACAAGGTGGGCATCGATAAGAAGTGTAGTTTGTAATAGCCTTCGTTTACAATTGATTTTCAATTTTACACGAGTATAATGCATAAAAAAACTCTGCTAGGAGAGCCTTTGTGCAACAATTTTGGGTAGGGATTGAAGAGGTCCGCCAGGTATGGCCACAAACTGGGGTGTGGGGTGCTTAATAAATAGCCGGGCCCGCCTGACTGCGCCACGACCACATGAGCGGCTTTGTTGCTCCTGTCCGTGCCAGCGTGTCCCGGTGGGCACAAAATGTAGATTTGTGCCCACTGGGACACACTGTCCCACAGTCCCTGACTGCCCACAGTCCTGTAATCTCCCGACTTATTTCTGATGTCGCTAGCTACTGCATCTTCGGTCATTTTTGCTGTGAGCTGAGCCACCGCTTCGTTCGACTCTGTCAGCATACAAAAGCTATTTAGAAGATTCTCGCTTACACTGTTCCCCATGTCAATCGGAATAGTGTTGACTGCAGAAAGAATTTATACTGCTAAAAAATCCTGTGCCATTATGCAGCTACTGCCAATTTCTCTTTCAAATATATGCATCTACAATAAGGAGATCGAAGATAGGGAAGGTTCTGATTCACTTTTTTCAAAAACAATTCTAATAGTACTTCAATATTATCAGAAATTATTTGTATGAAAGGTATTCTCTTCAAGGTGAATTTTTTTGCAGGGTTGTCAAGTGATTTTCATGAGAGATGAAAGTTGTGCCATTAAAACACATTTATAAATCAAATCAAAGTGAGCTATGAGAATTTAAAATCACGCCATGAAATTTCCATGCCCACCTGTGGTTCTTTCATTTGCACCTGAACCCCAGTATTATGTGAACATTTTTACATTTCGGCCTTTTATTATTCTGCCCCCCACTACTTGGAATACACTGCTTGGGAGCCAATGAGTTACAACCACCACTGCAAAATGTGCTTATATAAACGAAAAAAATTCCATTTGAAACAGGCACCCACAAAACGTTTCCTGGAAGTCCAATAGCATAATATGCACAATCAAGTTGAAATCATGCGTCAAAGAAAGCTACAGGGTAAAAAAAAACACGGGACACATGATTTCATGGACGAGTGTTTATGCAGTGATGAGTGCGAAGGCCTACAATGTACAATCAACCGCGAACTTCCCGTAAGCAACAAACAAGTTGACAACGGGGCCACTCACCTTTCTGCGAAGCGTGCTTCTCGACCGATTCATGGTGTTCCCAGCCTACGGCACACTGAGAAAACAGAAGACAAGGCAGGAGAGTTACTGTTTAAATTGTGCTGTTTGTGCATTGATTTGTCCATATATTTATTCATTCCGTTATCAAGAGTCCTCTCAGCAAGTGATTACACTATAATATAATAATGCTTGCATACAATATGGCACCAAAATCGACGCAACACACTACACATTTCGCTTCCTTTAAGTTGCGATACATGTAATTATGCATAATGTATCATTTATTATGTTAACTGTAGTACTTCCAACATTAATGAACGATGAGGACGTGTGAATGCACATTCACGGCATAAATGCAGAACAACTTGTTAGTCTTAGATTTAAGAGAGTCTACTCTTAAGTAACAAAAACAGCTGAATAATAATAAATTAATCATAACTGGACTCTTTCTTCAACTTTTTTGCATCAACAGTGACTGGCACGGAGGATTGCATTTGTGCATGAAACACCCTCAGGCCTCTAATTAAAAACTAAGCTGTACTTAATGCCAGATTACCAACAAGATGCTTTCTTGAAAAGTGGATATCACATTGCATCTGCAAAGAGCAGAAAAATAGCAATAACGACAATTCTGGAAATGAAGAACAGGTTATAATCATTAATAGGCCCCTACTGTGAACTGACAAGTGTATTCGTTTATCGTTTCCCAGGAACAGTTTTTTTTTTTCATGGCTCTTTTAACTGACAATTTGGCACCTGTACTGTTCATCATCATAATAAGATAACATTACATATTAAAAGATTATTTTATATGCAAGCAGATTTTGGTAAAGACTCTATGACTACAATATTCAGGCGAGCAGAACCTCCTTCAAATGTGCACAGGATCCACAATGTCTATACTAAGGATGCGGACAAGTTTGCGTAATGATAATAATAGCATCCAAGGATTTTAACAAATGCCGCAAATATGGGCGACGATAAATAAAAGACAAGCACCAACGTTACAACTATAAGTGCTAGAATCATCCTCCACTCAGCACAAACCTTGTCTTGGCGATCTTTCTGCACGCCAAACTTCCCGCCAAAGCCTTTGACAGCATCTGTCTGAGAGGCGTGCTTGTGCAGTGACGCGATGTAATCATTCCCGACGGCCGACTGTGAAAAAAAGAATCTGAATGTTCGCGTTTGCATATATTCGGGCATGAGACAAAGGCACTTGCTGTTGTCTTTCAAGCAGTGCAAGATAAAACAAGCACAGCAAAAATTTACAAAGTTGACCTCAAAAACACTAGAGTAAAACTAAATTCTGCCACAAATGTTTGCAGTACGAAAGTTTCACGAAAAATTTGAACCAGTTCAAAGCCTAGCCAACAGCATGAAGTACAAAGTTTCCCCGAGAGTGGAGTTCCCAGAGTTTATGTGTATCACATAATGAAGTAAATCTAAAGTGCTTTTTAGGTTATATCAGCATGCAACATGCACATGTTTGTAACGAACATTCTAACATGTTGGATGGAACTTCCTTAGTGATGAAATTCAACTGTAGTTTTTGTTGTTTACAGTGATTCCTTACCGTGCTGTAATAGAGTGAGAATTCACATTTGGCTTGTAAAATGCATTACACAAGGTTTCATACGTTTGAGTTAATGCAGATCTCGCATCTTGCTGTACGCTGGCCATCATATACATTGCCTCATAGAAGTGACGGAAGGCACAGGGTGATGTCATGAAATGAGCGGACTTCTCAATACAAGTCGTGAGGTGCAAGCAGGCTCGTAAAAGTATGCTCCTTTACCTTGTCCATCCTATCATTCTGGACACCAAACTTGCCGCCGTAGCCGTAGGAGGCCTTGGGCAGTTCTTCAAGCACACGCTTTTTGTAGGCCGCATCATCCTTGGCTACCTGTTCTCGGAGTTCGGCAATACTGGAAGGGAAAAAAATGAGAAAAGCACTAATTGTTATAACTTTTAACAGTGTGCTTTACGTCACAAGTTAGACCAGCTCACAAAAGCAAGTCCCAACATAAAGTCATCCTGCCAAGTCAAAGCTCGAAACAGCCTCAAGGTGTCGCCCAGCAGAGCAAAAACCAACTGTTCGTGTACCCTACACAGACCCGTGGCTGTACATAGTATTATGCCATGGGTGATAAGTACTGCCTTTTAAGCTCTTTGTAACATCACGTGGCGCCCAGCAGAGCAAAAACCAACTGTTCGTGTACTCTACACAGACCCGTGGCTGTACATAGTATTATGCCATGGGTGATGAGTACTGCCTTTTAAGCTCTTTGTAACATCACTGTTACAAAGAGTCTAAAGGCAGCGCTTATCACGGATGCATATGCCCATCTTTTTGTGTTCTGCGAATCTTTATCATTCTCAATCATTTCAGCATTCCGCGTTGAGGTGTGGCTGCCCCTCCAGATAAGCTTAACTGGCAATGACCACCCCCGCTTGGATCACCAGTTTCCTGTCGTAAATATTTCTCACTGCAAGCTGGAGCATGTAGGCTAGACCAATCTAATACACCCATATACATACTTAGTTGGACCACTTTATAAGCAACACTGATGTAGGAGACAATTCGCAGCAAGAGACACCGATGTGCCTACGTCAAAATAGGGGTTGAACGGAAAGTGAGACTGAGGTGCGCTGAGTGTAAGAGAGACCTCAAATGAAGGGCAATAACTGCTCCCTGGTGCACTTCTCTTATAATAGGATTAAGCACACAAATTTTAATGCGATGGCGCAAAAGAGCTCGTTTCACAGAAGTCCCAGTGTCATTGGTTGTGAGCGAAAAAATCAGCGTAACCCATGAGCGAACATTCGAGATGGATGCAAATAAATCAATAATAAAAATCTTCAGTTCGAGTGGGGACTTAGTTCAGGACTCCTGCATGGAAAGCAGGTGTGCTCATGCTCGAAATCGCTTTGAGGAAGAAAACAAAAATTTATATGAATCTTACATGGGGCGAGGGGTGTCATTAACATGTAATATTGAGAGGCAGAAGCACAGAATCACACCAGACATCAAAATACGAATTGTGCAATGAGCGGTTGGTTTAATGGCCCACCAAATGCAAGGTGGGCAGGCATAATTATTGCTATCATCATCGCATCAACAATGTGTACTGGTGCACGTGTTGCCTTGCGTACGCATGGTGCACACGTCACTAATTCATAAAAAATAAGAAAAACATTTGTATTGTAGTGAACATCTTGACACAGCACTTCCAGTAAGCATTTCACGATAGTTTGAAAGGGCCTTTTTGCAGGTGCACAGACATTCCTTTTCTAGCAGCGTGGTTTAGATGTTTACCAAATGGCACAGCTGGGCTAGTGATTGAGCAAACTTGTTGTGAACAGGGCCTGGTTACACAATCGCATTCAACGAATCTTGTCACCTTCAAGTTTTTCCTTGTATGACAGTATACAGTAAATATAAATAAATAGGAAAACACAAAAGAAATTGATCAAGACATCTATTGACCATGATTCATAACTTTTGCCATAGAATTATTACCCCTGCATAACTATGACATAAATTCAAAGGCATTCCAGAGGCAAAATTAAGCAATAGTCGTATACAACTTTAGAAGTTCGTGACATTGGCCCCTCAAAGGCAACATACGGAAAACATCACATGAGAGTAAGGTTGGTTTGTGAATACGGACCTATGTTTCCCAAGCTTATGCATTGTTTCTATACACTGAAAAAGAAAGAAAAAGATAACAGCAATGATGCTTAAAAAACTCACTTGACAGCATCGGCAACATGTCCGGAGCCTTCGACAGTTTTGGAACCCCAGCGTTGTTCCTCTTCGGTCACATCGTTCTGCAACACATTTTAATAGTCCAATATGGGAATGCACACTATTGGCAGAGCCAACACCTTTCTTATAAATAATTCAGAGCTGCAGCTACAATTCTTAGTATGAAATGGCTGCCTTTAAAGTTGCGCTTTACAAAACACGATCACTCTCTGTGAAGACGATATAAGACAAGGATGCCTGTTAAGATACATACATACATTATGGTATTCTGGAAATTGTCAAATTCTATCATTGGTCAACTCTGACTGGCCCAGAGGGCTGTTGCGGCCTTTATGAATGGCTGAAAATTGCGCCCTTACAAAATTTAACGGTATGGTGGAACATTAGGGTCCAGAGCAGTATCCTCTAAAGCCTATGTTAGAACTGCCGGAGTAGATCCATCTGTGAAGTTTTTCTTGCTGTAGTAAATTTTCCACAGGTCGAAAAATGATTCCCCGTTTCTGGCATACCACAATACACAGTGTTCAAGGAACCTGACTAGAGTTGTGGTATTGCTTGTGCGATCTGCGTTTATTTCAAGGGTCAGTACACAACCACGCATGCACTACATTCATGTGTTGTACAGTTTAACCAGTAATCCACTTCAACCTACTGCGCTTATTCATTTTCGAGACGTCAGGAACTCTACGATTGTTTCAGATAGGCGAGTTTTGCCACATGGGCACCCGACACTGACCAGAGGGTGTGATGGATCTCATGTGCTGCCTCAGCATTGACGACATTGACCGCCAGAAATATCAAGAAAGTGTAACGCTCGTTGAACACTATGCATTCAAGTGTCTCAGTTTAGGGGCAGGTTTTGAACAAACGCTTCCTGGGTGCATCTATAATCGCCTGTTACCCATCTCACATAACCTAAAGAAAGTAGAAATGTGCCCTGGTGGGTCCATTTTTGCTGATTGATTGATATGTGGGGTTTAACGTCCCAAAACCACTATATGATTATGAGAGACGCCATAGTGGAGGGCTCCGGAAATTTAGACCACCTGGGGTTCTTTAACGTGCACCCAAATCTGAGCACACGGGCCTACAACATTTCCGCCTCCATCGGAAATGCAGCCGCCGCAGCCGGGATTCGAACCCGCGCCCTGCGGGTCAGCAGCCGAGTACCTTAGCCACTAGACCACCGCGGCGGGGCGGTCCATTTTTGCTGCGTCTACTAGCTAGGCTGTGTGTTCTGGAGCTACCGTCGGATCTCTTACATTTCATCACCGGTTGCCTATAAACCCGGATTGGTGTCACTGGTTTCGGGACAGAAACTTGAATGTCTTAGCGAATTTTAGGGACTCATCAGACATCTATGCTGAGCCAAACGCAATGTTTTGGTAGGAACGACGAGTCTTTAATATTGACGCAAGGTAGGCTGGCAACTATAGTAGCCAGCATCTGAAGAGGACAACGAAGTAGATCTGTGTGCGCGTGCTCTGGTGTTCGCGTTTTTCTGGCCCTTGGGTTGCGAAAGTAAACGCCCTATTTTGTACCTGCGTGCCTGTGTCTTTGTGACATTTTCTGGTGGAAGTGCTGGGCACGGTAGATGATACGGTCCCCTGAGAGCACCCCTGACGCAAGTCCATCGAGTAGCTCAGCCGAACTTACCCCTGTGCACGTACGTTCCAGCCGTCGTCTCCAGGGACTCGAGCCACAGCACGGTTTGCTGCCTGAACGTCAGAGGGCTATGAATCAAACCCCGCCTAACGTCACCGCGCCAGCACCAGCGCACCTGGTTATCAACCAGCCCAAGACGCCGAAGACATTTCATGGAGCTGCTTTTGAAGATGCCGACGACTGGCTCGAGCATTTCAACCGGGTCGCCGTCATCAATGATTGGACACCAGAGCGTAAGCTACGCTATGTGTACTGCTTCCTGGAGGACTCCGCGAAAACGTGGTTTGAGAACCATGAAGCAGCGCTTACGTCATGGGAGGAGTTTCAACGGCAGTTCCTCAAGGCATTTTCTCGAGAGGACAGGAAGGAGACAGCGGAGCGTGCTATAGAGGCAAGGTTTCAAGGCCCTAACGAAAGAGTGACGACCTACGTAGAGGACATGGATCGGCTTTTCAAGCGTGCGGAGCCCTCCATGTCCGAATCCAAGAAAGTTCGCCACCTAATGCGTGGTGTTAAAGAAGAGATTTTTGCCGGCCTGATTCGAAACCCGCCTGCGACACTTGCGGAGTTCCATGAGGAAGCCACTGCCATGGAGAGGGCCCTTCAACAGCGTGCCAGACAGTATAACCGTGGTGTAAACCCAAGTGAGGTCACTTCTGTCACTCTCGGCAATGACATCAGCGCGTTGCGAGAGCTTATCAGAGCTCTCATTAAGGAAGAGCTACAAAAGATGCAGGTGACTGCTTCACCTGCAGAGCAGCTCTCCGTTGCGGAGATGGTACGCGCCGAGCTACGGCAAGCCGTTCACGCTCCCCAACCATCCGAGGCGCCACAACAGAGGCACTGCGTCGAGATGAGCTACGCGGAAGCAGTGCGACGTCGTCCATCGTACAGTTCCACCAGCGTATGTTACCCCAATGAGCGACACGCTCAACAAATGGAGGTAGGCTTCCGCCCTCGCAGCTCACCATTGATCGCCGAAGCAAGACCGAGAAAGAGTGACATCTGGCGTACACCCGACCACAGGCCCCTTTGCTTCCACTGCGGGGAAGCCGGACACGTCTACCGGACATGTCCATATCGTCGTGTGGGTCTCCGTGGATTTTCGCCTAATGCCCCTCGTCCACGACCTGGCGAGCGACCACAGGAAATAGAGAGTTTCATCTCGAATCGTCGCAGTATTGAACATCGGTCACAAGAGCCTCGCTCGTCGTCGCCTGCTCGCTACAGGTCACCGAGCCCAGCCTATTCACGCGGCGCTCCAAGACGCCGTTCACCCAGTCCTGCAAGTCGGGAAAACTGAGTTCAGCGACCTCCGGAGGTGAGGCCGCTGACGCTGACTCTACGGAAGATCCTCCACTACGACGACAGCGACAACAGCAAAAAGATGTACAGACGTTTTCTACGGCACACGCTTTAGCGCGCAACCCTCACGGCAGTTACGTCAATGCTCTGAGAATTGTTGACGATGACGTCACGTTACCGCCGAAGAGTAGCGTGTTCACCTTGGTAGCCTGCGACGTTTTCGACGAATTCAACGACTATGAAGGTATTGCTGAGGCAAATATCCCGCTGCTGCTCAAACGAAACATATGCATAGCCCGATGCCTTGTTCGGTTAGAGAATAAACGCTCTCGAGTTCTGCTGACCAACTTCAGCAATGAGTTTCAGCACGTTCCTAGAGGGACTACTGTCGCTTTCCTCAGTGAAATAGCCGACTTTTTCGATATCAGCACAATGGATACGACTTCACCACATGCAAAAGCTTGTGCTGACCTGGGAAGCCGCATTCACGTTAATCCAGACTTGCCAGATTCACGAAAAGAGCGGCTGCTAAACCTTGTGAGGGAATTCTCGGACTGCTTCTCCACCGCATCGAAAGTTCAGCGTACCACCGTTACAAAACACCGCATTGTTACCGAGGAGTCGGCGCGGCCTCTTCGCCAACATCCATACCGTGTGTCCCCGAAGGAAAGAGAGGTGATTAAACGTCAAGTTCAAGAAATGCTGAATGATGACGTCATCCAACCCTCGACAAGTCCGTGGGCGTCACCTGTTGTCTTAGTAAAGAAAAAAAGACAACACACTACGCTTCTGCGTTGACTATCGACGGCTTAACAAAGTCACGAAACGCGACGTTTACCCCCTGCCACGGATTGATGACGCCTTAGACCGTCTACGCCACGCCCAGTTCTTCACATCACTAGATCTCAAGTCAGGGTACTGGCAAATTGAAGTTGACGAAGGCGACCGTGAGAAAACCGCGTTCGTGACGCCTGACGGGCTGTACGAATTTAAAGTGCTGCCTTTCGGTCTCTGTTCCGCTCCCGCCACATTTCAACGCATGATGGATACTGTACTAGCTGGACTAAAGTGGCAGACGTGTCTTGTATACTTGGATGATGTCGTTGTGTTTTCAACCACATTTGACGAGCATATTTCAAGGCTAAAAAGTGTCCTCACTGCAATAAGGAGAGCGAACCTTACCATCAAGCCCGAAAAGTGCTACTTTGGCTATCAGGAACTCAAGTTTCTCGGCCACGTGGTTAGCCCGGGGGGTGTTCGACCAGATCCGGAGAAGTTGGCTGCCGTTGCCGATTTCCCTCGTCCGGGAGACAAAAAGGCTGTTCAGCGATTCCTCGGACTCTGTGCGTACTACCGCCGTTTTGTCGAAGGATTTTCGAAAATTGCGGAACCTCTTACAAGACTGACACGGCCAGATGTACCGTTCGTATGGACGGAAGAACAACAACAAGCCTTCGTAGAGCTGCGCAATCGACTGCAGACAGCTCCAGTGCTGGCACATTTCGACGACACTGCCGACACCGAGATCCACACAGACGCCAGCAACGTGGGAATCGGAGCTATTCTAGTTCAATGGCAGAACGGCGCAGAGCGTGTGATCGCTTACGCGAGCCGCAGTCTCACAAAAGCAGAGGCTAATTACTCTACCACCGAAAAAGAGTGCCTAGCAGTCGTTTGGGCCATTAGCAAGTTTCGACCCTACTTATACGGCCGGCCATTTCGAGCGGTCAGTGACCACCATTCGCTCTGTTGGCTTGCCAATCTACGGGATCCATCAGGCCGCCTCGCCCGCTGGAGCCTCCGCCTTCAAGAGTATGACATAACGGTGGTCTACCGATCAGGACATAAGCATACAGATGCTGACTGCCTGTCTCGTGCTCCTATTTCCCCGACGTCATCTGACACTGAACAAGATTTACCGTTTCTTGGCATCGTCGATGTGGTGCGGATGGCTGAGCTTCAACGTGAGGACACTGAGCTACTTCCTGTCATCCAGCATCTTCAAGGAGAAGACGTTGTCGTCCCACGCCGACTCTCGCGTGGTTTGGCTACGTATTGCCTGCGGAACAATGTTCTCTACAAGAGAAATCTTGAGAGCAGCCAGGAAACTTTCCTCCTCGCCGTTCCAATGGCACTGCGTGAGGAAGTTTTGCAGGCGTGCCACGACGATCCTTCGGCCGGCCACTTAGGCTTTGCTCGGACATTAGCGCGCATCCGACAGAAGTACTACTGGCCACAGCTGTATTCGTCCGTTCAGCGCTATGTCCGCACATGCCGTGACTGTCAGAGGCGTAAAGTTCCACCCGCAAAGCCCGCCGGTTTCCTCCAACCTTTAGATCCACCTCGAGCACCATTTCAGCAAGTAGGAATGGATCTTCTTGGTCCCTTCCCTACGTCATCCTCAGAAAATAAGTGGATAATTGTCGCGACCGACTATCTGACTCGCTATGCAGAAACCAAAGCTGTGCCTAAGGGAACTGCAGTTGAAGTCGCCAGATTCTTTGTCCACGACATTGTTTTGCGCCATGGTGCACCTGCTGTTCTCATAACCGATCGCGGAGCAGCATTTACGGCAGAGTTATTGCAACAAGTCACCAAGCTGACGCACACCAACCACCGGAAAACAACAGCTTATCATCCCCAAACAAACGGCTTGACGGAGAGGTTAAACAAAACATTGGCCGACATGCTATCTATGTATGTTGACGTAGAGCACAAAACGTGGGATGAAATTTTGCCGTACGTCACGTTTGCCTATAACACCGCTGTGCAAGAGACCACAGACCTAACACCATTCGAGCTTGTTTATGGCCGTCGCGTCACAACACCGTTAGACGCTATGCTCCCTGTAGACCAGGACAACAGCGGAAATGACAGCGTTGACGACTTCGTTGAGAAAGCCGAGGGAGCCCGCCAGCTTGCACGGAACCGCATTCGCGCACAGCAAGATATCGACGCTCGCCGTTACAACCAAGGCCGAAGGAGCGTCCACTATCAACCAGGTGACTATGTATGGGTGTGGACACCAGTTCGACATCGTGGGCTTTCGGAGAAGCTATTGCGGCGCTACTTTGGCCCTTACGAAGTTGTGCGCTGCCTCAGTGACGTGAATTACGAGGTAGTTCCCCAAAGCTTCGACACCAGTTTAAACCGAAGACGTCCACGTCCAGAAGTAGTCCATGTAGTACGGATGAAACCGTATTATGCCCGCGACTTATGAACACTTCGAACTTTTTCCTTATTATCCACAACAGCGTGAGCTTTTTTTTTCATTGACGTGACATTTTTTTTTCTTTCATGGCCACCTCTAGCATCTCAATCAATCGACCAGGACGGTCTCTCTTGAAAGGGGGGAATTGACGCAAGGTAGGCTGGCAACTATAGTAGCCAGCATCTGAAGAGGACAACGAAGTAGATCTGTGTGCGCGTGCTCTGGTGTTCGCGTTTTTCTGGCCCTTGGGTTGCGAAAGTAAACGCCCTATTTTGTACCTGCGTGCCTGTGTCTTTGTGACAATATTTCGTATGCGTAGTAATTCACATTAGCTGAGAAAGGACGTTTGTCGTAAGAGAAGCTGGCACAACCGCCTTTCACGGGCGAATGGCAGGTGCGCCGCGGTTTTGTGGGCGGAGCTTATCTATGTTACGGGGCGGAGCTGTGGGCGGAGCTTATCTATGTTACAGGGCAATTTGGAGTGACGCTAAACGGCGTGGCATTCATTGATTCGAGGAGGAGGAAACGGACGCCGCTAATGCCAACAACAAACAAGTACAACGGGAACGACTCGCTTCAGCGAGTGCGCAACAGGCTAGGCTGACACACCCCACTTCACGTCACGCTGTTAGACGGGAACACAGAGGTGATGCACACCGAAAACAAAGGAAGTATTCGAGCAGTTCGCCGGATGGATTGCCGGTCGCTTTGACAGAGCGAAGCACCGGCGGATGACAGTTATTTCACGTCACGCACAAGCCGATGCGAAAACGAGGAGGTTTCCGTTTTTCGGAACGCTGTAGCCGCCGGAATGAACACAAACCACGCTGCGCTAAACCCGTCTGTGAGGCGCGTCTTTCAGGCGCATAAAGAGGAGTTGTTTGAGAAACAAGTGTCAAGCTTTTTGCGACTTGGACACGCCCACAGAAGTCCCGATCTGACACTGAAAACGGAGAACCGCGACAGCTTTGGAGCACTCTACGTCTGGGGTTCTACACGCCAAAACCACACATGGATGCGATCGCTAGCTGTTTGTACAACGAAACTTGCAACAATATCCTGTCAGTAAGGCGATGACGGAGCTAGTTGGTTCACGTCAACGTTTCGAATATGCGCTTTCTCCCGTTAACCACATGTACGTCTATCTCTTCGTTGACAATTGTTTGAAACAGCGCATGCTCGAAACTTCCAACAGCATACTTGTGTAGGTAGCGCATCCAAGAACCAGGTCGCGTCGTTTCGTTTCTATAAAGTACGCCGACTGTGTAGTGCAATACGTACCACAAAATCCGGGTCGGTTTCCCAGTCGTCGTCGGGTGCTTGAGACTGTACTTTCAGATCGGTGCCGACCGCTGCTTTCCAAGTCGACATGGTGCAAGCGAATCAGTCGCTGCGTTGCCAGCGGCAAAGGTATCGGACGGCTCGGCGTGTTTACAGGAACCTCCGCCCCACGCGATAACACTCGTATATCCGTACTTCCACAAGCCGCAGCAGCGGGGCCGGTAAGGAGCTCTCCGCTATCCGCAAGATTATACGACGGCCCACCGCTGAAACACGCGGAGGTGCTGAAACGGTACTTTAGCAGGCGAACACCAGCGAAGTTGGAACGTTGATTTGGCTCATAACGCACTCTCACAGAACGAAGCCGGCGCGCCGTGAGTCACAATCGTCACACGAGCGACCCTTTCGACGCACAAACTGGAAACATCGGTGACGAAACTGTGTGGCAACACTGTGTGTACAGTACGCTGGAAAGATAACACAACAAAAGCCTCGAAGCTATTGGGGGAGTTAAGCTTGATCACTTGTTGTCAACGTGTGGAGCTTTTTTTTAAAACTAAAATAAAACAAAGAAGGCGCTTTGTAACTGAAAAAAAAAATTGGCAAAACTGGAGACTTTAAGGCATGAATAAAAAAAACCTCAGTGTTGTCAATTGTCACAAATTTTGTGCTAAACTTATAAAGTTTTCTACAAACTCACTAGGCAACACTGAAGTAAATAGTGCGCTGTAGAGATAATGTAGCAAATGTTTTGAAGCAATATTGTAGAATGCTGTGGAGGAACAAATGACGCAAAGAATTGATGCGTTATGTTACTTAGAGCACTCTAGCAGGTATTCACATAAGTATTATTGCGTTCTAGCATGACTTATTAAGTCTCTTTAAAAACAGAAGGCTAATGACTTTCGACATTTATCATCCATAAAATATTAGTGAAACTGAAGTGGTTCATGCGTATTGTCAATCAAGGTGCCACAGAAAACACTTATACCGCGTGACTTCCGTTAGAGTGTCTACTTCCGTGCAAGGAGGGTTTCTGTGGGTTTCCGTTTGTCGACTGATGTTCTCGGACTAAGCGGTTGCTGCAGCGAAGCAACGTAGCCACAGAACACCTACCAATTTTAAACCGCGGCCAGGCTCCATCCGCCCGTACACCCAAGCGTCGAAAGCATGCCTTCGAAGGCGCCCAAGCTGATGGCCACGCTCGGCATCGTGGGACTGGTGCACGCAGCCATATCGGCGGCCCAACACCGGTCCTACCTGCGGCTCACCGAGCAGGACTTCACGGTGTTGCCGCTGGACATCATCTTCCAGAGCGTGCTGTGCCTGCTGATCACCATGTACGGTACCATGTGCATCGCGGGCGACTTCAAGGAAGTCCGCGCCACGGTCGAACTGGAGAGCAAGACCTTCGAGACGTTCGGAAACCGGCCGTCCTTCTACACGTTCTGCCACCGCGGCCGAGCGCTGGCTAGAAGTTAGAAGCTTGGACACTTGGAACATGCCGCGATGGTGAACGACTGCAACATCTATCGCGACCGCTGTTTGTACTGGTACGTGGTGGCTGCCTGCCTTCGATGACGCTGGCGTCGAAATCTTCACCGCGAGTGTACCGTATCGAACCCAGAAGCAAAGCTCTGTGCTTTCTCGGATAGAGAAACCTCTGCCGTCGTCAATGCTACGACAGAGAGGGCTTTTTTTGAAATGTGTATAAGCGGGGTTTAGCACAGCACTGTGTAGATGTGTTCTGCAGTATAAGTGCACGCTTTGGGTTGGGGCTCGTTTTGTCGGTTATATGTGGTGTCACCTTGGCAGAGTTTTTCAGATTGTATATTAAAGCACTTCACTATCATGCTCGTGCGTTGTTGAACCATGTGGAAACATATTGTGCTAGAGTGCTTGTTTGGGCCGATTGGTATGCGTCCATGGAAAACCAGAAACGGTGCAAAAACAGGAAAGATAGGGAATAAACACGGTGCCGTTTCTCAGTTTCCACGTAATCCTGGGGTTTTACATGCCAAAACTACAACATGGTTATGAGGTACACTGAATTGGACCACTTGGAGGTGGTACTTTGCAAGAGCTGAATGCATGGATGTTCCTGCATTTTGCCTGTATCAAAGTAGGGCTGCTGTGGCTGGGTATCAAACCTGCATTTTTATGATAAGCAGTGCAACAACACAGCTTCCAAGTTGCGCCACAACGGTTTCTTGACATGTGCTGCACGCACTCACTCTGTGACGTTAGCAGTTCAACTGCGGTTCGGTTCACTCGCTGAAGAGCACACACAAGATTTTTCATTTGTTCGAAGGATGTGCAACAATGAAACAGGTGAATCTTTAATTGGTAACAGAACAGGTGCTCCCTCTGCTGAGACTAGACGGCGATGGGAGCAACACCACATGCTCGAAAGTTGTGCGTGTCCACTCTGAAGGAGCGTCCGGTATTGCAGAACAATCCTACGAACTGATGGCAGTGGACAATACAATTTCCTAGCCTGCCTCGGTAAAACTTCTCCGTGAAATCTGGAAGAAAAAAAGAAACATTATCATTCTTGGCCTGGGTTAGTCCACTGCAGGACAAAGGCCTCTCCCAATTATCTCCAGTTTACCCTGTGCTGTGCGAGTAGATTTCATTTTATCCCAACAAACTTTCTACTTTCGTCACTCCCCGACTGCGTTTTTACCATTCTGTTGCTTTTACTGTCCACCAGTTGTCTGTTCTAAGCATTACGTGACAAGCCCGCGTCTTTTTTTTTTTTTTTTCACTTTATGTTAGCTAGGATATCTGCAACTCTCGCCCATTCTGTCATCCTCCAATCTCTTAATATTATTATTATTATTATTATTATTATTATTATCACACACTATGTTCCATTCCAAACTGCGTGGTCCTCATCTTTTGCTCTAGTTGTTTCCTTATTCTTTATGTTTCAGTTTCATACATTAAAACTGGCAGTATGAGGTGGTTGCATATTTTTTGCTTCAGCGATAGTGGCAGATTTCCCGACATTATTTGGTAGTGCGTGCCGAATGCGCTCTAGCTCATTCGTATTCTCTGGTGAATTTTTTTTGTGTGTGATTAGGTTCTCCTGCGAGTTGTTGACCTAAGTATACAAATTTTCGTACAGTACTATACTCCAATGTATGGTTTCCAATCTTAAATTGTTTCCATTTCACCAGATCATTCAACATAATCTTTGTTTTCACCATATGATAATAATACAATGAAATCAGGCTGTGCAGCCAGACGTACAAGATGGAACGATTACATAAAAGCTGTTCATCCACAACTGTCAATGCCAGAGCTATTGACTTCAATTAGACAAGAAAATCAGTATCTGTAGAGGCTTGTGATAGAAAAGAATTTTTGTGGTGCTGTGCTTATTTCCTAAAAGAGTAAACACTAACCATCAGTTGGTCCATCATGTTTTTGCAAAGTACCCATTGAACCAACATGTACTCAATTGTCGTATGTCAGCATTTCCATAGCATATAATGGCATCCTGTGCCAGCTTTCTTTCCGACTTACAACATGCAACGCCGTTATAGGGACATCCTTTACATACCGAGAACATTCTTGCATGTTGGATAGAGTAACACAGTAAATCCACACAGTTTCTACGAGGCTTCAGTCTATGGAACAAATAGGTAGTCGAATCGTCATATCTCGGCATTCCCATTACATACGATGGTATTCAGAGTGAAGTTACTTTCAGTAATGCTACGACTGGGACTTGCGTACCTTGCTTTGGGAGCATGCTTACTCATGTTCGAGAGTGTAACCGTCGGCAGGTTCATCAGTTCACACGTTTCCACAAAGCCAATGAAACCAAGAGGTAGTGCAATTGCCATATCCCAGCACTCCAATGGGATTCAGTGCCAGATTTCTTCCCGACTAAGAGCAACATTGTGACCGGAACATCTTTGACATAGCGAGCATGTCTATGCATGCTGAATTATGGATTTGTAGTGCCTAAAGGGCTGGAAGTCATACCTGCGGCCACATCTGAAAGTAAAAGCTTCTTGTTCGAGGCTCATCAGTGGGACGCCAGCAGCTTGTGCGAGCTGACCGGTCGTGGCACACCGTTTTCGTCGATGATGTACGAACCCTGGTAGTACCTCCAAATGATGGACGAACCCCGCTTCAGCTGACCCTGCGAGTTAAAATGCAAAGGTGTCAGCTTCCCGCAAGCCCTCTTCCTACACCCCAACTGCATGCAATAAAAATGCATAATTGTGAAGTTGGCTTCGATTTTTTTTAAATTTGTTGGCAATTAATACCAAGACTTTTTGTTTCAATTAATACCAAGACTTTTTGTTTTGGTACCTATATTAGGTTACAACCTAAGGGTAAATAAAAGCTCCGCCCTAAAGACCTTCTGCACGCCTGTCATTCACCTGTGCAAAAGTGGGGTGCTGATTGGTTTCCATTGAAAATATAAGTCCTTTCCTTGCTGCTAGTGCAAATATCACGCATATTATGAATTAAAAGTTCGTTGTCCCTTGCTAAAATACTACATCTGACTGAGCAGTGAAGTCAGAATCTTTGCCAAAATTTGCCCGAAAGTACAAGTGTTGAAGTAAAAACTGCGACACGAACATGGCCTGCATGAGAAACCGATCATCGTCAAATATGCAAGAGTCACTGGATTAATCATTTACGCAAATTTTTGCTGCGAGCGACAGTGATGGTTGTGGGCAGAACTTGAGTTATTCTTACTTCGTAACCTGTTGTAAATGTAACCAATAAGCACGACAACACTGCATTGATTGAAGACGATTAGACAAAAAATAAGAAGGTCATTCGCTGCACTATTTGCAGTTGGAACAAGACTACTTCCACTGCCAAACCGTGACAGCAATCCCACAACAAGATGCATGAAAATTGCCGAAGCAATCGTCAATAAAGGTGGAAATCTCAATGTCGAGAAGAACAAGTGGCTTAATGCAAAAATGTAACAATGCTTCACTGTACAAGAAAGAAGATGAGGTGGCTGTACCAATCGGCTCAGGTGCTGCCAGCATTCCGTCCAGCTTGGGTAGACAGCCATGTTTGGGGGCCTGCCAGCCTCAAGGCTGCGATGCAAGAACGTACGCAGTCATTGAAATGTCGATGTTTTGTTCAAAACATAATTAGGTAGCATCCACAAGGGATTGTTACCCGTGTATATGAACAAGCAAAGAAGAGTTGGCAACTGGGTCAAAATTGAATCAGGGGGCCTATACTGTACCACGGAATATCATTGCTTGCTCCATGTTACATTTCATGCTATCGGCACTGCTCATGTGCGCCCCTACGGGTTTTAAAACGGTCAATCAGGGAAGACTAACATGCAATAGTATACACTCCGAATTCAGTAACAAACCCAGATATAACGAAATATCGGTTATAATGATATCAATAAAAATAGTCTTGCTATAGAAATAGTTAGGAACAAACCTTTATAACAAATCTTTAGATATAAAGAACTTATTTTCATAAAAGGTGCAACTTTGTTATAATGAGGTTTGAGTGTGCTGTATTCCATGGTAGAGTATAGGCCCTCGTGACTATGTTGCGGGTATAACAGCAGATAACCAGCATTTGTCAACAACTTCAACGTACTGCAGCACCAGCTGACAGTGGCTAATAATGCTTAGCATAGCGAACTCAAGATATTGTCAAGTCAGTGCTAGCCTTTGGTGATAGTGTGCAAGCAATTACGGCATACCCAAAGGCTGTTTTCTTGGGTCAAACCACATCATAGCTGGGTTCCCAAACTTCTCAAAACACTGTCTCTGATAGCTATCTTTGAGAAGCAATTGCGCCAAAAGCTGCCATGCTAAAGTCGTTCTCTGATTAATGCGCTTAGAATTTGCAAGACTGCTTGTTCAAGAGACTCTGAAATGTGGCTAATCATTGTTGCTTCTCAAGTTGTATGGCTCATGTGGTTTAACAGCTACTGCTAGGCACCAATCAAAATGCTAAGCATGGGACACCTACTCGCTTCCAGAAACGGCCATCACCGTTCCGACCAGGGAAAACGGGTACGTGACGGAACTTGATAGGAACTGAAAAAGTACAGATATCAGTATAGGCAACTCAATCGTACATGCACATATGAAACAAACGAGACTGAGCGAACACACACAAACTGACAACAAACTGCAACTTTGAATGGCAAGCTACTGTTGTATTTGCATGAAGCTAACATGCATATTATTTGCAAAAAAATGGATATGAAGATTGCCCTGTGCACTAAAATTCAAAGCGATACTAAACCCCGTTCCTGGCACTGGCAACTTCAGAGGTCATGTCAACATCATCACAAGATGGCAGCAAAACACATTAAGTAAATGTCATTCCAGGTTCGTTTTGTGCTCAACTTCTGCTATCTGTCGTATTCTCACTCAATCACTTAGGATTTTTTTTCTTTTCAATTTAACAATTTCACTTGACTCAGCACAATCTAGTACGTTAACATATGCAACCATCTGCATCTGTGATGCTGTGCCACAGGAATGCCGTTCATCACACACTGCAACCACAACTGAAGGGCAGTGTTGTGAATCACAAATGTCTTACACCTCAACGTAATGAGCCTCAGACATAAAAACCTCAACATAATGAACTTCAGTCAAATGAAATTGGTCATATGGTTGACTTGTACATGGTTATTGTGAATGCAACTTTTTTTTTATATTCCCCACAATATCCCACGATTTGTCGAACCAATGTTACATTAACACATAACTTCACAAAAAATTAGGATGGCATCGCAGTAAATCGAACTGCCTGGAAATAAACTCGAGCTTCCTTAAACGAGAGTCCTGAAAATTTCTAGAAGGCAGTGAAGTCGAAACTGCAGATATGTAGCAACATTTCGTGCAGACTACTAGACATTTTTATACATGCCACAACACAAACATCACATCAGAGGGCTCTCATTCTTACCATAGTGGTTGCACTGACGTAGCTTTGTAACGTCTGAAAAGAAAAAAAACAGCATCTTAGAGCGGCACCAGAAGGCGATATATAAGCGTTTGCAAGCGAGTGTTTAGCAAAACTGTCGCATGCCAGCCGTGCTACAATGAGCGGTCGATGAACACACAGAGTCCTAAAGGGATGCGACCAATGCGAAAAATTATATTTGAGAACTAAGTTCTCATTTGTTGTCTACCGAAACCACAACGCAATGGTATGGCATGACAATTCAAAAGAAAGGCGTGGGTAACATGGAAGCTCGCGATGAGAAATTCCTAAACAGCGGGTGAGTGCTGGTGGCAACGTTTCGACAATTGTGCTGGCTGTGGCAGCCTTAAAAAAGACAAGTCCACTTGTCGATACGTCGGCTCCAGCGTGGTTTATGGATTTCTCACGATGTAGACAGAGACACCAGATGAGTTTCACCTGCCCAGGGTTCTAACAACATGCGCTAAACACTAAGAGGGCAATTTTAAACTAATGTTTATAACTTTAACGTTTATTGATTTAACGATTAGCTCCCACCAGGATTCGAACCCATGTCCTGCTTGTACGTCTAATGTACAAGCTTCACTGATGACTATGACAGCACCAGTTCTGCAGATTTGTACATATTAGTGCGGCTTATGCTGATACGGTGTCGCACACGCCCTCCACTGCTGTAGGGCTGATCTAAAATTATTTATACACACCCATGCTCCGATGAGAGATTCAAATTAATGATGATTTACTGTAATGCATCCAAATTGAAAAGACAAATGCAAGGAAATGGAAATAATACACTCTCAGTAAACGGAACTGTTGCTTAAACGGAACTGCCTTCAGCACCACCCTTCTCCATCTTTCTTCATCTCTCAGTAAACGGAACTTCTGCTAAAAGGAACACACTTTTCTGGTCCCTTCAGGTTCCGTATGACGAGATTCTACTGTAATCACCTTGTACTCATGTGCCACATTTCCAACTTGCGACACCACTGACAATCACCATGATTTGCATTCTCTAAAAGTTATAAATATGTTCTGAGAAAGCCCGAGATTACAAGTAAGTAAATGTGACAACGTGAGAAGGAATAAACACCTTGTCCTGCACGACGTAGGCATTGATGACAAAGGATATCGTGCTGGCGAACCATATGGTCAGGACCTCACCAATCAACCTAGGTATGAGACCACTGCAAGAAATAAAATAAATGAATGAAAATATGTGAGCAAGAAGGTAATCTAGACCTTGATATAAAGAACCCGGATATAACAAAATATCGTTTATAATGAAGTAAATAAAAATAGCCTTGCAGTAGACGTGGCATTAGGAATATGTTGCTGTGCTCCAATTCAACCCACAAGCCTTCAAGTTGTTCATCGAGTCATTATCACTACATAACAGCCCATCCCTGACGTAAAACCCCAAGCTGGGGTATATGAGGTATAAATAAATAAATAAATAAAAACTTTTATAATGAACTTCCAGATATCCACAACTCCAACTGAGCAATCGCCACCTACCGGCCGTGCCTGGAAACTGCGCTAACATGGTCAATCTTGAAAGGAGATCTTGATGCGCACGTTGAGAAGCGGCCGCTTAGTTGTTTTCTTTTCGCCATACCACAAGCACGAGCCCGAAAAAGAAGAAGGCGATGTCCAGAAACCGTTGCAGCGTGTCGCATCGTGTGGCATTGTGGTGGAAACATGGTAACGTATCGTTCTATCATTTCCTGGCGTATGCAGACAACGCACGGTGGAGAACGGTGCAAATTAGAAACTTACGCATTGCAACGGTGGCAATGAACACTACGGTAGTTTGTTCTAATCAATTCGCTCGCAACGACTTCATTCTCCTCGGTGAGTACACCATTATTTAGCTTGTGTGCATTCTTATCAATATTCGGCCTTCTCTGCACGGAATATAGTTTTGTTTAGATAAGCAAGCGCTTTACAAAATTCGTTGCATTGCGTCTGCATTTTTCGCATATGCTTGTTTTCTGTACAAGTCGTAGTGCCACCCATTTTCAAATCAAGCTGCTGTAATCCTTCCCCCTGAACATTTTTTCATTTCACATGTGTGCATATACATGCACACAAACAGTGTGCATATACACACACACAAACGTGCATACGAAGGTCGCGCATGCATAGCCTGCTTGTATGTTTGTGGGTATACACAGCATGTCCGTGTATTCGTAGTTTGCATGCATATATCTGCTTCGAATTCCCCCTACTGCCAACACAAACAGGTGAGTGTTCAGAAGCACACAGCCTTATTCATTAGAAACCTGATAACATGGATCGGTGAAAGGAAAGAAAGGAGCACTGATAGTATTGCAATCAAAACCACAACTTGCCTTATCTGAAGATGCATTGGCCCAGACATAGCTCCGTTATATAATCAAGTGAACGGCATGCGTATACAGCTTTTGAGGGCACAACGACACTCAAATGGGATAGATGCAATTGGCAGTACAAGTCTCAGTGAAGTTAGTCGAAAACTGATAAGGCCTTGACTGTAGCAGTGTAGCAACGCAATGCAATGGTGCTACACCTTTCGGAGATACCCGTACACAAGATCAGTTGCCATCTTCAACTTCGGGCTGGCTAGACAAGTTCTTCAACTTGAAAAAAATACGATGCCGTTCACCAAACTGGCTCGATGTTTGCTCGCACAGCGCAACTATTTCCGCTGTTTCACCAGTGAAATCCTTTATGCCAATGAGAATGAAGCAGTCCGCAACCAGCACCCTTTCACTTTCGACGAAGCAACAAGACTCGACACTACAATCACGAAACTTCAGCACAGCACCAAGCGAAACCATAGCGAAAGTGCCACGTTGACCCTGTCAGGCACAGCCGTCTTTGTTTTTTCGAACACCGTTGCCAGCACACGAAGCGTTTTCTGGAGTTGCGAGTAACAAACTTATTTTCATGTAAGATGAAACATTGCTACAATGATGTTTGAGTGCATATTATAAAAAAACAAAACAGCGCTTTCACAAGAAAAATTTCAGAGCATAGTACAAGCATGCGAAGCCATTGTGCACTTTTCGTTTTCTGTGCGAACACGACTGGCTCATCAATTATGAAATCTTGCATATAGACAACAATGTTAGCTTTTCACTGCACATCAAAGCATTGCTTACTTTGATCCAAAATAAGTCCGAGTGAATGTCGCTTGCACCGACACCACCCAAAAGCTCTTTTATTCTCACACATTGCAGCTATGTCTTTAACAAAGCAATGTTCATTGATTACAATTAGAGTAAAAATATGGTTAACATGGTGTTCTTCAGCCATCATAGTTGGTGCTACCACTGCAGTGAAGTGGACATGACAGGCAAGTAAAGCCAGCAACCTCAATATTAAACTAATTCACTTCGATATGCTATTATTGTGCTGGCAATTCAATATTGATGGTTTTATACCCAATCGTCTAACGTAACGGAGCTACCTGGTGCAAAGCTAGCCCCTGGACTACAATACTATCAGCCTTCATCAGCGACGAATTTCCACAAAGTTTGTGCTAGCCAAAATCGCTACAGATGAATCCTTGGGAGCTGTAATCACAAATATGATGGATGACAACCACCCTTCTCTGAAAACAAAGCTCAAAATAAATTCCAGAGTTTGATACTGCGAGTGAAAAACATGACAAAGCGAGGAATACGAGACCTATTTCAAACACCTGGAGCTGTCAACGTGCTGTCATATCTAGGCATACGAGCGTTTGCATTTGGATCTGACCAAGATGCAATCATGCTTAAATATTTTATCTTGGTTTGAGCAGATACAAGAATCGAGATTTAGGCATACCTAAAAAGGCCTGGGACTCCCTCCTCCCTGTATATGTGCACAATAGAAGTGAAGATTCCCCTGAAAAGAGGCAAGGCATACATTTGTACAACAACGCAAAATTTTTTGAAACGGCACGTGAACATCTTTCACAGTGCTGTGCCAAGCTGATCATAGGGCAGCAACACAGTAAGCAACAGGCAAGTGCAAAATCATCGCAGCGTACCACATTTCAAGTCCTATGAACACAACGATTAAGGTCTATTAACCTATCAGTTCAGTTTATTATTTTGCTGGAGCCCTGATGTTAGGGGCAATACATAAGGGCTGTGATGCAAGCATGCAGCAACAACATAAAATGCCCAATGCAATGTGCCGAAGAAAAAAAATTATAGAAAAAGCAGAGGCTGCAGCAATACAATGACACACATACGGCTTCTGAAAACAAAGCCAGGACAGTAGCTCATAGCAAACGTTTCATTCCAGTAAAGTACTCCTGGTGTTCAAAGGATTGATAGGATTTCTTTTTTAGTGTTATAATGTCTACGGCACTCACATAAGGGAAAAAAAATTAAGTGAAAAATATGTCATACAAGTTTTTTCTTTAAAAGATACAGGCATGGAAAGCTAAAGCACTACTTACACATATTTCTCTTCACGTCCCACAAACTGGGCCATGTACCGACAGCAAACCACTGCAAGTCAAATTGAAGCTGGGTTAAATCTTTCGCTGCTGCGCCTATTCAAATCGTTCAATTTGAATGATGCATTTCAAGCTTAAATTGTCATGGGTTTGCAGATGCCTAATGCCATCTAGGTAAAAAAGTAGGACACGCACGAGAACCGATATGTTTTGTTTGTTTTTTGCTTTGGAGAGTTTCCCTTAGCCGCCTAAAGTTTCGGGTTGTTGCATAAATGCGCTGATCATGATGTCGTTTTCCCATGTGGACGTTTCTAAAAGACGAAGCGTTTCTCGCGAATCGAGAGAATCAACAATAGATTTTGAGGATGAAATCAGCAGCAGTGAGCCTGGAGATGATGTTCACATATCAAATTTCAGCACTGATAACGAAGGTGCATCAAGCTAAGCCGCAATATCGAGCAAGTGAGTGTCGGCTGTATGTGTGGCGCACATTTTGCTGTCTAATTAGTAGCTACAAGCGGCACAGTGTGTACTCAAAGCCATTTTACTCGTTTCGAGGGTCTCAACTTCCTACGAACATGATTCCTTGCCGGCATCTATAAAGCCTGTGCAGTTTCTTTTGAGACGAAACCCAGGGTTCGAAGTCGGAGGCGTGCTCCGGAGTAATGCACTGCGCTTCGTCAGGCCCGTCAATTTCTTCCAGACGACTTTCACTGCACAAGTGACCAGCATGATCTGAGACTACACCAACATATATGCGTGGATGCATATTTTAGAGAGACAGACATATGCGGGAAGAGACGATTCGTGGAGGAACTTCAGTCTCGATCAAGTGGTGAAGTGCATTGGAATCCTCATCCATATGGGAATTGTTTCATCTTCATCTTTACAGGAATATCTCGAAGTTATTTTCAGGCCTCATGCCTACCAAGATTATGCACAGAAGCGATTTTTTTCGTTCCTTGCTTTTCTAAGTGTTATGGACTCTAAGCAGACAGACCCCGTCCACGATGGCAAGCTGCACAGGATAATCCATATACTGCTGCACCCTCACTAACTTTCTTTTTTGTGGAAAGAACAGTTTTTGGCAACAAACTTTTAAACTTGTACAACCATTTAGCAACATAAGAAGCTACAAATTGCATATCTTGAATTATCATTAACGTAATTATTTCTCTTATTATCCTCTTTTTTTAACACATTATTTGTATAATCACTGTATTAACTTTTCAATATGAATATTTCTTTCTTAATGTGATTATTGAATCTACATGGAATGTTATGTTATTGGACAGAACATGCTTTTAGCTACAGTTTGGTACCAAAAAGATGTAAATAAGACATTAGTATATAGCCACAAAAAATGTTTTTTACACCTAGTAAAAATGGCCCTTTTTTACATGTTAGCAAAACAGTTAAATGAAACTTTATGTCGCTAACCTAGTTGCATCAGACTACATCAAATTTAAATGTCTTTTAAATGCATTATCATTATTACCATAATTATTTTTGATAGAACCGGCCAGTTCATTGGAATATTGCTTCTACATTCATCAATGCAGCTGTTCCGAAATCCCTACTGATGCTTCTCACCGTTGAAAGGTTGAGAGACGAAGAGAGCGGCACACTTGGCAGTCATGAGCTTCAACGTGCGCTTGACGAAGTTGACAATACGCTGCTCCTCGGTCACAGTGTCGTCGTCTTCTTCGTCGTCGAATGACTGCACTTCAGGTAGCCTCTGTGAAGCCACCAAAGTGAAATCACCACACATCACAAATCAAAGCTTTCATGAAGTTCTGAATGCATTGTCATGTGCCGTCTAAAGCAAGGATAACATCCATAAAATAAACTCGCAGACAACAAAGACACACTCTGAACTATTACTCTCTGCAATTTAACAGCACATGCAAATGCAACTACTAAGATCACGAGTATTCATCTGCTTGTTCCATAGCAGCCCAGAAAAGTGTGGGGCTGCTGCTACCCCCTTGTAAAGTTGTTTTGGCACACATTCGCCTTATAGACAGGCTGCACTTAAATTTAGCAGCTACAGAGCGCGAGGTGGCACTATGCTAATGCGGGTTAAGGATAACGTGTATGCGTGAGCAGCGGAATGGGGAGGCCAGGACAGTGCACGACAAACAGTAGCAAAGCTCTTTGGTGTTTGGCAGGCCACCTGGATGGACAGCTCCGGTCAAGGATCTATGAGGTACGGCAACCACGGATTGTTTCCCGTGGCCAGATCAACACCGATGATTCCGCACTTGTGGTACCTTGTGTTTATGTTGTTTAATTGAGTGTTGTATTGGAATATTGTATAGGGTTGTTTAGCGTGTCATGAGTGATGTATTACATGTAGCTGGTCATATCGTCATTGTAAAAGCAAGGTGATAAATGTACATGTGTTTGGCTTGCCTGACGACGTCTACTGCGTGCGTGTCTTCCGAGAGAAATTATTTCACTTCATTTCCTAGACCCCGCAAGGGATAGTTTAAAGATACACAATAAACACTCAGACGGCGATAATAACAAATCATGTTGTGACTACCAACAAAACATTTTTTTTATAATGCAACTGCAATGCCTCAAACTATCCACTCCTTCTGTCCGCCTTTTAGCGTACAAATCAATTGTTTTACCAATATTAGATTACGCCGCTATTATATGGGATCCTTTTACTAAGACTAACATTAACAAATTAGAAAAAGTGCAAAAAAGAGCAGTTCGTTTTGTCTACAATAATTTTTCGAGGACTTCCGTTACTGACCTATTAAGCAGAGCTCAACTTTCACCTTTATCATTAAGATACCGTAACTTAAGGCTTAAGTTTCTGTACCAACTAATTAACGGCCAATATCAAGTAGACATAGCCGATATTTTTTCTTTTTCTTCTGGCTACTCTACCAGGCAGAGACATGACCTCACCATAACCCCCTTTCCCACACACAATAATTGCTTTAAGTATTCATTTTTTCCTCGCACCATAGTCGAGTGGAACAAACTAACTAATGCAATTGTTTCAGCACCCTCATTGGCATTGTTTTCCTCGAAATTAGAAAGTGCACTAACCAGTTGAATTGTTGAATCGTATTACATACCACTGTACATGCTTGTATAATTGTAGTCTTCTATTTTTTATTGTATGATATTGCCAGTTGAAGTTTGTATTTGCCCTATAGACATTGTATAACCTGTATATATTATATGACATTGTACTTGCCATTTGTTCATGACTAACTTCCTGTACCACCCTGCTAAAATCACCAAAGGTAATTGCAGTATCTGTAAATAAATAAATAAATAAATAAATAAATGTTGAAGTTTTCTATAATGAAAATAGCAAAACAGAATATGCCATCAGTGACCGAGGAAACTGTGATGGCCGTGAGGTGCACTTCTGTTCACACCCTGGTTCGCCTGAATGACCAAAACGTTCTCGTACTTTTCCGTGGCATTGTTCAAATGTCGATTTCACTGGAGAAGCTTCCAATGTAGCACCATTTTTCACACTGCATTGTATCGTTTGCAGTACTGTAACATGGCCATTTAATAATGAATATTCGGTGGGTATCTACCATGCTATGACAGCAACAATCGGAGCCCCACTCAATATAGGACATAAACCCAAGTTGAAAACTCTGGCTTTCAGCAGTGCAACTGCAGGCTAACACCAAAAAAAGATACAGCCAGCACTTTTCATTTTGGTGTGAAAGTTTTATGTCCTCACTCTTAACGTAAGCACGACTAATGTCTTCTCTTCATAAGGCCACTACTCTGAACAAGCAAATCTATCACTCACCCGGTTCACTTCAGCAAACACAGCACCGCTGACTACGTTGGCACACAGTCGGACGCTCAGGCCTCGGTAGAGCCCAGAGTAGCCGTCGACTTTCTTGATGTACTTCACTGAGGATGACACAGATTAGCATTTGTTAGCATTTGACTCGTACATGGCCCCTCCGGGGTGTTTTAGTGGCTAAGGTACTCTGCTACTGACCCGCAGGTCGCGGGATCGAACACCGGCTGCGGCGGCTGTATTGAGGGAGGCGAATATGCTGTAGACCCGTGTGCTCAGATTTGGGTGCACTTTATAGAACCCTAGGTGGTAGAAATTTCCGGAGTTCTCCACTACGGCGTCTCTCATAACCATATGATGGTTTTGGAACGTTAAACCCCACATATCACCATCATGACTCATACATGGTATCCCAATATTCTAAAACATTGCAGGAGTGGGCGTTCTTGATCACTTAGATTTACCAATTCATACTTTCACAAGGTGAGAGGCAATGCATCAAAGTTACTGTTTCAGGTGGTCATTTACCAGCAGGGCATCAAGTTTCCAAATAATCCTGAACTTTAAGACCATAGTAGAGCTATGCGGGCACAACTGCAAGTTTCAACTGAACATATCCCTTTTTGAATGCGATGCTCTTTTAGCTTCTTCCCACTGATGAGTGTAATATGCTTGTTTTCTTTCTGCTGCAAAAACAGGGAAGAGCTAGTTCATTTGTGCTTAAATTATCACGTAATCTGCAAAGAAAACACATTGTTTGAGCTGAGTAACGAAGATTTGACATATGATTGCAATGAAAAAGAGCAAAACTTCTGCTTACCTTGCAGTGATTCTTGGCATGCATTAAGTTACGACCTTACATTGTAAGACGATTTCCTAACAATATAGTGAGCTGATTAGAGAACATTCACCAGCTCATCTCAGAAATGAACCAGTGATGTGTTTTTCTTCTGTCTAACATAACTTCAGAGGACTAATGCCGTAGACACATTGCTCTCACTACTCACTGTATTCAATAGCTCCCGGTAGTGCCAAGGCGGGCTTCCCAAACAGGCGCCTTGTAGGCTTGGGTGGTAACGGCTCATGGCCAATCTAAAGTGAAAACAAGAAAAAACAAAAAACAGCAAGACATAACAAGCTTTATCTAGTAGCGATTCTACAGCTCACAACTTTCTCTGCTCTATGTAAGGCGACTGAAGAACCGAAATTTTTACCACTGAATGCTTCTCGTAGTTAACGGCCGAGGCACATAACTGCATCAATTACACGTCAGGAATGCTTAATCTGTAGCGCGAAGGAAACAGCGATACGAAACTGCTGTCCTATCCCAAACGACCTCCAGAGGACTTTATCTGGGTTATCGTTCGCACATGAAGTGTTCAGGTTCCTGCAACAAGAGGGCCAGAACTATAAGCTCTCAATGCTATAAACTCTCAACAATTTTATTTCCATGTCTCACGCGACCGTCAAAGTAGCCGCTGCGGAAAATGACAAAATAACCAAGGGTAACAATCGCGAAAGGCGTGCCCCACTGCACCAATTGATGTTCACGAAACCGTGAACTCTGGACAATAGCGCTAAAACGTTTTCCCAGCGACTCAAACATACATACATCCTTACACAAAAGGCATCGCTAGATAGACGCGCGGATGAAGTCAAGAAAGCGAAAGCAGCGACGATAGCCGACCGCGGTGACAGCGAGAGCACATGCGGAGGCTCGGATCACATTCGTTGTAGTTCCCCTGTCTGAAAACGGCATGCAAGCGACGACTTACCTGCACCAGAAACTTGACGTACTCGATGGGGTAGGCTAGAGCTGTAATGGTAGCCCTCCCGACGACGGCGTACCAGAGGTTCTTCGCCGACTCGGGGTCCTGGATCGGCGACAGTCGGGGCGAGCGATCCCGCGGCGAGCGAAGTTCCTCCGCCATTTTGCTCATTCAACGCTGCCGGTCGAATGTCGACTTTGGCATCGGCTACTTTCGGCAGGAGAGTTCTGGTGACGGACCGGTGAATCAGGCAACATCCGCGTCAGAGAACACTTCTGGGGCATTGTTTGAGATTATTCCCACTTTGAGTCACCATACTCACCATACTTTGGGGGTTTTCACTGCGCTCTGATTAATGACAGACCGGCAAATATTCGCTGCTTTCATTGAACATGTGGGCTTATGCGTCACGCTTCAGCGATCTGTCTCAGAATGGGTGTTTTCTGATACGGCTGCATCAGACAATGGTTTCATAAACCGGTGCGCAATATGCATGCTCATTCAGATTCAAGATACTAGTCAAGACTGCCGATTGGCACGATATAATGTGACTAAAGCCTACTAAAGAAGCTACGATAAGACACCGAACGTCTCGTGATAGTCTGGTCGCCTAACAACAGCAATCGAAACTCAAGCGTTTGTCAAAGCTGTGCTCTCAGAACCAACGTGTAGCCTGTGTAGCGCCAGCGTATCAACCGATTGTGATGTGTTCTGGAAGGTGGTGGAATACCCTTATATCGTGGCCGTCAATGAGGCAACACATGTAGCTTCTGAAATGAGGTGGCATGTCATCGGAAGGCATCTCGTCAGCGGCATCTCATCAGCGGCCCTGATTCAATTCGATTTTATTTCCTGAAAATGTGCACTCGTGCAGCCAGATGCAACAAATGGTGTTCAAATGCTCCATCTCCGGTGCAGGCGTTCCATAAAGCATTTACGCGTCAAATAATGTATTTCTTCAGTCAGCAAAAGAAAACTGGTTCTCAGTCAAAAGGTCTTCAGTTCTCAGTGGCTGCAGTGCGCAGCCTGGTGAAGCGCATTCAAAGCAAACGCACAAAAGCGAAACTGAAAAAAAAAAAAACTTGTATAATTTCAAAATTATAAACAAAATAAATTTACTTAGCAATTTGCTTTATAACTCAACGCCGACATCTCGCCTCCGTGGCGCAATCGGTTAGCGCGTTCGGCTGTTAACCGAAAGGTTGGAGGTTCGAGCCCTCCCGGGGGCGGCGAGATACTTTTTTTTTCTTTGCAGTCTTCGGTCTCACGGCATTTCATTTTCTCTCGTGTATGGTCCTGTGAGAGATTCTTAAAAGAGAGACAAGAAGATAAAAAGTGAGCCCCGTAACTGTCTGCATCACAGTGCGGCTCCTCAATAGTAGCTCACGAGGGATGGGGGAAAGGAGGGATTAAAATGATAGGAATAAAATGTATAGCGATAGGGGGAAGGAGAGAGCGTGGCGCAGGGACAGTGGCATCCGGAAGTAAGGAAAAGAGAAGATAGGAAAGATGGACACGCAATGGGACCGAGTACCTAAGGGAACACTAAAGGTAACAGGAATGCAGCAGTGGTGAAAAACAGGGCACTGTGGAATTACAATAGGTATGATGTTGTGAGAGGAATATGGAAAGGGTCATGGTTCCTGGTCTGACTTAGCAGTGTGGCAGCTTGGGCTAGTTGGTATGGCATGACGATAGTTATAGCGCGAAAACAAAACGACGACACAGAGACAAGAAGTGTCTTTCGTGTCCTTCTTGTCTCTGTGTCGTCGTTTTGTTTTCGCGCTATAACTATCGTCAAGCCTGGTCCGACATTTGGCAATGCGGTCTTGTGCATGAGATCAGAAGTTCAAGCAAGATTAGAAATTAAGCAACGTGGAATAGGTAGGCTTGCCTTAGGAGCTCACGGGAATACACCAAATCAGGGAGTACAAGGTGATATGGGATGGACATCATTTAAGGGCAGGGAAGCTAGCAGCAAGATAAATTTTGAGAAGCGATTGAGAGAAATAGGGGAGGAGCATTGGGCTAGGAAGGTTTTCAGCTTTTTGTACATGAAGAATGTCAATACAAAATGGAGGAAGCAATGTCGCAGAAGTCCGAGTACGGGGCACCACTCAGCGAGAGCTCTTGTCGGCGTCAAGAAATGGCGTAGGGCGAGCCAGTCGGCAAGAACTGCGCTGTCGTCGGAGATCGCATGGGCACAACCGGTTGGCAAGAAATCCAGCGAGCGAGTCGATCCATCTATGGTCCAGTACGGCAATGTACCTCAGCTCCAGCAAGATCCTACTGGAGCCACAGCACAAACTCGTGTCCCTTTTCCAGTCCGGAGCTAGCTGATGGCAGGAGCTAACCCCCCTCCGCTCCCCCTCTCAGCGAACATTAAAAAGAAAATAAATTTCCCACCTCTCTGAGAGAAGTCACTTATTGTAGATATCCCCACTGAGACTGCAGGAAGTCTGAGCAGTTAAAATTGATCGGAATTTATCCAGCTCCTCACGTACATTGTGCTTATCCACCCCCGTTTGGTTTAAAAAAAAAAATCCTGGTGCCACACCTAACAGAAAATGCATAACCATGCACACTCTATACCTAGTGGAAAACGAAGATTGAGTTTTGTTTGACCCATAGCGAGTTTCATACAATAATGTTATAGTATGAAACTCTATGGTTTGACTGAAACAGTTCGGTATTCGATTCGAAGATTACTATTCAAAATATTCTAATGCCCCACAATTTCAAAACTTGAGAAAGTGTTTTTAGAGTGAAGAATTCACAAAAATTGTTCATTGCGGCATCAATGAAATGTTGTATCAACCAAAGTGGTGAATAATTTGTGGTTTGTATTGTTTCTCCTGGGTCATTTCATGTCAAACGACCCATCCATTTTGTCAACTGTGGAAAATGTAAATAAAATAAAACTTGTACTGTCTTTTTTTTTTTGCATTAAAAAAATGAATTGCTAGGATGTTTCAGAGAGAAAAAATGTTTGGCCACATCAGTCTTTAGAATTGTGCAGAACGTGATCTGAGAGTCGTAACTTGTTTGTAACAAAAATTACTCTGAGATCATTGTTTCTTGTTTCAATATCAAATTTGGTTTAGATACTAAGTAAACATGATTTGTGTCAGGTCCGAAGCTCAATAATATTACTGCAACTTTTCTGCCATATAAACCTCCTGAATAATTTTTTTGTTAAACATATTATTCAAATGACATTCTGCAAAATTCAAATTACTCTTATGTGTTTTTTTCCTGTAATATTCTAGCAATTAACTGTTTTCAATACAGTAAATCAGCAAGGTTTTTTTCTAGTACATTTCAGATGGTCACCAAAATGGCTGGGACATTCGGGATGCAATGACCCTGCCGCATGTAAGCCTCTTGGCTTAATTGATTGTACTCTTCATCAGGCAATGATGATATCAAACTCCTTACTACCATACATCACTGAAAACTCCATTGTGTATAATTTATTAAATTATACACAATTAAGTTTTCAGTGAAGTACGTGGGTTGCATATTATGGAACCCACAGATGCATCTCCTTAACAAATTAGAATATTTGCAGAACAAGGCAGTGAGACTTATTGCAGACAAGTATTCAAAGCGTTGAAGCTTCACAAAAATGAAGCATGACTTAAGTTTCATCCAATTGCAGAGAAGGTATGGTAACCTTTTTCGATGAGCTCTTTCCCTGGCCAAATGCCTTCATTAAAGCACACATCTTACCCATCAAAAAAAATTTCTCAATAATCGATCACAACAACCATTTGCACATACTAACCCAGGACAGTTTTTGTGCGGCTTTGCCATTTTGGAATGAAAAAAATTTTCAATATAACTGAAATAACTGGGAATGTTACAGTTGAGCCCCTTGATAAGAGACACTGATATAAAAGACAAATTGGTGTAATGGACACCAGTGTGCCTACAGTAAAATATGGGTTGATTAGCAAATGCATATGGGGTACCATGCCTATGAGAGACTTTTCATCTGTTACAAGAGACAAGAATCGCTTCCCAGAGCACGACTCTTACAAAGAGGTTTAACTGTATATTCAAAGGTACTCTTTCCGAAGGGTTCACAAAACTTGACAAATTTGTATTTTTCACACTTTTTTAATAACCCCAACAAACTTTTGTAACCCTGCTGTTTGTAATTATTTTTATGATGGCTGAAAGGGTTAGATTCTGAAGGAGATTGTCATTGTATAATGATGAGGACTTATTGTTGTATGATGATGTCAGTAGATAAGCGTATTACATTTTATATTGGATGAATGGGGGGGGTCAAAAGTTTACGGATCGCTATACCATGTATTCCTATGAAAGTGTGGCCTGCGAACTTTTGACCAGCACTGTACAACTTTATATATATTGTTGGAAGTTTCTAGTACCCCTCTCGAACAATGCGACTGCCTTTAGCTTAAATAAATGGGGAAACAAATTATTTGTGCACTTTTGCAAATGCTGCAGCAGTGTTGCAGCGCAACTGCACAATCAATAGTATGCTATCACTGCAAGCCATTGCAACAGAGTGCCGCAAGCAGCCTTTTCAAAATAAAAAAGGAATTATGGTACTTACAATGAAGAAACCCAGCATTACTCTGCATTAACCTGTGATGCAACACTTAAGATGAATGTCGCACTGATCAGTTGTCGCCGATTCTTAAAATACGGATAGCCCACTTAAGTCCTGGATTAAACTATGACACACCTGTCTACAGGGTGGCTGTTTTCATTGTTTAGAGGAATTGAAAACATACACAAGGGTGTCATTCATCCTAGAACATACCTAAACGAAACATAATTTTCCATTTCATTTTTTACTGTAAAATAAATTTGAATTTTCCCTCTGTTTGGCGAGGAGGAGGAGAAAACTTCATTGTAAGAATCCGGTGGCCTCGGTGGTGCAGATTCCATGCCTAGGCGAAAAAATTTTACTTATGAGAAGTTCAGTAGCGCCATTAGTTTTTTTTCTTTTTGAATATTCAATTCACACCCGGTCTTTCAGTATTTTATTAAAATTTAAAGTAAAAACTTGACATTTGCACGCTCTAGTTTTGTTTCTGTAGAAAGAATGACTAATTTTCCCCAGAGATGCATGCCAAGTGTTTTGGCAAGTCAATCTCAAAGTTCTTTTATTACAAATGTCAGTGAATAACATGACTTGCCATAATCTACAAAACAGTCTGTCACATATTTGTTGTAATAATGAGGTTAGCTGCTTTGTTAGACCAACTAATTTTGAGTTGCATGCAATAGCATTACAATGAGCTTTAGCTGTAGTTAGTGCACATACCTATATAACTTGTGTTAACTGCACAACATATTTCTGCATTGGACGAGACCGAGTGCTATACCCTACCTTGTAGCATGCATGCAAAGTTAAACCCTAATAAGTGTTCTTCGTATATGCCTTCAATACTAGCAATGTTCTTTCTCTTAGTAGCATCTATTCTTTCACATCTGCACTTTCCACGGTTTCCATAATGGCCGGGCGAAATGCTTCCGCTAGTGTGAAACTGCATGCATCATCAGAAAACGAGTGCTCATTCCTGTCCTGTTGAAAAACTTGGCAGTGCAACATGGTCCCTCGATACTTTAGCCGGGCAAAGACATTGAATGCCTGAGTGGTTCATCTTCGAAGTAGTGCATTGCACTCCTGAAAAAACGTTGACAGTGTGAAGTGGGTTATGACTCCCTTGGAAGTTTGTAGGTAGTACACTAAGGCACAAAGGTGTCTAGGAGGCCATTCACCGAAAGCTGAATTTTCGTGATGGCGTGTACCTGTCACCAACAAACAAGGCGGCGATGTATAGCGATCACCGACCTGCACCAACTAACTCAACCAATTTCTACGTTTGTACGCTGAATTTCTGCCTAGCTCTTTTAGATAAAATAGCGTCAAACTAAATCTTTCAGCCTGTTGAAGTTTTTCCAAACACACACAAACATGCATCGTATCAATAGCGTCGTGTATTAATCAGAAATTTGTATTTGCTGTGAATCCCATGCCTTGAAAGCCTTTGTCCCTAGAAGCACTTTTTATTCATTTATCCACATTCTAAGCTTTTCTTTTTTTTTTTCTTGTATAATGCAGCAGAAAAAACAAACAACAGCCAAACTACACAAAGCACAAACCTGTTTCAATATATACTATATACTTTATTTCCTTGTACACATTTTGCATTCAACCACACACTCCCTGAAAAGCATTAGTAGGAACTATGCCACATTAAACATAAGTAAAAACAAAAATAAGAGAGGGAGAGAGAGAGAAAAGAAAAAGTAGTATTCCTAGGAAGCAAATGCTGTTATTTCCGGGCAGTCTCATAGTTCTTGGTGTACCAGTCAACAGTTTCTTGCACGGCTGCAAGGAAAAAAAAACAAACAAACAAACAAGCAGACTTGGCATTACACACGCGCTTAAAATCAATGCTAGATGGAACTAAGCCAAAAATGTTTCTAGTACGTGTTTGTAGACAAGGTTAATAGCTATGAAGCGCTATTAACTGCCACACATAAGAGCATGCCAGAAAGCTCAACTTTAAGAGAAAATGAGAGTTGAAAAACTTTTTTTTCCTAGAACTACACATTTTTTTGTTTTTATTTGCTTTCACGGGTTTAATTTCTCTACCTTCACAACAACTACAAAAAAAACTGAAGATTTTAATTAAACTCAAAGTAGGTTAAAATCGCTTTTAAGGAGCACAAGGTGGCTACCCAAAAATTAAGGAGAGCTCATCGTCTCGAGTCCCCTGGAAATTGTCACCTGGCTGCTTGCTATCGCATTTTGCATGAGGAGTTCACTAAAGCCACATGCTCAAAATAACAATGACTGCCAAGCTCTCATGATGGAAGAAATCGCCAAAACATATCTTTGCCCCATAGATGAGGTGCCACTTATATCTTTAAAGTGCATTTTTCTCAAGATTTACCTCTTGAGATAAGACATGTTTTTGGCACTTCTGATGCCAGATCAGGATGAAATCTTGCCCAGATATTCCTTAACATGCGAAGGGTACGACCTCCTTCTTTAAAACTTGATATATTCTGTATAGTTATTACGAAGCTGAAGCAATCAATTAGTATGGGCTGAGCATTCTAGGAATTCCTGCATTAAAATTTCTCTTGTCCATTAAAGTGTCCTATAAGCACTTAGTAGTTATTTCCATTCTACAGTCAATGAGGAGAAATATGAGCATTCGATGGTGCAGAACTAGAAATGTTTAATGGCATAAAAGTTTTGTTCAAAACTAACTATCTTACACATTGCCATGGCACAAAACGAAAGCTGTGAAACCTACTACAAAACTAATTACATACTTGAAATCAGCATGAAAGTCTACTATATAGAGAGCAAAAAATTTAATTGCCCTAGCCTACAGATTGATGAAACTTCTTTTTCGAATCGCACCTCCACATAAGGGCACGTTTTCCTTGTTAGCCACAATAGTAGTAAGAACAAACAGATAATAATGCCAGGGATAGTATACAGGGAATGTTATTAGAAGTAACTGTAACGTAAATGTGCAGAAAGAAAAGTGGAGGAAGAGAGAACTTGCAACAGTGATGCCAAACAGGCAAAAAAAAAGAGTGTTCCAATAGACACAGGTGGCACTGACTGACGCTCCGACGTCTAAGTACACATATACACCATATAATGTCGACCGGGAGATGACAGCCAGTGTAGTTCAGTGGTAGAGCATCGGATGCATTATTCGGAGGTCGCAGGTTTGCATCCTGCTGGAGGCAAGGTATTTTTTCGGCCATTTTGAACGCTTTGGCGACATACAAGGGGCCATTTTGAAGCTTTTGGTGCCCGACGTCACCTAAACTGGCCAGACTGCTGCGTGAAATCATCAGAATTTATACCACAGCCTGACGTCAATGTTAGCAGATGCACCATAAAAAATTGATGTTATTATAAAAATAAGATTACTTGTAAGGATTTAACGGGTTTCACACTCTCACAGAGTCGTCTCTGTATGCAAGAAATCAGTACGGCAGAGTAATCTCACCTCTGAGAAACGGTGTCAGTATTTTTTATTAGTGGCACTATGTACATGCAACACTTCAGTGCAACTACTACAGCATATTCGAACGTGTGATGATGACTGTACAGATGCCTTAAATAACATCACAAGATACGAAACAGATATCGTTTGCCTGAAATTCTCAAGGTGGTGACACAGATGGATCACAAATACACAAATAAAATGATCTATTTGTAAATGTTTATATAAATGTGAAGCGTAAATGTAGATCACTGTACCAGTGTGAGAAGTGGTGCCACCAGTGTGAGAAGTGGTGCCAGTGTGAGAAGTGGTATGTACATGCAACACTTCAGTGCAACTACTACAGCATATTCGAACGTGTGATGATGACTGTACAGATGCCTTAAATAACATCACAAGATACGAAACAGATATCGTTTGTCTGAAATTCTCAAGGTGGTGACACAGATGGATCACAAATACACAAATAAAATGATCTATTCGTAAATGTTTATATAAATGTGAAGCGTAAATGTAGATCACTGTACCAGTGTGAGAAGTGGTGCCGTGTGGAAGCATTCAAACCACACACAAACCATAAACATCTTTACAATGCATGCTGTTTCTGCTAGATAAAAACAGTAAGAACACCTCCTGTTCATTTGTCTAATAATCTTTCTTACTACTACATACTTCAACTATTCCATTGCTGTTAATGCTATTGCGCCAAGCCTTTGTGGTCCCCAGGGGATGCTGTTATAGTCGGATACAAGCCCACAGCATTTCCTCCTCAAAGGCGGATGAACACAAGCCCGCAGGAATTGTGGCACGCTCCAGAATGATGCCATGAACCTGACGGACGGTAACTCCGTTTTTGGAAAACATGAATGTATGAGCAACTTTTTTTTTTTTTTTTCTGCAGAGGCAATTGGCTGCTGTGCTTCGGTTGGCGGGGTGGAGCGTCTTTGGACTTTTTAAATTAAGTTGGGTGCAACTATAGTTACGCAGTTATATAAGATGATGCATCAATTCAGCCGAGCTATTACGTTTACTCATCTGGTAATCTGTAAAAGATAATACATTAAAGTACAAAATTCTAGACATTTTCGTATGGCATCCTTTCAGCAATCCAATGAATCAAAATATTAAATACACCAATTTTTCTCCTTCAGAAATAGCACACCAGAGATCACCACTGATCAAGTTGTGCCTGTGTGTGTCTGCGTATATTCTCCCATATGTGTCCTGTTCTTGCACCGAAAAACACCTAGATAAGCACCAATCAGCCCGACGGCCGATCACTGAGAATCCCACCTTTTTCGATGGGTGTGAACTTGAAGTCTGGAAGGTAGGAACGAAGCTTCTTGTTGCTTGCAGTCTTCTTGAACTGGCCATCAGCTTTGGATGTGTCAAACTTGACAGGCTCCGTCAAGGGACGTAAATGTTGAGAAATGCACATCGCATCATGTGAAACACATGAAACTCAATCTATAACAGCTGAAATGTAAAACTAGCGAACACTCAATAGTCTTATATACTGTCATGCCATACCACGGTCATGCCATACCACAATCACTTACTCTCACGCGAGGAGGCCCGTCCTGGAGTATGACTGAATGCAAGTGGAACTCCGAAACCTGGGTTTTCATGGCGAAGAATAAGGCAGCCGTCTCGCAGTACCGCCTTAGATAGTCAGCGCATACAATAATACACCGTTTACTTCTTGAGGAGAGTGGAGATGGTCCCATCAGGTCAATGCCGACCTTTTCAAAAGGGGAACCAGGAGGCTTTACGAACTGCAGGTGACTGACTGGTCCTGAGGTGGCCCACTTGTGGCTCTGACGCTGCATACAGCTGGCCACATAGTTTTCAATTGTGTTGCACATTTTAGACCAACAGAACCACTCTTTTGTGCGACTAAGTGTTCGTGCCATTCTCAAGTGACCAGAGGTTGGCTCGTCATGCGTGAGACACAGAACAATATCCCAACAACACTCCCTTGCCGAGTGACCACAGAAAGATGCCCACTGACTATCAGAACTTTAACCTGTATCGACTTCACCGTCCCAGCATTTCAGGCCAGCGCACAAAAACATGCCGGTGCAAAAAAAAAGAGATTTAATTTAATGAGGGTCCCACTGCAGTCGCTTGACTTTGGGACCCTCGTCTGCATACTACATTCTACGAATTTTGTATTTTGAATGAATGAATAAACTGAACTGAAATGAATATTGGTATAACACCTAACTTTGGCCCTTTTACCTGTATGTCAAGGACAATACACAAATGTTTCAGTAAAACATCATGTAGCAAACAAGCAATAAATTATGGAGAACACAGGGAGGGATAACAGTCACTTTAATTCAAAATGTACTAATAATGTGAAAATGAAATAAAAGCAATTAGCACACAGAAACAAAGAAAAAAGAAGGCAAATTTCTGTAATTGCGGTAAGCACATCAGCACTGCAATCCAGAGAAAATTGACAGTGCGACATTAGAAGTGATGGCATGTCATATGTTACTTAATAACTGATAGTCAAGAACAAGTCAATTGCGAATTAATCATTTCTTCGTAAGTTATGACCATGCTTAAGTATAGAGAGAAAAAAGAAGACGAAGTAAGGATACAATGACGTCCCCTTTGAAGTTGAAAGCATCAGTGATGAGCTTGGCTGCATCCTTAATACTTATCTCATCTTTCTCATCAACTGCAAAAAGATAAAGGCAAGTACACAGAGCAGGATCCTGAAGGTCGACAATCGTAGATAACAGGCCTTGTGTGTTTAATGCACGATAGATGGAATAACACAAGCCACTTTGAAAAATTTAGGTGTAATCAGTTAGATATATGGACATAACTGGTCATGCAAACTAGTATGGCAAATCACTGAACTTGCATAACTGATCTCAATGCTATATTTTCACTGAAAACCTGGCACTTGCTTTTCCGTGATATTGAGTTTAACAAATCTCTTTTACTTGCATTTTTCAGTTCACACGCGTACTTTCTCAATCTTTAGAATCTATCCTATTCAGAAGAGATCAAATTTTTTTACTGAAGGAGTACCGACATAAAATTGATTGATTGATATGTGGGGCTTAACGTCCAAAAACTACCATATGATTACGAGAGACGCCATAGTGGAGGGCTCCGCAAATTTCGACCACCTGGAGTTTTTTAACATGCACCCAAATCTGAGCACACGGGCCTACAAAATTTTCGTCTCCATCGGAAATGCAGCCGCCGCAGCCGGGATTCGATCCCGCGACCAGCGGGTCAGCAGCCTAGTACCTTAGCCACTAGACCACCGCGGCAGGGCAGCGACATAAAATTATGAAGGCGAGATGACTTGTGGGACGTATTTGTGCAGCCATACACACATAACCTTTAAAGTACGAACGACTAATGTAGCTTAGAACATATTTAAAATCGATATCAAAATATTTAAGTGCCTGTCTCAAAAGTGCACACTAAACACCGCACCTCAGAACTTCAGCACCATCGTACTTTGTTTTAACGCACACAAACACCAGCCTCCTGCATCTCGAGTTTGTGTTGGCTGTCATGATCCCCGCCAGCACTCCCTTCTAGCAGACCTTTTGACAGAAAGAGGGGGACCTCCTTTGTGCACTTGCATGGGAGGACGAAGGCTGACGTCCCTGTCCTCGACTCAGCAGGACATTTTTTTTGGTGGTCATGCATATTTACAATCCCCCAGAGGAGATCACAGCAGCTCTCAGGAAGCCTTTGTTGGAAAGAGTTGTCAGTGCAGTTCTCACGTAGCCAGCCGTTTACAATAAAACCACTCTGGGTCCCACCTGACTCGCCGTTCTCTGAAGCCAAAACTGCGACTAGGTACTACAACACTATTTCCGAAAATAATTAGCCATCACACCATCGAGTGAGCACGCTTTCCAGCCTGTGATAAGTGGGTTGCTAGCCACATATTGCAACAGAAAAAACTGCCTGTAAAGTTTTTTTTCTCAGTACTCCTTCAAAGGGGCCCCGCAACACTTTTCGAGCATGGACAGAAAACGCTGCTGATCAGTAGTAGAGGCTCTAGAGAACACGCAAGCAAAATATTATAGTGCAGCATGCGGTCTCAAATACACAAAGATTCTCAAAGTCAGCTGAAAACTGCTTTCTCTTCTCTCGAAAAATGACGCTACAAACTCAAACATCACTCGTCACAGCCATAGTATCAGCCATTGGCTGATTTGAGCATGGCGCCCTCGGTCGTTACTAGGGCAACCGCGGGAGGTCATGACTTGTCCACGGGTGTGCCCACGATTCCACCGAAAAGCCGCGTATTTGAAGAAGGAAAGAAAAAGTGCTGAACATCACGAGGCATGCGTGACATTTTGTTTCTCCCCCGTGACATCTTTCCTTGCTCAGCTTCCAGCACTTTTGTCTGTGTGTAGAGAGGAGAGAATGCAATCACAACGTGTGACAAATTCCGCTCATACGTGATGGATTTCAAAACCTTTTCCGGCAGTGAATTCATAAGGCCAAAAGCTCCTTCAGTGAATCCATTTCATGACTATTTGAAAAAGTGCCGCAGGGCCCCTTCAAGACTGTGAAATGCCGATGCATCATTCTGGTCATCTTTAAAGTCCCAGAAATCTCTGATCATCGTAGTCATGCGCCAGTTGACAAGGGTAAATCCTGTTGCAGCAAGTTTTGTAACTTTATCGTGCCAGCTAATTAATCCTCTGGGACAACAGTGCCAATTCTATACATTAGGAAGTCAGCAACTCTAACAGGACATCAATTATCTGCACTAAACAATACAGGGGCTGTCCAACTTCATTTTTGTTCCCTCTTATTATAGTATCAGCTACACCCTTGATGATATCTGGCCATTATGGACCCGAAACCACAATATCATAATCAGGCATGCCACAGTGAAGGGCTCTGAAAATTTGGACACTGACATCGCACAATGCACAGGCCCTCTAGAATTTCACCTCTATTGAAATGCGACACCTGTGTATCGGACCCACAACCTTTAAATCAGAATATGAGCTCTGTAACCACTACACCACTGCGGCAGACTCGGCTACACTCTTCCCGTCCCTATTGTGACTCTTACCCTAGCACTTAACAATTCACATCCTGTCAACTACTGCATGAATTGGAGTAATATTGCAAGATGAGATAGTTGATATGAGTGCATCGCAACTTATTTGCGCTGGTGTTCTTCCCTTTCTTTGTCAGTGTGCACTAAAAATAAATTGCGATGTACTGCATGAATCCTAGCTTACTTTAAAGCTTATTTACTGTGCTTCAGGTTCCGGCCCTATGGTAGCCTAAAAGTTTTGTATAACAACAAAACAATTAAGCATACGGTATAGAGTGCATTGGTTTGGCAACATGACGAGAGAAGTGTGGTCATGGACAAAGTTGAGGCGAAAAATACCCACAGAAGCTTTCGACACTTCTATGATCGCATCAATCCCTTTCTTCTCGTCGTAAGTTTTTTCGCCTCTGCCTTTTTCATAAAATCTTCCATAACAGCCCCCACCTTCGTGCTAATCTTTTTCTTTCACCGTCCTACGTGTCCTCTCGCATCGATCATGCACACAAAGTTGGTATACCGATATGCCAAACAAGAACGTGTTCAGAATCCTTTGTCCCACGCACCAGCAAAGACTGGAACCAGCTTCCTGGAGCGACTGCTGCGATTACTGATTATCAGCTGTTTCGCGCTGCACTAACAAACATTGTAAACTGAGGTTACTTATGACGTGTGCCTTTTTTCGTTTTTTTTTTTTATGTTCTTGCGTGTTCTGATGTGTTTTGTAGCTAGGATTGTATACTAAGATTATTTAAAATATGTACACTAGATCTCTTTTGTTCTGCTTTTGTGTCCTAACTTTGTTATCAGCTAAAATTGATTATTCAGTAAACGTTGAATCCTGTACTCCCCTTTACTCTCCTTCTGAATCCATTTTTTGTAAACCCACTCCCCTCTTCAATGCCTCTGGCCCTGAGGGTACAATAAATAAATAAATAAATAAATAAATCCCGCCGTGCCCCGCTGACCAAAAGGGTTATTGTACATCGACACAGCACAACACACAGGCCTCTAGCACTTTTCCTCCACCAAATGCGATCGCGTTGGCTGGGACAGAACTTGTGACATTTGGACCAGCAGCTCAGCACCGTGACCATAACACTACCGAGGTGGATGGTTCACCGTAAGCGTAACTGCTTCGCCGAAGCACAACGTGATAGAGAGAGATGTTCTCACCAGAGAGGATGATGGGATGCACTTCGTCGTACTCTCTAAGTGCCCACACCATGAGCCGTGCAAGGTCAAGGGAGTAGATGAACTGGCGCAGCGGCTTTCCCGAACCCCAGACCTGCAGCGAACTGCCGTGCGCTGTAAAGGGCAGGAGGGAAGTCGCAAACCGCCGAGAGTCAAGAATATGGTGTTTTAGTAGTGACGGTAACACTATACTGTTTAAGGTCCGACATTACCTTCCCTTAGAAGTGTGGCAGCTAGGGCTAGTTAGTATGGCATGACGATAGTTATAGCGCGAGAACAAAACGACACAAAGACCAAAACGACGACACAGCTTCCTTCGTACACAGTCCTTCGTGTCGTGTCCTTCTTGTCTCTGTGTCGTCGTTTTGTTTTCACGCTATAACTATCGTCATTACCTTCCCGTATTAAAGAAACACTAAAGAAAAAAGTTATTTTTTTTGTATCAGTAAATTACTCAACCACAATTTCAAAATAAACATGCGCTGCAAAAAGGCGTTTGGTGAGAGAGAAAGTGCACAAAACGAAAATACGGGTGGTGACACCACCTTCAAAATCCAGCACCAAAAGCCATGATATCATAAAATTTGACAGTGTCTACTAGGACTTGTGTAGTTCCCGATCACCATAAACAAAGTACATTCTCATGTGAGGAGGCCATAGATTTAAGATATGACATTTAAAAAAAATTTGTTGAGCCAATGGCACCAAAATACGAAAAATACACTTTGAATCATGTGCAGAGTGCAATTTATCAACCTAAACCAATTCATTGTTTAACTTTAGTGTCCCTTCTAATGTGAACCGACCCAAAAACATTCAAGGTGTGAAAGTTCCTCAATGCATATGGTAACATGACAAGTTGTTATAGTAGCGCCTAATGCAGACCTTGCAGACCGACACCTGAGTGGCGATGGATAGCTCAAAGGTGTGAAACACTGGTCGCCTTTACCAGCCGCTTTCCAGATATCAGTCGCAAACGGTCGCATGACCGCTGCAAGTCACGGGCGTGAATGAATCTTTATTCCCCGTCCTCGTCTGCTGCGTGATTTCCAGTTACCGCATGCAATACCAAATACCATCTGGCACCCTAGTACATTCCATCATTAATTTTTGTCACGTGGATGTAACCAACAAAGCTGAAGCCTGTCTAATGTTATCCCTAGTTGTCCCTGCTTACACTTGGCCTGGTGTGTCCGGTTGATGAGGCCCGCCAGCACATGGCCGTCCTCGAGGTTGAAGTTGTCGTGCGGCCCGAACACATTTGTCGGGATCACTGCGGTGAAGTTGCAGCCGTGCTGCGAATGGTAGGCCCGGTTCTGGACATCGATGAGACGCTTCGCGTAAGAGTAGCCGAAGTTCGAGTCGTGAGGGGGACCATTGTGAATCTGTAGGGACACCAGAGTGGAGACACGTTTTAGGTGAACAAGCTCATGACCTCCGTGGCAATATAGATTCCCTGGCGTAACAAAATGGCAAAATATGGGAGTTTACAGTGGTTAAATGCCTGAAATAAATAAACAAACAGCCATAAACATGTAAAGTTTACATGCTTTAAGGAACAATAATTGCACTGCACATCCGCTGCCCAAAATTATAAAAATGAAACGGCATCAATCGGCGTCATCCAGCCCTACCCAGATGATCAGCTCAAAACACTGGGTAACTACACCATCGCAGTGTGGCATAGGCAGATGCTTACTTCAGCAGAGCTGAGTACAGAGGCTGGTTGCACAACACTATCTTTCAACAAAGAGGACTAGTACGTAACCAAAGTGTATAACAGAATCGTTTAACTGAAGAAGTGCATCATTCGATAATGATAACTACTTTACCAAGTTACCAATAAAAGCTTTAAAAAAGTTCAATTGTTATTCATCATAATTGAGGCTGTGTCTTGAATTCGTCATTAATTTCCAGGCATGAACAAAAATAACATCAACAAATTGGTGATGCATTGTGCCAGTTTATCCCAGTTCAATGCAGGAGGCAATGCTGGTAGTTTTCATTTTGTCGTAACAATGAAATTTGTATAAAATGAAGGGGGAGGTCCAAATTGACTATTTCTTATAACAAGCTACACAGCATAGAGGGAACTAATTGAGCGCCTGGTAGCGCTAGCAGTTGCCCAAATTCAAACGAGATGCTTTTAACATCCATCCATCCATCTATCGATCAATGACGGACATCTGATACTTAACACTGCCATACAGGGTTCAAGAGGGAAGGGGCATTGATTTACACCCCGAAGCGTGTGTGTGTTACACATATATCTAGTATATGTGTTACACACATCAAGGTATAGTTTTGTATACGAAGAATGGGCATATTTAGTATGCCCTAAGTGAATATTTACAAGCATACTTCAGTATTACAGCATTATTTTTTGTATGTGTTATATTATCTTCATATCGATCTGGACAATTTTTGGTAACCTCGGCATTTACGGTACGTCCACTGTTAAAGAAATCACTCTAATGAGTAACCCCCATATTGCTCGCCGCTAAACGGCAAGTGGTCATGCAAAGATTGTTTGGGCACGGCACCATAGTCTGTAGAAACGAGTTGTGACTGTCAATCACCAGTAGTTTCATCTAAATTTAAGCTCCTATGCTTAAGCTGGAGAGCCAAATCTGTACACACCCTCCACGCAGATGTTCCCTTTAAATGTGGACCCATGTGTACAGTCTGTTTTAAACTTGGGAAAAATCTCCTAGCGCGTGGCATTACGATGCGGCCAGCGTGGCAGACGCGTACCAGCAGCAGCTCGCGCGTGCGCAGACGCTTGAGGGGCGTAGTGCTGAACAGTTGAACCGTGCCATCGGCTACGACGGCGTGCACTGGCCGCATTGTTGGGCAATGTTTAGTACAGCATATTGGTCTAAGTCCTGCAGCAACAATGAAATCAGCAGGCTGCTTGTTTCCCTGTGTTGAGCCCGCACAGCTGCACGGCAGTCGCTGTAGAGTGCTTCGTTTTTATATAGCGTGAAATAAGTACCACGCACGGTACGTGCTTATTATGGTCATCCCCGTCACAGCGTACCGCTGTGCACAAAAAAAATAAACGTGAATGCACTCAGTACCGCGACGTTTCGAAACAGCAAAACAACGTATGCTGTCAAACACTGTTTCAAGAACGCATTATTGCCAATAAAGGCTGATAGGTTGGCATCCCAAAACGTTTAGTACAGAATATCGGTTTAGTTCCTGCAGCAACGATGAAATCGGCAGGCCGCCCGACAATGTGGACAGTGTGCACTGCTGTCAAAGACTATTCGGTTCAACACAATGCTTCTCAAGCATCTGTGCATGTGTGAGCTGCTACCGGCACGCGACTGCAGTGCTGGCCGCACAGGAATGCCATGCGCTCAGAGATTTTTCTTGTGTGTCCAACAGACTGTACATATTTTTTAGCCAATATGTTCGGTTTTACATGCATTGCGTCCCATCCAGCTAAAACCTTGAAAATGAAGGTTGCAGTACCAATAAATGAATAAATAAATGAAATTTTAAAAATACATACAATGGATTAAGGGGATTGGTTCTCCCCAACCCTCCTGACAAGGGGGAGGGGGGGGGGGGTCGGGCTGCAATGACATTGCAACATATTTTTACCAGCTCAAGAAAACTGCTCTGAAGCAGCCCTACACGGTGTCACAGCAAAATTTCCATAACACCCTATCGACTTACCATAGTCTCATCGATGGGATACGTCGTCTTGTCAGGGAATATGCAGGTGGACAGACAGGAGACAACTTTCCGAACACCTGTCTCGAAGCTCGTGTGCAGGACATTGTCATTGATGAGGATGTTATTTCTCTGTTAGAGAAAGACAATAAAAGTGTATTTGGCTCACTGCCAAAGGCGTACTAACACTATCTTTTTCTTTGTGAAAGCAGCCAAGAACGGGAACACATTTTTTCACGATATCACTCTAGTCATATGCTTTTCTATTTTAATGGCAAGTTTAACAAATGATTTACACTGGATCCATATATCTATTATCCTTCTGCGCATTTCCGCGATGCGTTAAACAGACACTACCCCATCCCTCCCCAGGAAGGAGAGGAGCCTTGGCAGCTCAGGCATCTCCGTGGCATATTCTGTCAGACCTTTCCACCTGATAAAAATGAGATGTCGTCACATGACACATTCTCCTTGCAGCTTTAACGCCCCCTCCCAATGCTTAGCAGTACATTCAAGCTGTCTATTTCGAACATTCTAGGAGTGCATAATGCATTGAAAAACATGTTTATGTGGTTCATTTAGAGTGCCCCATGCCCCCCTCCTGAGGATACATGGAGGTGCACTCGCTTTCGAGTTGGCTATGCAAAGCGGGACATACATCAGGTCAAGCAGATGCTCAGTTTGTTAACTAGTTCTGCAGAATCCTGAAAGCTGACAGAAGGGTTAAGAGAGTGAAATTGACAACCACATTTGTAGCACGAAGCCAGAGAAACCTAAACCCACATCTCAGAAAGAAAGCTTCTCAGTTGACGAAAAATTTCACCTTGTCTGTGGGTCGAATACAGGACGAACACTTTACTGAATAATCACTCTAACAATTGAGCTAACCTTTGTGGGATTCCACAGAACAGACTGCTCTCGTTTGTCTTCTGCTGTTATATTAGATAAAGGGTGACCTTCTTTGTTCCTTAGTTTGCGTTACAGTATTATCCTGTATTCCTGCTTAAAAGATAAAGTAGGAGAGGATCATCCAACAGCTGTGCCTTGTTATAGGAAGTACACAATTATGTTACTAAGGCTGCCACTTTCATACCTGATAACCTAGAGAAGCGGGAGTACGCAACGACAGTGTCACATACTATCATACACAGCTGTGCATGAGTGAAGTAAAGCTTTCAGATGCCAGAGACCATACCAGTGCTTGCAATTGGAGCATGCATTTAATTAACCAGACTGGGCGGTGGTGTTGAAGTTACAAAGCTCTGCTGCTGTCCTGCACGTCGCGGTTCGATCCCGGCTCCGGCGGTCGCGTTTCGATGGAGGCAAAATGGTGGAAGCCCGTGTACTGTGTCATGTCCGTGCACGTTAAAGAACACAAGATGGTTGAAATTTTAGGAGCCCTCTAGTATGGAGTCTCTCGTGATCATATGGTGGCTTTGGGACATAGATCCCCAGATATTATCATTATTAATTAACCACACATGTGCGCAAGGCAAATTGTGCTACGACCCACGAAATCCAGCAGCCCCTTCCCAGCATGCTTCATCAATCATCACATAACATTGCACGACTGGGAAGCAAACTTTGCATGCACTGCAGTGTGATGTTATCACAAGTTCCTAGTTGAGATGAGTACAGCACGGATTACTGAGCCCACACACAAACACTGCAGCATCCCTTCCTTTACCATAAGTGGAAAGAAGGGAGGGTCTCCAACACCAGAAAATGTCTAGAACCACTGTTCATTTTTTATTTAATTTTCAGTGAGGTTAGGGCTTATGTCAGAGGATATTGTGCAGAAATGGCAGTACAATCGGGAGGACTGGTCATTATTGTTCGGGTTCTGCATCCCAAAACCACGATACGGTTACGAGGGATGTCTGTGCAGAGCTCGGAAAATTTCGACCTCCTAGGGTGCTTCAATGTGCACCAAAATCTAATTACACGGGCCTCAAACATTTCACCTTGATCGAAAATTAAGCCCCGACAGCCCAGGTCAGAAACCGTGACCTTTGAGTCAGCTATCTAGCCCCATAACCAGTAGACAACTGTGGCAAGTGGTCAGAAATTGGGAGCTGGCACGTACGCATCCTGCTTTACAGCCGGTACAGTGGAAACCTACACTTTACCCTGGTCTCACAATTTCCAGAAGTACAGCTGAAACTGCAAACTGCCAAACAGAATGACATACGTTGATGTCAAGTGATTACTCCCTGTAGCAGACATACTTTGCTTTGAATGTGCATAAGCAATCATAACTCAAGAACAGTGAAAAAGGCGAGTCACTGACCAAGAAGTCGAGGTTGTACTTCATATTCCTGAAGAGACCGCCAACCATGGCAGCTAAGTGAATGACATGTGTGGGTTTGTGCTTGGCGAAAAGGGCCTCTGTCGCCTGCTTGTCCCTTCAAAAAGTGAGACAAAGAACAACTTTAATGTTTCCACTCCGTAATCAACAATGTGCAATCACTAAATGATACATCATTTCACAATATGCAGTAGTTATACAAGAAAGGCCATAATTTATTAATTAAAAAAAAAAAACACTAGGCCTGCACAGAATGCGCAGCACAGTCACAGCAAAAGCTGGAAGAGCAGCCTTTCAGAGTATTTTTTAAACACTGTTAGAGTTACTGCTACAAAAACACTTGCAGGGCATAGAGTTTTCTAAAATTAACTAGAGGGGACTCTGGCACTGCGATTGTTTAGCGACCGTTGGAATTATGGCTATGACATGGATTTGCCTAGTTTTTGAGCTTGGGGTGGCGAATCACACTTGCGGCTTTGTTTATTGCTGTGTGTTGGTTTTGCTCCAAATGAAAGAACATACCGTTTTGAACTTTGTGAGTTGATTTGAAACGGTGATTTTAAAAGATGATGTCGATGAAGCGCAACTGCTGAACATTTGCTGATTGTGCTTTCGTGACAAAGCAGCTTCAAGCCACAAGAGGAGAATCCATGTACTACCCATAATTTCCATGCTCGCTGAAGCACCATGCTTAGAACCGCCCATAAACAGTAGCACCAGAGTTCCCTATAGTGTATATTTAGGAAACTCTATGTTACAGGGCACCCACAATGCCATAAATCATCATATTTAGTATGGAGGCATTCACTGTGCCATATTTAGTCATTCTTCGGAGAAGCGTGGTATCTTTTTTTTTGTCAGCATGGATGGATGGATTGATATGGCTGTACCCTTCAGATCGGGCAGTGGCTAACGCCACCTAGCCGTAATACTTAGTGAACAAAAACTAGATTTACTATTATTTTTTTAATAGTGAAGCTAAGGACTGGTACTTTGCAGTGAAGGATTTGATTTTCACTCGGGCCTTGATTTTAGCCACCAATCAGATAACCTCCTTCTCGTTATTTCTACCTGCTTAAAGTCTATTTTGCCCTCCCTGTCCCTAAACCCCAGTGCTGTGAAAAACTCTGCGCCATCATCCTGAACTATAGGGTGAAGCCCTTTACAGATCGTTATCAAGTGTTCGGCAGTGTCCTCTTCCTCTCCACACGCACTGCATACCGTGTCTACCCCTTCGTATTTGGCCTGATAAGTCTTGGTTCCCAATACTCCCGTCCTGGCCTCAAACAGTAGCGAACTACCCCGAGAATTATCATAGATCCTTTTCTTGGCGATATTCTTGAGCTAGCCTTTGTGGGATTCCACAGAACAGACTAAGCATGATCTTGACGACAGCGCCACCACACCTTAGTGACGTCCCTCCCTGCAGTTTTCCTATTGGTAATTATACTATGACGTTACAGGTACAGGCCACAGCAACATAAAAGCAGCTATAATGTGATGGGGGTCAAACATTTCCGTGATCTTGGATGTAGTGTCCGTTTTTGGTACCCCCCTCCCCCACAATAAAAAAGTGGAATATCGGTGCAGGCATTGCGCCTGTCCTGTTCCAACTCTGGGCATAAGCTCAAACAGACCACGACAAGACTTTGGCCCTCCCGGAGCAAGGCTGATAAGAATATGGCTAGGGCTACTGATCACAACAGAGTGCTCGATAGATTAAAATGAAGCGAGGTCGAGGCGAACAACTTGCTCTTAACCTCGAAGGTTTTTCTCGATAACCAGCAGATCGCTCGAACAAACGGAGCTCTCGTTTGCGTACACGTAAACTGATAAGACGCCTTTGACTTACGTGAGATCTGCGTCTTTCGAAGAGACGAACACCCATCGCTCACCGCTCTTTTTTTCTTCGTTGACAACCGTTTCGATGGCTTTTCCAACCAGCCCAGTGCCGCCGGTCACTAGGATCACTTTCTCTTCGCTTGATGTCATATCAATTCACGCTGCAAAACAAGACGTTCCACGTTAACGTCAAAACTTGAGACACGATCGTGAATCTACAACGCAGTACACCTTGAGCAACACAACGTATATATATAACATATGTTGACGTCTGCACTCACACGCGTTCACGTTGAAAATTTTGGTTTCGCCGCTGAAAACGTGGCAAAAAAAAAAAGAGAAAAACTGGGAATGCCGCTGGCATGCTAAGCGTTGCCCTGAAACCGACGCTTTCCAAGAGTCAACTGCAAGCGTAGGTGGTTCTGCAGTTGTTTCTAACTGCACGATACAATGAATGTGGTTACTTTACAGCACGGCATGCCGATGTTTCGCCTAGTGAAGTGCCCGTCAACGCAGGAAGGCGAAACAACTCGCATGTTGTAGTAGTAATGGTCTTTGCAGCGCCTACCTTGGCGACTCCAGCGAAAGTGAAGAGTTGAGGTTGATTTCCGTTTAACGGCGAGGAGGCGTACGAACACAACAGCGAGCGGCGATATGGAAATATCTTGAAGCTGTGTCCGCTCTTTCGCTGCTGCCGACGACAGCCGGCGATCAACAAAAATCTCTCGTACTCCACGTGACAGCTGCACATGGGGGCACCGTACACAGAGAGCAAAACATAACCACATTGAAGCAAGGTGTTCGCATGCGCCCTCTGCACACACGCATACACCCACACAAACACACACATAGAGGAAAAAAACTAATCTACTATCTTTTTTACAGTCTTTGAGATTGCGCTGGCACAATATTGAAGGGCACGTTTCGCAAGTCATTTTAACATTTCATACATGAAAATTAAAAAAAAAAACACTTCATCGACTGTTAGCCAAAATTTTTAGCGATTTACATCTGGAAGAAAAAAGGTAAAAAATGAGAGTATGAGCCGACCACGCTGTCAGTGCAATGTTGAAAGAATATTTCTTAGCTAATTATGCGGGTAATGTAGTGCTAATGTAGTTCATGCAGTAATGTCGTTCTTCTCTAGGCCTTGCATTATAGTGCTTAGAATATACTATCTAGGCACTATACCTTTCATTATGTCTTGCCATAGAGTGTATATTAGGAAACTCTATGTGTCTTGCAGTTGCTCATGGCATCTCATAGCCAATCATAGCTGCGGGCAATTGCACCCTTGCCGAGGCAGTTGCGTCTTCGCTTGCGCTGTACAATCATCATCTAGATGTTTTAGAAGTGTTTCTCGCTATTTTAGGCAAAGTGTTGCGAGCAATGTTTGCCGAATTTCGGGTTTATATTATTTTACACCTTTTTTAGTTTATTCTTTACATGCTTTGAGCATTGTTATCCATGCTTTAAGCCTTATCGCGTTCAACACACAAAGGCGAAGCTTATAATGGTCTCCGAATTTTCGTTTCGCTTTAATGCGGTCGCATGGGTTTCCTTCCACGTGCTTTCAACAAACATTCAGTTGCCAGTAAACGCGGCGGTTTGTCCCTTTTCTTCTCTTCGTCGGCGTCGTTGAATTGCGCTGTTTCAAGAATGTACTGTCACCATTTAGAACAGCTTTCAATCCAGCACAGCTGGCTAGTTCCAGTTCGATCTTGGTTGGCTCCAGCACCATATGTTTTCATTGAGAGGTCGTGCCAGCGGTTTCCCAACTAGAACCACCGCATCCTCAACTGGTGACACTTGCTTCTAGGCCAAGTGAAAATGGTGAAAATGTTCCAGGTTAAATTTTAGCTAGAACAAGGTGGTATCCAAGTGGGGAACAAGTTGCTCCCAGTTCAACTGGAAATATTTCCAATCCGATCCCGGCTGGAACCAATTGCTTCCTAGTTTGTTTCCAACTGGAACCAGTTGATATATATATTTATTACAGCTAGAACCACTTGCATTTCCAGCTACCCATGTTCTTTTTTGGCGGAATGGCCAATAATTGAATAATTCGCGTGAGTTTACTCCACTGTTATTCTTCAAGCACTGAATTCGTATCATTACATGTCCTTATCATATTTATCTCCCTTCTGTTTCTTATGTGTAATGTCTTCTATAAGGCATTTAGAGGTCCCTGTAAATTTTGTTAGGGAATCTGACCTCGGTGTTCAGGCAAACATCACACTTTCGGTACTCTTAGTATATGTAGTATTTACATTAGCCGATAAAACGCAATTTGGTTCGAGAAGAAACGAGCTAGTACTACTGCCTTTCGCAGGTGAAGGGCAGGCGCACCTTGATTTCGTGGGCGGAACTTACACGTTTCCTTAGGTTGCATTTCTGGATGAATTTTTCTTGTCAAGTTAAGGGGCAGAACTCTGCGAGGAAAACAAGGACTGCTCAACATTATCTTTAAAACGCGCGCAACATTGCCAATAGCGGAGGAAGCGTTTAGTCTCTATTTAACACGTCCAGGTGGCGCCACTTAACTTCACTCGCACAAGAAATATATGACGTTCTCTTAGACGTCACTGATGACGTAGTGTACCGTTATTCTTTTTTATTGGATGCTCGTTGTTCCTCAGGCATTTGGGCGGATTTCAGGTTCTCGTTATTTTACGGTGTCGGGCACCGTCACAGCGATTCGATGCTAGAAAACCACGCTGTTTACATCAGGCTCAGGTACTCGCTCTATTTGCATTCGTAAGCGGCCAGGAAAAGAACTCTGAGTGGTGGCGGCTGCGAACGACCGAGATAAAGAACAAACACAAAGGGAGGCTAGGTTGTCCCTGGCTTCCCGGCCTCCTCCAGAGGAGGAGAGGCTTGGGACACGAAACCTCCTCCTTCATTACTGACTGCAGCGTGTACTAAGATCTGAGGCGAGAGATAGGTGAGACAATATAAGATAGAGAGAGAGGAAAAAAACCGTGAGGGAGGTGAGAGAGAGAGGCTCATAATAATTGCAAAAACATACAAAAAAAAGATGTCGCGGGTAGCTGAGCAGCAGTACGCCGAGTCGTCGTTGGGTCGTAGGCTGGCGCCGCGACCGATGTCGCAGTGGCCGCAGTGTCGTTGCAACAGAGCATCGCTGGTCGTGTCGTCGCGTTGAAGTGCCCCAGCTGTTGAATTGCCTTTGACGAGTGTCCACCTTGAAACCCACAGTCGACCTCCATGACATGGATCATCGCCAACGAAGGAGCGCTCGGAAATGAACGGTGAGCTAGAGCGAGCTTTCTCACCATTCAGCGAGCCCGCCTCGGAAACCTCCCTTCCCGTTGCGGTCAGGGTTTAGGTATAGCTAGCGCGCTTCGGCATTATAAAACGCGCACTTGTACCCGTGCTCGCGTTTAGACGGTGGTTTGGAGGCATGCCTGTCGGATCATGCGACTGTCACCCTTACGTGACAAGGAGGTAGTGAAAGTGTCGCGATGCGACGTCAAGATAGAACGGCAACTCTAGTGTACCACTCGCGTAAGCTGCAGTTGTTGTTGGCCGAGCTTCTGTAGGTTTAAGGTACACTCTTGCTTTGCGCAGTCCCTCGTATGTCGATCTGGGGTTCTTTCTTTTCCCCGACTGAGCTGTTTCGAAACGAGAGCGAGATCGGGGAAAGCTCGCCCATTTTGACTAATAAGCGATGGTTTTAGCGCGGGATCGCAGCATTTTCTCTTGGCTCGGGACAGAAAACTCCGGAAACGACCCTCGACGTTAGTAAATGTGCGCGCGTAGTTTTACGAGCCGCAAATTAACGGTACCACGGAATCGGTTGCGGTCGAGTCTCCGTGCTCGAAAACTGCGAGTCCACACTCCCTTTCATCGTCTGCAGAGAGCTTATCGCGCACGCAAAAGCAGTAAAAAAAAAAGGCAAACAAAACAAGGGGACAGAGAAGAGTTCGTTTCTATTTTTCTATCTCGGGCTTTCTGGCGAGCCTGGACCTTTTCGCTTGCCTGCCGCGCACGCTGAGCTGAAGAACGCTGCGTGCGGTGGTTTACAATTGTGTATGTCGCGTCGGTGTCGCTTTCACTTGAGGCCACCAAAATAGACAATGCGACGTCAATTCGCTCGTCTAGATGTCACACCGTTCTCAGTAGATCTGACAGCGTTGTCGTACGTAGCTCAGCTATTAAAGCTAGCGCGATAAACGCACTATAGCTTTCACTCGTGAGAAAGTTATTCCACTTACGGTAAAGCTTGCGCACATGTGTTGTCTTAATAATATATGAAGATGGCAACACTGATATGGCTAGTTGCAATCTAAGAATACATGCAGGCTCCACCCAAATCCGTCGTTGTTTCCATCCAGTGAGGATTTTTAGGTGTTTAGAAAAAGTTTTCTTTCATCATACAACGCTACCAACACTTGGGTACTAACATAGACAGTCACATGACCTTCCTGTCACTGTGAACAAGGGACAAAACACCGAAAGAAAGTACATTTGGTACATTTAAATATATAGTCTAAGGAGTCTGAAAACAGTGCCTAAAGTAATTTTGCGCAAGATAGAGTTCCTATTGCAGGAAATTAGATGTTCTGTTGTCTCACGTACTCCGCAAAAAAAAAAAAAAAAAAAATTAGGGGAAGCTGCTAGACCAGCCACGAGTAGATAAAAATTTAATGATGCCTTAAAAAGTAGCCTAGTGATTGCGACTTCAAATTCTTGTGTTTTGTCATATTTTACGGTTTCAGTGCTGGCTGAGGTGTTTCAATGGAGACCGAGTTGCTGAAATCCTAATGTGGCTGTTAATGACGGCGCAGGCAATTCCTCTAACATCACTTTTCTGCTTGTTCTAGCACCTGTAATGAATTCCGATGCTGGAAATTGCTTAATAAACGGGCGATTGATGTCTTTGCTAGCGCATCTGCCGTTTCATTCAGAAGTAAACACCTATGTCCTGGAAGCTAAACCAAGTCAATCAAATTTATACGTGGAGTAATCAATGATTCGAGTGCACTCAGAACACGGGAGTCCTCATTTGCGTATAGGGAACACCACAGTAATAATCACTGTGGAACGTTGTTAATTTTGTAGTAGTAGTAGTAGTAATAGGCATCATGCAGGTGAAGTAACCATAAAGGGAGTGATAAAGAGGTAAATAAAACTAAATAATAACGATCGAGATCATGATGATAATTCTCGATCAAATATACACGCGCGCTTGCAGCTTTGTCCGACGGTTTTGACGGCGCGGAACCATGCCTGTTGATGAAATATTTATTGGGGTCAAAACGGTTGATTGGCTCAGTTGGCGAATACATGAGCGGATATGGGTTTCCTTTTTGGTCGAGTCGCTTATAATATTTTCTAGTCGCTTGTTGCATTTTTTTTTTTGCAATTAATCATGCACTGCCAAACGTGCGTCCAACTAAATGGAGACTACCCTGTTGATAATGTAACAGTACATGTGTCCTTTCGTTCATAATTGCGCATATTTTCGCCGTACAAATTAATTTGATTGATTTGTTTTCGCATCGCCATTGTATTTGAGTGGCATTTGTACTATCCTTGAAAGGCTACTCAACAGGCTTCGACTTTTTTTTTTTTTCTTACATCCCCCAAAGACGCTCGACAATTCGTAGAGTAGAAGTCGGCGATTACGTTTTCCGAATGTTACACCCGCTGCGGGCCTACAGAGCCTCCATTTCGGAACACAATTACCGCCTCCGTGATTACCGCGCTCCTTTCCTACGCCCGACCAATCCTCCTCTCGTGCGCAGTGACGCACTGTCGCCGATTGGTCTAAACCAGCCACGGCAAAAAGGCTACGCCCTCCCCTCCCTGTGTGAGAGGAGGGTGGTGAGGCGGCGCGAAAATTAGAAGCCGGCTGAAACCGATGTTCCAAGCCCTCTACCTTCCTTATTGTAGCACGTATTACCGAAATTCCTGCGGCAGCATGTTCACAAAGCAAAAGTGCACATATTTCTTCTTAAAACCATTTTCGGACCTTTGGGTTATTTACTGGTCATTAAAAATATATTATTGAATCGAACTTTTCCGTAAACTTCAGCTTCGTTTGGGCTACTTCGCGAAAAACGCGCCACTTTTTTCTCTGTGTGTGTGTGTTAAGGGGGAAGGGGGCTTCTTTTGTGATCACGTATCAGCAAAAAAAAAATAGTGTGCTTGGCGTGACGCAGGCAAAACAACATATAAAAGTGGAAAAAGAAAGAGAAAACAAGCCCAAAATAGAGACAGCTAGAAAAGTAAAAAAAAAACAGGAATAAAAATAGAAAGAGCAAGAAAGAGACAGAAATATGTATATAATATAAACCATAGAATATCTTTAGAGAAGTGCACTGCACTCTATCTATCTATCTATCTATCTATCTATCTATCTATCTATCTATCTATCTATCTATCTATCTATCTATCTATCTGTCTGCCTCTCTGTAGAGAGTGTGAAATCAGTCTGATTAGCGATATATGTTGCCCTCGTTTGGGCACAAGTTGGAAAACGTTTCACGCACAAACGTAAGCCACCGCCGCTGAAGGGGACCTATAAGAGAAGGCGCGGGCTTCGCGAGAAGCTCGCCGAGCGACGTACTACGTCATTACGGCTTTCCCCCTTTTTTTCTCGGAAGAGGTCGCCTCGCGCCAGCCCCACCCAGCCAAATGACAACAACCCTGGGTTGATGAATGTCAGCTGGGCACGACAGGCTTTCCAACTCTTCCTTCGCCAGTTTACGTCGCCTCTCCAAAAGGAGGCACCGAAGAGGGAAAAAATTGTTTTTCCAGCGAGTCTTTGTATGACTCGCAGATTTCGGTGAAAAAAAAAATAATTAAACTGGGGTGAATCGAAGCGTGAATCGAGGCGGGGGGATTCATCCTTGTCCCTTCCCGCCTTGTAGAAAAAGGGTTTTCCAGCTTTACTCGCTACTTACCTACGGAGCGTAAACCTGGAGGCTTAGAAGAGGGTTCAACTCAAATTGAGGACGACACAGCGAGTGATGGAAAGTAACATGATAGGTGTAACCATAAGAGACAAGAAGAGATCAGTGTAGGTCAGGGAACGAACCGGGGTTAAGGTAATCATAGTTGAAATCAAGAAGAAGAAATGGACATGGGCCGTTACACGTAGCAGGTAGGTAGGATAATCACTGGTCATTAAGGGTGACTGACTGGATTCCCAGAGAAGGCGAACGCACGAGGGGGAGACAGAAAGTTAGGTGGTCCGATGAGATTAAAAAAAAAAAAATGTGCAGGTATAACGTGGAAGCAGAAAGTTTAATACCTGGTCGATTGGCGGAACATGGGAGGGGCCTTTGCCGTGAAGTGGGCGTGGTCAGGCTGCTTATGTGATTCTTAAAGAGAACAGAAGAAAAAAAAGTGAGCCCCGTAACTGTCTGCATCAGAGTGCGACACCTCAACAGTAGCTCACAAGGGATGGGGGTAAGGAGGGGTTAAAAAGATGGGATTAAAAGGTAAATAGATTGAGAGAGGAAGGAGAGAGCGAGGCGCAGGGAAAGCAAACGACGGAAGTAAGGAGGAGATAGGAAAGATAAACACGGTCGCAGGAGTCCGAGGACGGGGCACCACTCGGCGAGAGCTCTTGTTGGCGTCGGGAGATGGCGTATAGGGCGAGCCCAGTCGGCCAGAGCTGCGCTGTCGTCGAAGATCGTGGGTGAACAACTGGTCGGCACGAAACACTGAGAGCGAGTCAGCTGGTTCTTGTTCATGAGCGAGGCCGCTGATGATTAACGTACGACTTGGGTAGGGGCGAAACACGCAGTTTTTCTTGTTCCCTACATGTCCGGTTCCAGTTTCCTACGGTATGCATGGAAGGATGTTCGAGTTGAATTAACGTCGCCGTGTTGGGTTAACTGCTGCCTTCTTCATATTTAGTGAACCTGTGATGAGTAAAGGGACCTACCCTATTTCGTCAATGTATCGGACTGGGCACAAAGCAAATAGGGGGATGGGGACGCAAGAACAGCTCTTTGGGGCGCACTGCAACGAGCCTTCGCCCCCCCCCCCCCGTCCCCTGAACCAGCGCACGCCTACATATGGTGCGTAATTGTTGACGGCAATTACGAGGACTGACTTTTCAGAATGTACAATATATATATATTATATGTGTGTGTGTGTGTCATGTGAAGTCCAGGTGTACTAAAAAAAATGCCGCCACATCCACGAAGTGAATGATGATGAGTGGGCGAAGCTCCGGAGGTAAACCTGGTAAACCATGAATCCTCCGTACATTTTGCCCACTCGATTTTATTGCAACGCTCCCCCTAGCGTACGTCGCCGCACTATATCGAACGATGACACGCGCCATATGTGGCATCATTCCTATTTTATAACACCTCGCATCTTTCATAATTAACTACACGTACCGCTGTCTAGTTTATAACATCTTGCATCTTTTGGATGGATGGATGGACGGACGGACGGATGGATGGATATGGCTGTACCCTTTAGATCGGGCGGTGGCTAGCGTAATACTTAATGCCGTCAGCTACAAGTACCGCTATCTAGTGAACACTGCAAGAACTGAACGAGAGGTGGCTACATACAGGGGACGCACAGCCCACGCCTTAAGGAGCTTCGCTCCTAAAAACTACATTTATGCGCCGTTTCGTTCTTAATGTCCACTTTGACGCCGTGTCGCTTAATTAATGCTATAGCCTTTAACTTTAGCGGGAAACCTGCATCGTCCACTGTCGCAATGAACAAGAACTTATAGCACGCGTCAAATGTATTGCGCGCGTTCGACATCGTAAACACGATCACTGCCCTCGGGGCTTTATTGACTGTGTAGTAGTGTGTGAGTGGCAAAGGGCGATGGGGAGCTTGCCCGGTCCCCCGAATCACCGACCGCCTCGTAGGCTACACGTGCTGCTCGAGAGTGCATGTTTGCCTCTCGCACACGCCGATGGAGTGGTTTGCATCCGACCCGAGCATATATATATATATAGCGTGTGTGCATACGCGACGCCAAGTCAAGCGCGCATGATGTCAATCGCCGAGCCTGCCTGTAATATAACGGAGAGACGTGCAGTTACCAATCCACTTTTATGCGCATTCTGGCTGCGTTTTTCTTTGCCATTTTCACTTCGTTCCCCCCCCCGTTTCACTTTGTGCGACTGTGTCGTGTATACGGGAGCCTCGCCATTTGTGTCGTCGCGTTCACCGCACCATAACGGGGTCGTGTGCCGCCGCGTTCTCGTGTCATCCGCCGCAGCAATTACACGTCGGGACGGACGACATATCCCGACATTTTTATACACCTCGTTTCACAATCACATATAGATGCATGGCTTGCCGCAGCGTCAGTGAAACCGCCATGTTGGAGCACATAGTGGGAGGCGAAGCTGGCGATACACGTTGAAGTTAGCAGCGCACATTGCGTGCACATTCATTCGCAATTCACGCACAGATGCCAATAACGCCGAGGCGGCGTAGTTTTCCGTGGGTAAGCAAGTGGTTCCTTCAGGGGAGCAGGGAGGCTGGGAACATATATGCTGTCTTTGGACAATGCTTGGGCTGGGGGCGGTACAGCCCCCTCTCCCATACTCCCCGCTCGCGCCATCCCCCCGTGTCGGTCTGAGATTCCCGAAGGGCTACATTAACGAACGCGCCTTCGGGTATAAGGTCAACCACCGCAAGATAAGGGATGCTTTGGCGTCATCAAAGCCGCCGTGTTGGAACACCGGCTGCGTTCATGACGTCACGAACAGACTATCAATATGGGACGTCCGTGGGGATATCTAATCAGCGACAGGGCGTTCACACTACTGTGGTTCGTATGCCGCAGGAACGTAACTTATTTGTTTATTTTCATTTTTGCACGTATGCACAATACTGTTCATTTCCGGGCTTACGCACCAGTTGAGGCGCACGATGTGATAATATCTGTAGCAGTTTTCCCCAGTTTGCAACATTCGACAAATCTTGTATGAACGTAATAACGAAGGCTTTTAATTAAGATTCGTCGTTACCATCTAAAACGTTGCAACGGTGTCAGAAATTCATACGAAACTTACTAGGAGGTTCGACTTCCCGACGAAGACCGACTATGCAGACGTTGGTCGACCTGCACGGGACGCTCTAGAAGTTGTCTCTTTTGGACTTGCGCAAATTTTCTATGGGAGAAGCAAGTGCTTCCTTCAGGGAGGCAGGGAACATATGAGTTGTGTTAGGACTATGCTTGCTCTTGTGCGTGTGTGTGGAAGGGGGTTCAGCACTGCCCCTCTATACTCCCCCGCTGGCGCCATCCCCGAGTGTCGGTCCGAGATTCCTGAATGGCTACGTTAACGAACGCTCCTTCGTCGGGGAGGTGAGGCTTCTTTTAACAAAAGTGTGACGGCGTGCGGCAGAGCGACGCCTGGACATGGTCGCTCCGCGCATGCGCGTCACGCTTGGTTGCCAAGGCGACGGCTAAGTGGGGGGGCTTGTGTTCTCGGCTTCGCCTCACTTGGAGTGCGACACGGCGTCTGCGCAATCGCAAAGGTGAGCGTTTTACGCTTGGGCGCCCACCGGAAGTGGCCGCGCAGGAAATGTCGGCCTGCCGTCGTGCAGGCGACCGGAAGTTGAAGAGGCGGGCGTCGCGGGGCCGGACCTCTGCCCACTCGGCGCGGGTTCGTTGTTTCGCAATAAAGAAAAGGTTAACCCTCCCCCTACAGCTTTTTTTTTTTCCCTTGTTTGACCGCGTGTTCCAGCCGACAAAGCCAGCGTTACTACACGCCTGTTCCGTGCTATAGGCAAGCAGTTCACAAGATCTGATGGTAGCGCCAGAACACACAGCCTAGCGAGTAGACGCAGCAAAACCGGACTTGCTCGTGCATATTATTTTCTTTTTTAGTTGTGAGCAGGGGGTCCACGGCTGATTATGTAAGCGCCCAGGAAGCCTTCTTTGAAAACGCGCCAAAAAGGGCATTGCCACTTCAGCATCTCAATGTGTTCAGCGAGAGTTTCATTTTCTTGGTATCCCTGGCAGTCGATAACAATGCTGAGGCGGCCCAAAAAGCTTCGTCGCGCCCTCTGGTCCACTATCGGGTGTTTCTAGTGTCTAGAATATTCTAGGCACTATAGCCGTGCGCGATTAGATCAGAAATCAAAAGAAGAAATCGATCAGGCAGGACGAATCCCTGGCAGTCGATATCAACAATGCTGAGCCGGCTCAAAAAGCTTCGTCGCGCCCTCTGGTCCACTGTCGGGTGCCTCTAGTGTCTAGAATATTCTAGGCACTATAGCTGTGCGCGATTAGATCAGAAATCAAAAGAAAAAATCGATCAGGCAGGACCGACCAAGACAATCGTAGTAGATGATCAGGAAATTATTAATGTTAAAACAAGGGATAACCAGCATGACAGATAGTACTTGCCATAATAAACAATGACAGCGCCGTACTCGGGTTTGCAGCGGAGCGAAAGCTGCTGGGGCTTGCACACATCATTCGTGTCACTACTTTGTACAACAAGCGTGGAGTCATAATCGCGAATACACAGGATTGAACGAGCACACACAACATTATATTGCTTTCATAAGCAGCTATTGCACAATGCAGTGCGTATTGTTGCATAACTGTCTTGCGGCTGCTACACGTGACAACTACATAGTCGAATACGTCCGGACACATGTACCTCGCACGCGTCCACCTTTGCATTGTATTAAATGAAATTTTCCGGCGCAGCTTGAGGCTGTTTTTCAGTACCAGTAGTTTTGGTTCTGCTTCGATAACGAAAGTGGGTGTTTTTTTAAGGCAGCAATATTAAAGATATATTCAATGCATTCCCAGACACCACTATACTCTTTTTAGGGATCTCAAAAAATGTTTTTGTTTAGAGCAATACACTGAAACATTTAAAAAATGTGTGAGCGCATGCTTGGTAGTTGGACTATGTGGGGAGTCGGTCATCAGAAATAGCTTAGAATTGTGACGCATGCTAGCCATACATGCCAGTATGTATGGTTGCATGGTTTCTCTTCGTGCACTCCACATAAGTGCATAAAGTGGTTTTATTCTGAAAGTTCCAGCTATAATGAGCTCAAGCTAAGTGTGATGCGGAGCACGCCTTTTTCCGTGCCTTTTTCAAAAGAGCGGTCGCTGTGGATGACTGCTCGGAAGGCTGTTTGCCGATCCCTTATCTTCCATTTCCGGCATGGCAAAAAGACTTGGTCCAGCGATTGCGATTCTGTGTTACTATATGCTTTCGAGGGGTGGGGTCAAAAATGCGAAGCTGCCATTGAAAATGTCATTGCGCTTCCTGTTTTCCGGAGACTCAAAATAAGCGTGTAGCGTCATTGCGGCATCATATGTAACTGCAGTAGACGTCATTTCCACCATTCCTGAGTGGCCACTACAATAACTTATCAAGCACCTTGTATTTGGCTGGCACACGCACAAATACAGACACAAACTTTCACAAACTGTTGAAGTACAGCAAGAAAAATGCTTTGGCTACATCTTCGTGTGCAGTGTGGAGGCATATACATCACACATTATTTGTAAGATAAAATGGTAGCACAAATTGCAGTCAACGACACAAAGGAACAAATACAGACAAACTCTAATCTTTTTTTCTTAATCTGCTCTTGGTTATATCTTGCACATGCCAATTTACCTTTCAAGTATGCACCACTGGGACATAAAATACCAGCAATTATTAGTATAATTGTTCTTGCTATTTCAAATATGAATTAATTAGCCCAGTAACAAATTTTATTGGGGTACATATGATGACAATCTTTGTTTGCTTCATGTGTCTCTTGCAGATAATGTAATTCTAGATCGAGCACCATCATCACCTACAGCTTAGACCACTTGAGGCGATTGCGGCAAACGGAAAAAGTCACTGTTGGCAGCAACTGCTGACATGGGAAGCTGCGTTTCAGCCTTGTCAAGTGTCGGCGGAGACAGGAGTCGTCGGGAGCGGACGTTTCAGGTGAGGATGGCTTTATCCCCTTCGGCGGCGGTGTGTACAATTGTAAACATTAAATTCGGAGAAATGTCATGTTTCTTCAAATGGCTTGAAACTCAGTGTGCACATTCGCAATCGCGTCAACTTCACTGCGCTGATTATTGCTGCAAATGATCACTTTGCTGGAGACACTACAGTGCTCGACGATGGGTCAATGTGGGGCGTTTCACGATCAACGTAAAGTTCTTTTTCTTTGTTCTAAATGAGTGCAACCAAAAATCAAACTGTGGATGCATTTTGGGCCTAATGTTTTCTTGATTTTTTTTTAAAGCAAGGATTTAAGGTGACCAACAGTACAGTAATTAGAATAGTAACTAATGCTAATTACTCAAACTTGCAGAAAACAACACATTCCTTCATTACCTTTTTTTGAAATGTAACAGTGAGTGCCTAGGGATCATGCCATGCAAATTTGATGCATTTACAAACAGTGCATCATAATTCACGCCTGAAGAGGTTTTTCTACATTTAGTCCAAGCTGAGAAAGCATCCTCAAAGAAAAGTAGCAACATCGTTAAAACCATTGTACCTCAAAATGTTTATTTGATGTTCCTAATGAATCAACATGTCCACATGCCAGTTGACTCATTTTGATAAGGCTTATGCACATAGTGCAGATGCTTTGCGAGAAGTGCTTTCAGTTCACAAATAATGAATGTATGGTGGTCCCTCGACCAAAATAGCATGACAATACTTTTTTCTCTAATTATGCTAGGTCATTCACCAATCTATGGGTACACATTTAATAATGATGAACAAGATGTCAATACATGTGCTCCTTCTTCTGCTGTCCATGAGCAGCAGACCTTTGGCTATGGGTACTCACATAGGGTATTTAGGGGCACTTCAGCACTTTTTGGACAGAGTAAAAAAAAATGTCACAGATTCGTAATGAAGGGAACATTTGAGCCAAATATTGTATCCTGGCACAACATTTGCAATTGAATTTCTAAGTCGGCTAGAAATCGCTCACTTTTCTCTCGACAACTGATGTCATATACTTAAATCAACTGTGTCACGTACCCATGGCAAAAGCACATAGACACGGTCAGAATAACCGAACGTAGGGCGAGTTGGTATCCAATTGCCAATGGCACTTTACAAAAAAAACCCGGACAAGAACGAACGAGAGCACAAAAAGGTGTAGACATGGCCACCGGCTGAGTTGAGCATTCCGAGCAGCATAGTTGCCGCAGCTGTGCTCTACATCATTGCGCTCAGAATCACTCTGACAGTAAGCCACACTTTGAGAAAACAATACTCAAGGTGATGGCCCATGCTTACGTACAAATGTAGCCCTTCGTCATCTCCCCCACCTCCTGAGTAGCTTTCAGCCCACTCTCTGGTTCGAAAGGCGAGAGAAAGGCCTTAGAGTGTTGGACAAACCTTTGTAATTCAAGTCATACTTCATAATAAACATTTCTGAAGCAGCTTATTCATAAGGCATCAAACTTCGGTAATGTGATCATTTGATAAATACTTGGAGTGTTGTTGCAGGGCCCTTTCAAGTTTTGAGGGCATTCCCACATGTTAATGTAAGGCCGCAGCTGATTGGTGCCACGCCAATGCAGGTGTGGAACCTGGACGAGCAGGGCGCCGAGGTGAGCCCGGGTAAGATTGAAGTGAACGCAAATGACCTGGTGCTGTACCAGCGCGGCCGACCGCCCGTGCGGTGGCCCCTGCGTGGTCTGCGACGCTACGGCTTCGACGCGCACCTCTTCTCCTTCGAGAGTGGCCGTCGATGCCCCACCGGCTCGGGCATTTATGCCTTCAAGTGCCACCGCGCGGAGGCACTCTTCAATGCCCTACAGGTGAGCCATCGCCAGCTCCTTGTTGTACTGGCAGTGCTTTCAAGGTGAAGCCTTTCTTGTTTACACCGCACGCCCAGTTCCCCATCCATAATTTTCATACCTGCTAAGGAAGGCTGAGCCTCGAGATGGTGATAGTAGACTTCTTTGGTGAACGCACATAGAGTTGAGCCTCACTAAAATGTAGCTAAATTGGAACAATAATGCCTTCATTCACCCAATATTTGTTATGAAATATGCGTTGTTGCATCAATAATATTGCAAAGAACCATGTTAGCTGGAAGCTTATTATGTAAGAACATTCCATAACATGTTCACTAAATACTGAGATGCTACTGTAACCCGCTCGGAAAGGATCTTACGGAGACTTGTGCAGTCAATGTGGTATTTACATGGATGGCTGATTGACACGAGTGCTGGCATGTTGCCTTAATTAATGTGGTTTTTGAATGCAAGTTAATTCTGAAGATAACACGATCCTGGTAATTCTGCATGATGCAAACACTCATGTGTCATTTGCCATAGCTTTTCTGCACCTTCCTTCAGCAGTGGCGATTCAGCATTTTGCTGATTAAAGGTTGTGGGAAGCTTTTCACAGACCTATGGCACAAAAGGAAAGCATTTACAGGACAAGAAAGAAAACTATCTCAACTGACTGGGAGATATCTGCACCCATGACCCTAGTAATTTCAATTATCTATTGCCCCCCTTTCTATATCTGTGGCTAGGCTCCATGCTTAAGGTTACATGAGCCACAGACCTACAGTGGTTGTGTCCGTTTGCCCGCAGGAGTGCATCCAGAACTCGGGTGCTGCGTCAGCTATGACAACGACCATCAGCAGTTCGGTGGCTGCCCCTGACCAGCAGCAGCCGGCTCCACCCTCAAGCATTGTCCCAATGACGAGCCAGCGGAATGACATCGTCTTTCCCCCGCCAGTCAGCAACGGTCCCACAGTTGACTCGTCAGGTTACCTCGAACCCATTTCCCTAGGTTCGCTGCGACCTGCCGCCACGTCGCAGTCAAATGCAGCTGCCATTACGATGCCCAACTCGACATCGCAAAACCTGCCCCAGCATTCCTACGTGAACTCGTGCGCTCAGTGCGGCCAGCCACATCCGCCACCCTGTGTCGACATCAACACCAACTATGCCAAGCTGGACGACCTGCTCAGACAGGAGGCGGGCGTCAAGCCGCGGGATAGCAACCACTTTTACGTCAATGTCAATCCCATGCCCTTGAATCAGCAGCAACACCCACTGCAGACACACTCATATGCGAACCTGAGCTGCCCAGCATCTCCCGAGCGAACTGTTCCACCGTCAACAGCATCAACGACAGCGGCAGCCGGCCTCCTAAATAATGGTGGGTCGGCAGACGAAGTGAACTACGTGGTGCTCGATCTGGACCACCAGAGCGACTCAAGCACGAGCGCCGTGTCCCCTGTGGCAACGGCTGCACCCGCGGTGGGCGCGACAACGGTGGCACCAGGCAGTACTGCTGTGGCAGGCGCTTCTACCATCACACCAGGCTCGCAACCGACGTCCCCCACCCGTGCCCCCGAGGGCTATGCAACCATCGACTTTGACCGCACAGCCGCACTGTCTAACTCGGCCAACCCAAGCGTACACCACCACGACGACAGCGTGCGGAAGACGCGCCACAACAGCAACGCGGTGCCCGTTCTGTGTTGAATGTGGGGGGCATGTATTGTTTTATGCACGCATATGATTGAGTGCTATGACCAAGCTGATGATGTGCACGTGTTCTCCTATGTTGCCAACCGGACATCGACCATCATGACAGCTTGGACAATACGAGTCACTGAAGCACTGTCAGGGTTTTGCTAAGTGACGAGGGGTCTTGTGTGCTTGCCCAGATTGGCGTGAGCATGACATCCCAGGTGCTCCCATCCTGATGATGATGTGACACAAGAACAGTCCCAGGTGCTGTTACACAAGTGACTATGCCCATTGGATGATGTGGAGTTTGGCCTGAGCGTGGATTTCCAGAAGGTCAGCGAGCATGCATCAGCACTCTTCTTTTGAGAGGTCAGATGTTGCACAGCACTCCGAGGACCAGCTTCAATAGCATTGGTACTATGAACTGCCCACCGCTTCCGAGATGTAGCATCGAGCTCTTTCTTTAAAGTAAGTGCAAATGGTGTCCGTTTAAATGGCACACTCATTTTGGGCACATCCATGCATGATATGGTATGCAGATGCTTTGTGTGCATGCTCCTGTGATGGCTGAGAAAAGCTGCCTCATTGCTGAGGCACAACTTGCCGTTTGAATCATGGAATAGCTCGTCATGACAACGATGCCGTTGGGTATTGGTGACAGTATGGAATATGAAAAATGGCAGAAAGGGGTAGATGGAAGCCTGCGATTGAAAACTCTGTAATTGTGTGCTTGAGCCAATGGTTTGACAAGTTCACTTGCCGTAGCGTCGTCTTGAGCATGCAATCCCCGTTAACGAATTTTTTTCATCAGTATTGAATATCAAAATGTTTAGAGCACTTATCATTTCTACACGATTATAATGTGCACCTGATTTTTGTAAACAATACAAGAAAGGCTAGCATGCTCCAACACTATATAAATGTCCAATTGACTATATGAATGGAATACAGGACTCCCGCTGCTGCATAAGCATGAAAACACTTATCCACTCTAATGACCCTATATAAAACAAAACATTGCTGGCAATAATTAGCAAATTTCTAGCCAAGAAAACCAAGCACAAAAAAAAAATGTACAGGGTAACATTAAATGAAATACGTCCCATTGTTCTCTTGTGATTACCATCATATCTGAAGGCAGGCCATAAGCAATGCAGCAATTCTGTTTGTTTTGTATGTGACAGCAACATACGGGCAACATGTCAACACATTTTCTGAAAAAGACTGTGCTTTCAAAAAAAGAATTGAGCATATACGCTGCATTTGGTTTCATGCACGACCACTGTATCTAAGAATTACTCTCGGTCACACTTTCTGGTGAACTTGGTACTTTAATTTTAAAGCACTCAGCTACAAAAACAAAAAGAGCCATAAGAGTGATGAATTTAAGTGGTCCGGAGCAATGCGTGATATGTGTAGTGCGCCTGCAAACAGCTTTCCGACTGCCCACGACAAAAAAAATTTCAGCAGTGCTATTACATAACCTGTGGTACTATAAATATGTGGAGGAAATTTCACCCCCGCAGCATTCTTGAGACTGCAGCCAGTGTAGGAGGAAACTTGCAGAGGTCTTCTTTGTGTGATCACATTTGCTGTGATCTCATAGCTTTGGACGCATGTGGTACCGTTGTCATGACAGCTTCTGATCGACGGCTAAAACAAACTTCTGATTTCTAGATCTCCAGTTTCATTCATTGGGATACATATCGAATTTCACCAGCAGATGTACACTTTTTTTTTTTGCCATATCACTGCGATGGGTGGCAACTCTCCTCTGGTCTGTCATGATTGTTGTGCAAAAGCGTGGGCATTTAACAGGTAGCCCAAAAAAAGAAGACAGAAGACTGAGGGCTCATTTTGAGACCTCTAAATGTGAAGCTATCTGCATTTTGTGCATGTGTCATTGAATAATTTTTTTGGGTGAAAACAGAATTGTTCAGGATTTAAGCGTGCCAGTGACTTTCTGCAAACTATCATGGTTAGAATGGTTGAGTGCTTAAGAGAATGGAGCCTGGTCTATTTTGAAGAAGGCAGAAACTTCCAGCTTGAGATGTACACCATAGGAACCACTTGTACACCTCAAAAGGAGTGCAAGTGCTTGGAACAGCATACGTGGTGTTGGCATAGATAGTACACCGATGTGTGGTGTACTATTAAAACCACGTGAAATGCCACAGATAGAGTACTTGTGGCGGGGACACCTTTTTCAGTGTTAACCCGGGGAGAGGCACCATACACCTGGATGGTGTTTTCCAGGTGGCATTTATAAGCATCAAAACCTAATATGGGCTTAATGCTTGTTGCACACGACACCACTATTTCCGTTTGGAGATACCACTGGATATAGGGCGGGCTTTGTAAGAGACCTAATAAGTTCTCTGCCATAAGCTTTTTCAAGTGTAAAAAAAATGTGTCCCATCAACTTTTCTTGGCATGTTGAGGAAGCAAAGTTCTCATCAACATCGATGATGACCATGAGTCTGTGCGATTTGGGCTTGCAAGACTTGCGGTTGTACTGCTTTATGATCTCATGCTAGGCAGTGACTATTGCTGCTTCTTGCCGGTGTTTCACAAGTGACCACAGAAGCATTCTTATGAGGTAGCATTTATTTATTGATGCAAAAGAACATTCAAGGCAGCTAATCTTTAGTATATCTCGATTGGTCATTTGTATTCCAAGCACGTTTTGTGTGTTTTAACATGTCTGAGAAGAAACGGTGCATTAGCCTGAGGACATAAGCTGCTGGATTATTAGCCTTTGCTGTAATATTTTTTCAAGCCGTAAGTGTTTGTCAAAGGATTGTTTTTTTTTTCCAGCAATCAAAGCAGTTGCACTTACAGGAAACCAATGCCCTATGCTTAAACCACACGCTTTTTCATTGATATGCTTTAACAATGGTGCAGAACTCAGATGTAGGCTCAAATGTCGCTATCTGCATCGATACCTGCCATTTTGTTGGCTTATGGACCGAGAGCGTGAAGCAGTTTTTTTTTCGCAGGGTAAAAAAAACACACACACACACACGACGACTCGGCTAACTGCCAACGTTAAGCACATTGCCACACGCAACCATGTTTTATAAATGTTGGAAGTATTCCAGTTATTGACCAAAGAAGGTGAGGTGCCAATGTCAAAATGTGCACCAGCTATTTCATGGGCATTTTCTTCACACTGTTATCACCAAAGAACGGCTGCCGTGCTTTATCGTGGTGTTGATGCTTGTTTTAGCCAAAGCTTGTTTATACGTTTCGTTTGTGCGTTGATTTAAGCACGAATGTTGTGAAGATCTCATGAAGCGTTTCTTGTTTTTAGTGTTTTTTTTCCTTTCCTTCTATGATGTTTGCGCAAACGTATGTAGCAACAAACTTGCAGCTGAGAAAGACAAAGCGATTTCTGCTAGTGTGCAGTTACCTGTGGCACATTTGGTGCTCTGTTATATATGAAGCTTGATTTACTTTTTTCAGTGCATGGTCACTACTGCATTCGCTAGAATGCAGGTTCGTCATATTTAATGATGCTTGTACTTGGTCTTAGTATTTACAAGGTTGTTGAATTATTAGCCATGTTTGAGGTCTTGGCTGGATTGATTACTAAGCCCCAGGCTGCTTTGTCGATATGAATTACTTTTTCCATTTCAAATTTCACTTCAGGCACACGTACTACCCGTCCAGTGTTATGCTTTTGTCATTCGCACATTCTGAAAAATGAATATGGAGTGTCCACAAAAAGCGGAATTAAGGAAGAAACTTTGTCTTCCAGACAGCACTCAACAGGAAGCTTTCTACTTTTTCTGTAAATGTAGATTTTGAAGCCATGCCCGAACTCAGCTACACAACTGGGTGTTTATAGCTGGGCATTATTAAAGCCTGTGGAAGTCAACATCAGAGTTAGGCTTAGCAACAGCTCCTCTTCCCAGCAGTGTCTTGTCTAGTAATTTTTTTTGTACAGAAGTCCCACTGTCACTTCTGCAAAGCAGTTGCTGTTGGCCGCAACAAGCATGCGGTAGTGTGATTTATGTTATGAAATGCTTAAAATGGGCTCAGCAAACCTCCGTGATTAATCAGTAAGTACATTGTTGTGAGCGCAGCATTGTTCAGAAAGCGCGATTGAGCATTAATTCATTTGTTAAATAAATAATATGACATGCTTGTTACGCTCAAGCACAATTTCTTTTTTCAATGTAACGCTTTTGCAGTTGAATTTGTTCACAATGTTATCACTGTTGCAGATCTTTAAAGCTCCAGAGTGTGAACTATGAACATACATTGATCCACATAAGTAACAGAGTTAAATCATTGTGGTGCTTCAAATGTTTATTATTATTGTTAAATATGCAGCAAAGTTCTCAGATGTGTTTTTAAAGAATGCTGAATATGTGAACAATGTTCACTTATGCTTGCTAAAAGCAATTGCTTACACTTGTCTTCTTGCCTTTACTGTGATGCACTCATTTAATTGTATGCTGTGGTGTGTTGACCAGCTATGTCTGAAGAAATGTTAGAAATAACAGCTAGTGTGAATTGTTACACATTAACTTGAAAGTTCCTTTATTATGTGTTGTAAAAGATGATGTCACCAGCTTAATGCAGCTATTTATACATTGACAGTAAGCCCATATAATTATGGATGGCATTTTTGAGGGTCACCACAGATTTTTTTTACATAAAGGCACACAATAAGGCATGTCCAATCGATTTGAATGCATTGCATTTGAAGTGAAAAGAATAAGAAACTTTTTATGCGCCCAGTTAGAGCACCAATTTACAACTTCACAATAATGACCTTTTATATTTGTAAGTGCCGATTTCTGAGGCAGTTTACAGTGAACAGGATTATTATACTGAATTCTTTTTTGCTGCTAGTGATATTTCACAAATGTTTAATTCAAAATCTTTAGCCTGTGCTACATAAAAAGCAGACACAAATATCGTGCTGTACAGTTAATTTTCTAAAGGCATACATTTTAAAACTACACATGTACTGTTTTTACATGAACTCAACATTAGAAGCTAAATTCTTGGATGTAGAATTAGACACTTTCTTTTCAATCGTATGCTGTGTCAGCTAAGAAAAGCATTACGGTTTTTTGAGTAGTACGCATTCACACTTGTTCTAACTAGCATTCTTCAATTGATCGATCAATCAACGGGCTGAATTAAGTTTGTACGTTCAGTGGAACATAAAAAGTGTCAGGTTAGATGCTTTTATCACTGACAATGCAGCACTAAAGTGGATAGCTTGCAGCAGCATTAAAAATAAGTTATCAGCCGTTTTATTACATTCACTACCAAGTCAGGCAGGCTTTAAACGTCATTGCATTGAATATAAAGCCAGTGAACAAAGGACGGCAATTTCACCAGCAAAATCCCAATAGAATTGTGTTATTAACAGAGTTAAATAAAGAAACAGGTTTGTATAATTCGTTATTTCCTCCCCTCTGTTGCAAAAATGAAAATCCAGTACTACCGCCACCGCCACGCTGAAATTTTGAGAGAGCGCTCTTCAGCTAAAACGCTTTAGCTTCGCAGTCTAAGGAAGTAGTCATGGCTAAGGCATTACTAGTAACACAGCCATTTGATCGACTACCTAGTCCTAACAGGTGCCAGATACCAAAGACCACAGGCCTGAGTGTTTTTGAGGCATCTCTGGCAGATGTGTTGTTGCTTAGGTGCTTGAAAAATTTGGGTGCTCTTGTGCATCCATTGATATGTGTACGTTTGGGGGTGCTAGATGACAGAAAGAAAAATCACTGCAGAAAATGTGTTTCAATTGCATTATACATGTTAAAGCCTTGTACGGTTGATTCAAAGTATGGTTGCTTGGAGATATTGCTTCTACATGCATAGAAGCGATTGTTCAAGACCTGCTGAAGCTTTCTGCACTGAGGTGCCGTGAAGTGTATGTCTCAAGTATCTCTAGCAGCTATGTTATATGCATGTTGATTGCCAGCTACCTTTGCCAAGTTGAAACGACACGTAATGTTCATGGTGTGTAGGTGTTAGTGACATTGACTTCGTTGCAACCTTGCAGATGGTCAAAACTGTACAGAACTTGAACTTTGGTGTAACTGTGTGTGTTTTGTGCATGAGTGTCATACAACAGATCAGTGTTGCTCTCGTTTTAACTAAAGTATTTCTTCTTCCGTACGTGCTAACAGCAGGAAAAATGTTCATGAGTACCTTACTTAACATTGTGCCTCTTAAAAGTAAGCGGATAAACGAAATCAAGCTGCTAAAGTAACTTCATATGAAGTCTGAGTCAAATATGCCTGAGGCTCTCGCATGACCCTCTGCCAAGTTACTGGTCCAGAAAAAAAAAGTTACACGTGTTGGTGGCACTCGACTGCATTACTTTTTTTTGTTTCCTGGAAGGAAAATTTTGCCAATGCCCTATAGAAATTCTATTTGTCATGTTCTTCACAGTACAGAGATGTTGCCGACATTAACATTTGCAACGTGAAACCATCAGTTGATGATATTTAGCAAGCATATAGCATAACCAAAGTACCAGTGATCTTTTTCTTTTTTTTCCTCTCTCAATTATGTGACCTGTGTTGACTGCTTGCAATGCAAAAAGCCCCAAAATGAGTGCACTTGCACAAATCTTCAAACTGTCTGCATTGAACGTAATTAGTATATTGCACTTAATTGGCACTGTAATAATGACTAATTTTAATTGGTACTGTAATAATGGCTAATTAAACATAATTAAAGTACCATAGACAATTTCATTTCAAATAGTACTAGTACTTGGCAGTTGGTCAGCACATACTTTATGAACTGCAATCACTATTGTATCCTGTGTCCACTGCAGAGGAAAAAAAAAAGAATGCCAAAGAACGAAAGTTAATACGTACCTGTCGACACGTCCGCAGATTCCAGAGAGACGACTACTACTATTTATGGAGAGAAAAGTGAAATAAAAGCTTCATATCGTTCTACCACCTGTGTTGAGTGAGTGGTTTGGATGACTGAGTATCTTTCCCACGTGAACGGAAAATTATATTGATGCTCACATGTCAGTGCCAGAAGAACTCAAAGCTACAGCGATGATGTACAGCTGCAGCTGGGGCAGTGTGGAACAGAGATCGTTTGTAGAATGCCACAAAGTATACTGAGTGCTGGAGCAGCAGAATGTCCTATGATAATGAACACAGCATACTACTTGTTGAAGGTATGCAGATTACTTAGGAGAATTCAATCCAGAATAAATGGCTATAAGTGCACTCATGTGCTTTAGTGTTGTCACTTACATCCAAGTGCTACGACACTCATAATAACTGCAACACTCTAAAGACAGTTAAACTCTTTGGGGAGTCTTTGTCCCACAACAACCATCATCTGGCTTGCTTAAGCTTTTTTTTTTTTTTTTAAAGGTCAATGCTATCTACTTTCCTCACTCTTTCATCACAAAGTAGACACTACACATAGGTAGTAATAGAATATAAAGGACAGGACACTGAGTGCTACTTCAACAATGAAGGGCTGCCAACTAGACATACTTTGTTGTGCCACTTTCCTATCAACAATGCTATGTCATGCCATTCGTGACGTGAAAGCACTGGGAGTGCAGTAATAAAGCAAGGAACGGCACGCAAGATAGATGACAATCATTGTGCCGGGATATTGCAGTTCGGGTTTACAGGTCCGTGCAGCCGCTGATTACAATTAACAGGAGGCTCTATACAATGGGCTCTTCTTAGTTTTAGTAGCCATCTCGTGCTCTTTGAAAGCAATTCCAACTTGTTTTGATTTATTAGCTTTTTGCTTATGTGTGTGTGTGTGTGAAAGTAGAAAAACTAACCTTGTGAAAAGAAATAAAAATTTAAGAAATATGTAAATTCAGAAAAAACATGTTTTTCGACTTGCACCTCACTTTAATTCAGGGCCCTTACTGTGGCTGATACTCCTTGTTTTTAGTGAATTCTTCAGCACACTTGCTTGAAGCTAGAACCACCTCTCGTTTCTTCATGGCTGGACTTCCAAGGGTTTTTTGCTCCTTCTTTCAGCATCATTCAACTCTTTTCACCAGCAGACTTGAGTTTTCGTAAAATTGTAAAATGAGACCAAGTTCTTTAACATTACAGAAAGTTCACGTGAGTAACCATTTTACCACAACTTTTAACGCAACTGAGTGATCTCGGCATATACTTGCGTATCGACCCAAAAATATATGTATGGTATGTGCGGTGGACCAATAGGTGCATGTGTTTAGCCTGTTTCACATGCGAGCGACTGAGCAGTGGCCGCCGCAGCCATGAGGGGCGGCAGGACGCACGAATGCAAGCTCGTTTCGCATCCACCGCTTATGTGCGATGCCTGCCACTCCAATTGGCAGTGTTTCCCGTACTGCACAGTCGGAGGGAGTTCCTCTAAGCGCACGCGCCCGCTCCACAATTTCGCCCCTACCATTACATGCCACCCACTTGACTGCTCCCTCTTTGGCCACACGTTCTGCCACGAGCAAATTTTCTCAACTCTGGCGACGTTGATGGCAATGTCTAGTAGACAGTCTAGAAACCTGTTTCAGTTTCGCACGCTGGCCGCCGACCTGCTCTTTGGGGCAAAATAGCTCGCACGTGAAATAGGTTTAAGAAAGCCAGGTGCCTTCAAAGAGGTTGCAAAAAGCTGAACACTCTTTTAATTACAAGAGAGGAGATACATGGCATTCATTGCCATAAATAAAATATATTACAAAGTAAGTCGCACTTGCCGCCCACGTCTTGGCTTGCCCCAAACTATCTACATGCAGATCAGGATGCCTTTCGCCGCTTGACCTTGCCAAACTGGATAGCCTTCTTGCGCTTCAGGGCCTCCTTCTTCCTCAGCTGTTGCTTCACCTTCTTGCGAGCTCCCACCTCGGGGTTCCTCACAACCTACGACAGGCACGACACATACACCTTTTATAACTAGAATGAGATAACTGGGGTGTAATAGTTATACACTCAAACCTACTATGAAAATACTTCGTTATATGCAAAAGTTCGTTATAAACAATTATTCATAACACTATATCTACGGCAAAGCTATCCTTTACTTTGTTATAACCAATAAGTCTCCATATCCGAATTTGTTATATCAAGGTCTGAGTGTATCAAGTATTACAGAATTCAAAAGAATAATATGGCAGAACTCAACTGCATTCAGTTATCATGCTCAACAGCAAAATGCGGACCGACAGATTAAACACACTACAATCCAAGCTCCTTATGGTAATGAAGTTCCATATGGCATGAACACTACATTCGATAATAACCAGTGGCGCATCCAGAAGAAAAAGGGAGCGATCCCCCCCCCCCCCCCCCCCCCAATTTGGTGCTCGTAGCCCACCTCTTATCACCAATTAGGACAAATGGATAAAACCACTGAGAACAATCATTAACAGAATTTATCCGATGAAGGGGTTTTTCTCCTAGTAAAAACAAAAGTCATGGCCACGCCCTCCTCTCAAGTGTTATTTCAGGCAAACGCTTTCCCCTAAAATGAGTGGCTGGATATGCCCCTGGTGATAGCGGGGAGACCTATTTATTTCATTATAGCCAATCCTTTTGCACGAGTGTTCATAACATCAGGGTTCAACGATACCTCGAAACATCGGACACACTTCACATTGAGAGAAGAGTCACAACCGACTGAAACCCGTCACACGCAATGACACGTCCAATGCTCACCTCGAGCGCCTTGTCTCGCTTCCGCTTCAGTTTCTTGCCGGCCAGCTTTCCCTGCAGAGCCACCAAGGCGGCGCCAAACGCCTCCACACCCGCTGCCTTCTTTATGATGGCCGTCGTTTCGTTTGCCATCTGTTTCATCTCGTCACCTAGATGGCAAGGGCAATGAGAACAGACCATACGCGTGGGCAGTTAGCACAGACCCTGCCTCTAATGCAACCTATAAAACAAGCATAACAATCTTTGCCATGGTTATTTTAGCTATCTTTTTGAGTTCTTCCAACAAGCAGTGGCAAGTATTAGATGAGCGCTGCACTCAGCAGTACCCCACACAGCCTTTCGTGTCCTGGTGGTACTAGCATCAAACCTGTAGCCAAGATTTCTTTTTCAGTGAGGGGGGCACTTGCTGTAAATCTTGCTCGACTATCCTAAAAAAACGCCCATTTTCATTATTCTCAGTAAAACACTCCTTTCAGTCAGAAATACAGAGGGAGGGAGAGGGGCTAGAGCACTCCTTTCCCTGGGGGCTGTGCGTTTGACTAGCATGACACCATTTCAACGGCCACACGTTGCAACGGAGAAGTCTGACGACAACACACATTGAAAAGAAGGACACTCTAGTCAAGAAAACACACTTTGTAGACATAAATATGCTGAAGTTGATAAATTCATTTCTGGAGCTTCATGTGCCAACTGGACAATCTGATTACGAAGAGTGCCAAGGCTTTCTTAGTACACTGAAACCTCATTATAACAGTTGCATTTTACATGAAAATGAGTTTGTTATATTTGAAAATTCGTTAAGAAGATACATTCCTAACACTATATCTACTGCAAGACTACTTTTCATTTACTTCGTTATAACCAATATTTTGTTATATCCGGGTTACTTAAAGCAAGGTTTGAGTGTATTATCTTGCTAACCGCTTTATGAGAGACACTGTTGTAAGAGCAAAATGGGTAGAAGAGACACTAGACACCAGCATTGAGATAATGGTTGATGAGAAAACACATACACAGTACCAAGCTTATAAGAGCCACTTTTCATAAAAGACAAGAATTGCTCCCCAGAGCACGTCCTTTATGAAGGGGGTTTAACCATTAATCACTAGTATTATTTACCCTAGTGCCCAGGAGTGCTGACTGCATTTTGCCACCACATCCAAAATCACTATGTAATGTCAGGTATTGGCAGCACAAAGCCACCAATCATCAATTAAGCTACTGTTACTAGTGAACTTATGAGAAGTGGGTTTCTAAATTGGTTGTCCACTTAAAATAATTACTACCATTCAAGCATGTTCCCCCCCCCCCCCCCCCTTGATATAGCGAGTTTTGTTCTGCACATTAGAGGTGCACTTTTTCATGCTGCAATGTGCAGGTGGCAGGCCTTATATGAGAAAATGTAGAGCATTCCCATGAACAGGTGGTCTTCCCCACCAGTGTGTTGATTGCTTTAGCACCAAACGTCTAGTGCACCAGTTGTTGGAAGCACAAACATGGGATAAGAGTGGGCACCAAAGACATCCGTGCACACTGACTCTGGCTGGGCGACTGGTCCTCGAGCTCCCGACAGATGGGCCTCAGGATGAGCTGCAAATGTGAACGCAGCTCGGGCCGGGTCAGGTCCAGGCTCACAGCGGCCAGGAACTTGAACACGTGGGAACGCTGCAATGGTAAAACAGTGGTGCGCAACATATTCACCCATATTCATCCGTATCTGCCCGTGTACACTCCCGTTACCCTGTTGAGATGTACTTGGGTGGTGGGGCCATTGTAAGGCAGTTAATCTGTCTTTAGCCATACCGCCTCTTGAATAGACATTAAAGGCAAATATTATGGCGACATTTATTGTTGAAATAGCGGTCAAGAAACCTTGCAGTACTAGAACGGTGCCAAATGAGCTCTTTTTTTTTTTATAGATAAAATCACGTTTTAGTGGCCTGCATCGCGTTAGCGCACTTCAAGTTGCCCGCCTCAAGTGGACTCTCTCATGTCAGTATTGCCGTAGCCAGCATTGCCCACCTTTACTACGCGGCCGCCGACACCAGTACAGGTGGGCAACAGCCAAAATAGAATTTGGAGCAATTTCCAAAGCAGCAAAATGCCACTTTAGGAGCACTAAAATATAAATTTGGAGCAAGTTATGAGAAAAAAATTATCATGAAATACCCAATTTGGAGCATAATAAAAAAGAAGGCCTACATTTAGAAAGATGTATATATGTACAGAACATTCAACCCACCAAAATCGTGCAGAGTGAACATCAGCACTGCTATTTTTTAATAAAAGTAGTCTTCTGAATTAACCCACTGAGCAAACAATGAAGTACACATCAGCATTTGCCACTCTAGTCGAATCTTTTCACAGACTCTGTGAATTCATATGTGGCTCTACTAAGCTGGCAACTTAAATTTTTGAACTACATCCCCCTCCCAACCCTGCCCCCACATATATTGTTTTTCTTTTGCGGTGGGGTTTGGTTAAGGGCTCAACTTTTTGGCTTGCTTGCCAGGTGCGTTCGAACAGATAAGTAACAACAGCAAGCGCCCGCCTCTGGCGCCACGTATGTGTCACCGGGACGATGCGAATTCAAGCCAAAAAAATGTTTTTTTTTTATGTGCCATAGCTTTGGCGACCAACATGGTGGCTGGCAACGACGGCGTTCGCAACACGTCGACCTTGTTCGGGCGCAGAAAACATGGCATGCGTTTCTAACATGCCATAACCGCATTTGCCGACTAGGCAGCTCGTATTTTCCACGAAGCATTGTTGGCTACAGCAACGCTTTCTTTATTTCATTTTTTTTTTTACTTGAAGTTCTGTTGTCTTTCCAATAGGTATCCACTGTGGTCAGCAGACCAATGGGCGCACGACGTTGATACTTCATTTTATACTTTATTTGGTCGATCGCGCCTCGCGAGTGCTGTTACCTAACAAGTACATAACTTGAGGATGGTTTAGGGTTAGGATCTGCACATTTGGTTTCATTGGTGACGCAAAGTGCAGATGGCCAATGTGGCCTTCATTTTTCGCTGAAGTAAGTGCACCTGAGAATGTTGAGGCTAGTCGGGTATTCTCACAATTTAATCAAATTTCTTTGTTTTGGCACAGCTCAGCGCAACAATGGGAAGTTGTATAAAAATGGTGCGATCGGCACAGCTGTTGCATTTCTGCCAAAATCAGCAGAACGAGAATAGCGGGAGCCGCAGTAAGAACAACAACCATTGAGAAATTTTCTGCAATCTTGGAGGCCGTGCTTCTGCTTGCTTGGTTCAACTGGGCTGAATTTATGAACCACTCACCCCATTTCCCGCAGTAATGCCAGACATTTTTTTCTTCTATAAATCAAACAGAAACGGACAAGCAGCATTTTATTACATCTGCGATGATGTTTATTCGAACAGAGGAGTCGCAACGAGGTCGCGACGGAAAATGGGCGAACGGCAAGTCTGGCAAAGGCGGCACAGGTTCTCCCGCAATCAGGTTCTCCCGCAATCAGGTTTTTTCGTTCTCTTTTGAAGGCGCATACGCGTTAGTGCGTATGCTCCACTACACATCTCTTGATCCATGGAAAGTCTCTTTTTTTATGGCACCTAGTTTGATTACTAGTGATTAATTGTAGTGGGATGTTCTCACATCATCGGGATCATTTTGCAAATGTCCCACTTGTGGCACACACTGTGTCATACATTTAGATTAATTTCTTAGTAAGCGAGGCATTGCTGTTGATAATATTGCCGTTTTAGCCACCATACATTGAGCTATCACACTGACAAATAGTTATTTGCCTTTGATGTCCCTTTAACAGCTAACATGTGGAAAAACAACAAAATGAGGAAGAAATGAAATGAAAATAGAAAATGAAGCCTTTGGCAAGAACCACTATAAGTTAATTTCGAATTCATTCTTACTACTCTATTTCCTTGCATAATCCTCACACTTTATTTTTTTCGCAAAGACCAATAAAAAGTTGGGGGGCGTGAGAATTACAAATTTTCTGTGAAAACGTAGCTACACAGCAAAAAAGACAAGTGGCAGCAAATCGAGATTCTCAAGCCAGCAACTGCAATCTTTGAGAAGTACTTAAGCCTTACCTTAGCAATGAAACCGCTGGTTCAACACATGGAAAGATATTCAAGACACAAAATCTGCAAGCACATAGTAGAGAACTAGAATACCGTACACAAAGCTTGTGGGTGTAGCATTATCATTCGTCAGTCAATGGGAGTTTGCAAAAGGTTAGCGCACGACGTCAACCTTGGGCTGATGGGCACATAACACGGAATCGTCCACAGTTGCAGTCTTCACGAAATAAGGTTTACCATCTATTCTAATCTTAGGCACACAAAAGGCCCAAAGCGTCTTGATGGCTTTAAGCTGCTCGGAAGTGAACCCAAATATCGTCAACTACGAAGTGCCTACTGGCGGCTTTGTCGTTGTTTAGTGAATGATCAATCTCTTTCAACTTGAAAGCAGCCATGTAGCTTCCTAATCGCCCCATAGCGTAACCACCGATAGAACGGACACAACGCACAATGCACACCGCAACGCGCACTTGCTATTTCAGCTTGTCTTGGATTAAGGCTCCGTGCATAGATGGTACGCATGAAATGACTGCAGGCTGTCGTGCGATATCATTATCAGCAGCTACAACGAGCAGGCGACATTAATGCTGCAATTTTTGGGGATTAGGATAATTACTTGCGGGAGAAAAAAAATATTGTATTTTCGTTGTGCGATGTTGGGGGTGTGAGAACTATGCACGTGCGAGGATTATGTGAGTAAATACGGTATGTATGGTGCAATGACAGACATTATACAGTAGAACCACATTGATAAATTCATATATAATATGACTTCTCTGTGCCACCGATGTTCGCATCATCATTATCAAGTGAAATGGCACGACGTTTTAGTAAATGTGGACTAATAAATAAATAAATAAAATAAAGACTATTTTTTCCTGATAGACCATTTTGTTGCTGTATTTTTTTGTCCCTTATGAACTCTATTCACGCAAACACCAGAAAATTGCTCAATGAAATGAAAGCACCGCCAGAAAAAAAAAAGTACGGATGAAGGAATGACACAAACCTTCAAGGTGGACCGAGGGTTCGACACCACCTCTGAATGGGCCTGCTGTGACACCTTCTTCACGATCCAGTCAACAGGGTGTAAGGTGTCAATGCCCAACCGTGTGGCACGCACAGACACCCTAGTTAGGAACACCAAGTTTCTGATGACCTGTAGAACATCGTTAGCAAAGCCAGTTAATTCAACGAAACACTATTAAGAAGTTACATAAGATAACTTAAAAATCATAATCCTTCATTGTTAATATGGTGTATAAAGGCTGCTTAGAGGAATATAATTTTGCACAAAGTCCGTGCAAAAACCCTTATGTTAGTGCGATGCTGCAAGGTTCAAATTGTTTTACCTTCACTCACTTTTTTTGTGCAGGTAACAGTAATCTAAGCATGACTGTACTCTCCTCTCCTGGTCACACAGCACAATTTTTCACACCAATAAAAAAAATAAACAAGGCCCTTGTTAGAGACTGTAAAAATCCATGACACCAAATTTGACAGAAGCCCCTTAGCTGCCAAGAGAAGTAACTTTATAAATCATCTCACATCATTCCGTAGGGGCAAAGTAGCGCACTGAGAGACTAAGCAAGAAGCACAAAACAAGACATATGCCAGCCTTGTGTGTGCTCAGCAAGTCCTTTGTAATTCTAATACTGAGCACTGCTATGATGATCGTCAACTCGCCCGATTGCCCATCTCACTAAACTGCTCTATCTCTTGTGCAGCTCCTCTGACAAATGCAACGCCAACACGATTCTCAAAGCAGAGTAGACACGCAGATTGCAAGTAGAGGCAACGGTGCCGCTCACCTGCTCCGCTATCTTCTCCAGGACGTTCTCCGGCTGGAGCTGCGAGCAGAACTTCTCCGTAAGGCCTCGAACCTGCCGCACGACAAGTTTAGACGTGCGCTTGTTGAAATTTGATACACGTAACATTACAAGCTTTCTAGAATGGTGTCTTCAATTAACATAAATTGACAAGTGAGACACATAACACGCAACTTTTTGGACCCATACAACACAAGAAAATGTAGAAAAGAAAAGATGCTCAAGGCAAACGGCGTAATGCTCAAACTTTTTCCTTGTTTTTGTATAACAAACGGTGCTACAAGGGTTCGAACTAGGGTGGTGGGTGCAAATACTCAAAAGTTTAGAATATTCGTCGAATATTGCAATAGTATAATTCGTATTAAATTTGAAAATGACATACTCGAAGGTTTCGAATATTGGAAGTAACTCGAATATTTGACGCTTTCGAAGGTTCAATTCGCACAAGCTGCTGTAAAGAACTTCCAATTTTGCGCCTTTACAGTGAGTGCACGAACCGTAGACAGTAGACCATGCCGCGACTTTGGCGCGAGTGCTACGATGGCTGCACAGAAATGCATGGGAGCATGATGACGGTTACTGAGAAACAGGCTGGCACACCATCACACCAAATCTACCAGCGATAAACACTTTAATGAATCGAGATCATGAACTGCCTCCTGCAGCTCTACTAAAAAAAAAAAAGTTGCAGCTCTACTAAAAAGGCGCATTTGGGACAACTTTCCGTCACAGAACAGTGATCACCTATCTCGTGTGCCTTCCTTGCATTATCACCGCGCGCTCCATACTCCTTTGATTTGATATGTGGTGTTTAACGTCCCAAAACCACCATACGGTTATGAGAGACGCCGTAGTTGAGGGCTCCGGAAATTTCGACCACCTGGGGTTCTTTAACGTGCACCCAAATCTGAGCACACGGGCCTACAACATTTCTGCCTCCATTGGAAATGCAGCCGCTGCAGCCGGGATTTGATCCCGCGACCTGCGGGTCAGCAGCCGAGTACCTTAACCACTAGACCACCGCGGCAGGGCTCCATACTTCTTGGTTGTGCTCCTACGTACTCCTACACGGCACTTTTGTTAGGAAAATGGCGAGCGCATAGTTCTCGCGAAAGGGAACGAAAGCAAGCCAGATAAGAAGCGTTGCTGTGTGGTTGAAAAACACCCGTAGTACTCCTGTTTGCCTTAGCGTACCGGCCGGCGAGGACAGGGGCGATAACATCTGGGGCCACACGTGCCAAAACTGATAGCGGGAAAACCCAGATAAACTGACCGCCTAAGGTGCATGAATGATCGAATAAGACTCGAGTACGAGGGCATCAACTGTTACATTTCACCTCATCGGAATGTGGCTGCCATGGCAGGAATCAAACCATCGGCCTCATACTCACTAGTCATCATGACAGGTACAGAAGCTTTTCTTTTTGTAATAAAGCCTAACCATTAAAAAAAAAGCTCGGCATGTGAATTGAACCCAAAACATCACAGTCACGAGCTCAACTATTAGCGCAATATTTGCAAGTACAGATGGTGGCTTTTATCATTTTTTTTGTGCAAAAACAGACTGCCATGGCTCACAAATGTACACTTTTCAACAAAATATATAGTAAAGTATTATTGGTAAAACAATTTCATTTTTTCATTGTGTGATATTCAATTTGTATTAGATGCTTCCTATTGAAAAAATTTAAAATTTGCACCCCCACACATTTCCTAAGGAACAAAGTGAATAACAGTTCCGTAAATACCTAAAAAACACACAAAAACACACAAAAACACACAAAAACACAGGCAAACTACCTTTGACGGTGTGTCGACCAACAAATAGTCAGATGAATGAGGCACGTCGAAATCTGGCTTGCATGCTGCAGCAACTTCATCTGGAGTATATGCCGCGAACACACGGCCGTAAAATTGAGATGCCGCCAGCCTTACCCAGTCATGCGCATACAGCAGGTATGTATCTGCGTAACCTGGACGACCAACAGAAGAGCCAATTTACAAACTTAGTCGCTCAATAAGTAATGCTATACTGATTAATCCCATCGCGCTTAAACCAAATTGAGCTCGCCACAGCAGCGAAGCTCCACCGAAACATAATCGAGGACAAAATGTGGCCCAAGAAGGGTGTTATCACATTGCTGCAATGGTGACGAATGCAAGAGCATCAGTTATTAACTAGACTGTTTATAAGGGAAACTGGCCCAGCCTACATGTAACATGCACAAGCTAAGCTCAACAGGAGATTTTTGTGAACTCACCACAGAGTGTGACAAAGCTTTCCTGCGTGGCAGGAGCTCGTGCAACGTTGCAGGCGTCGACTATCTTGGTTAGTGAGACCAAGTACATGAAGGTGATGTGGTCCTTGGCACGCTCAATGTCTTGCATCGTAAGCTGCGACACCCAAATGGCAAACAGTTTGTTAACTTTCTGAGACAAACACTAACTGTTGGTAGCCGCCATTTCAGCTAAAATCACGGTAGCCGGCATTTCAGCTAAAGATGTCGGTAGGTGCTAAAATCCAGGTAAAGAAGTAGTTGGGCATGGTTACTGAGAAACCAATACACATTAGTCACTGCCTCATAGGATAACAGCGCGAGTGCAAAAAGAACAGAAGCACAGCTGAATTTTTGCCTAAAATTAGGTGCTGTCAAGTTTCCAGCTGTGATTGCCGCCTTCTTGGCGGACACCCTCTGTCCACCTACTTTAAACAAAGCAAGCTTTTCCAATGTTCTCACAGCAGTGTTGATAAGAATAGAACAAAATGCGCACTGTCATTGCAGATGTGTGCGTACACAGAAACAGAAAGACAAGGGGCCGTCGTGAGCACAGCGGCAGGGTGGCAGCATCCAAGAATTTCAAGCAGTGTCACGGCACAACAATGTGGTACCGGTAGCAGTGTCATAAAAACTTAAATCCAGTTCTTCGCCTGTAGAATCAAAACAAACAGCGTAGCTAGAAAACAAATGCTAAACCTTGGCAAACGCATATCGAGCTCTTTTTTCTTCTTTTTCATTGTCTTCTACCTTTCTTTTTTTTCTCTTTCACCCTTCCTTTTTTCTCTCTTTCTCACTTGTTTCCCACTTCTTGCAATGCTATATTGAACTTGGTCGTGCTATGGTTTACCCTCTCACCCCCCTTTCCTTCATCGCCTGAGTTGTCACCCTCACTTCCCTTTCCCATGCGCTTGCTATACTACGCAAACTATGCATGAATATAGAGTAAAGAGATGGTTTGAACATACTCATTTTCAGTGGCAAGTTCTTGCATCCCACGCCGCAATCACTTCAAGTTCAAGCATTTTCGCCGTTAAGATTGTAAGCAGTGCAACAGCACTGTGAGCACACACGCAGTTCACTGCATGCAGTGTCACAGAATCGCAAGCAGTGACATGGCTCAGTGAGCAGCATCACAAATTCACATGCACTGCGATAACGTGGTGAGCACAGCGGCATAGCATGGCACTGCGATTGCAGAAAAAATATTTTCGCGCGACATAATTGGGTCACACACACACACGCATCAGCGGGGACTGTGTCACATACCTCTTGGAACTTGTCGGGGTGCATCTCCTCAACCAAGACAGGCATCACTTCAGCCAAGTGGCGCTCAAAGCGCTCCTTCTCGGCCTCGGCAAACAGGCCCAGCGTTTGCGCTCCCAGGCGCCTTGTGGCAAACTGGAAAGGAGGGGGGAGGAAACAACGCCAAGACATGACCACAAAAGCTTTCTTGAAGTTCTTTAAGAGAGAGAAAAGCAACTATATTGAAATACAGTCAAATCCAGCTACAACGAAATTGACGGGACGTGTTAAAAAATATGTTGTAGCGAAATTTCATCCACTGACCACAAAATATGGTAAGATCTTACGATTATGACTCGTCCTTTGTTCCCAGCAACTGCATGCATTACACTCTCGCTAACCGAGACGTACCTGGCCGCACACTGAGTGAATGTATTTTCTAGCACAATACGTGGACAATATATACAGGAAATTTGGAGCAAAAGTCGGGGTACGGGTTTTATGAGAACTTGATGGCGCTAGTTGGCTTCACGGCTATGCAAAAAAGGTGGCCCTGCGTCAATAGTTTTCTCTTTCTCCCGCGGTTTCCAATCGGGGGAGCTGGTTATATGCAGGGGCGGGTTATACAGAAGAAAATACGATATTCAGACGACCCCTAGGGGCGTGCCGAATGCGCAGCACCAAGAACGAGTGTGCCAAAGCTTCACTAGAGGCCTACTGAAAACTGCAAATGAAAGTGCCGAAGCTGCCGCGCTACCGTAGGCATAAGTGAATGACAAGAAAGCCGTAACGATTCGTGTCGTTTGACGACTTTAGTACCTGCATTCTACAGCTGTGTTAGTGGAGCACATTCGAATTGTATTTGCTATCAATGAACATGACAATAGCAACCGCCGTTTCTAGCGCAGCGGTTGCGACAAACAGTTGTTTCATTTTCAATCTGTGCGCGCGACTTAAGAACTGCGTCGCTGCTATCTTTGTTTGAATCGTTACGACAAAAAATATAGGGTTAAGTCAGTGTGCGTTAACTGCGCACATAGTTTCGTGGTCGCCCATGATCGCGTTCGACAAGATCACGTTTGTGTTTTTAGAGGTTGCGGCACAATGCAGTTACGCTGGGGCGCACCTTCATGACGCCATTGTTGTCATTCACGATTCCGGGAATAATAACGACAAGCGGCAGTTTAGTTGCCTTAAGCGAGACGTCAAAAACACATGGTGGGAGTTCTTGACGATCGGGATTCTGCCATGGCCCACACGTGCATCAAACAAACCGGCAGCATTATAGTGAATGAGGGATCTGTCACCGAGCATCTCAGTGACTATAAATTTGGCAGAATATGCGTGTGGTGACAGAAAGCATGTCTCCAATGAAGACACGGTTGTTGCCATACGGCCGTGCGCTCTAGGTGTCACGAGCCGTCATGAAATGGCCGAGTTGAAAGCGGAATTTTGTGGCAATCTCAGGCACGTTCCTTTTCCTGACAAAATGGCACTCGCGAAAACTACGCTGAGGTGGAAATAATATTCATTGTTATGATACATTTTTTGCAGTGTTTTCTATGAGCGGCTGACCAAGAATCTAAAATCATTCGTTTTGGCAAAAATTTCGTTGTAGTGGCTGACGGAGGATCTAAAATCATTCGTTGTGGCGAACATTTTGTTGCAGCGGCTGACGTAGAATGTAAAATAGTTTGTTGCAGCAAACATTTTGTTGCAGCGGCTGACAAGTTTTGTTGTGGCGAAAATTTCATTGTAGTGGGCTCTGTTATAGCGGGATTCGACTGTATTCTCGAAAAATTTGCAACATGCCAGGCTAAATTTGATAAACACTGACACCATGAATATATCACTTAAATGAGAAAAAAAAATGCCAAAATAAATAGAACAGAACAAGCAGTCGTCATATAGCGACAAAACTAACATATTACGCCATGGGATGAAATGAAGCAAAGTATTACTACACTTACTACATTATAAGTATGAATTTTACATACTGTTAGTATGCCACTCTTCAGAATCACACCCACACTAAGATTGCAATTCTGGATTCCAATTCACTGAGATCCCAATTCATATATATTTTTTTGACAGCAAAAGCTGCATATAGCTACGCAGGACAAAAATATGTTCGCCACAAGAAACAATAACAGTCTGCATTGGCTGCGCCGTCAGTTATGTCGTTCTTTGCATTAACCCAAGCGCGCAAACCATTGACAGTTACATCGTTCAACCCATCGCAGAGGCGCCACCATGCATGTGCGCAGAAGTTTCAACTTGCAACTTTCACATGGGGCTGACATGATTTGTCGTACAAATGCCCGAACAGCAGACAACTTTCCAATAGCAGCGCTAACAGCTGATCCACGAGAACATTATTTTCCCCAAGTCAATGCAGCGGTCCGAGCGCAAGAACAGGCACTAGTAGTGAAGCGCAAGCAGCATGAAGGAAGAAATATTTCTCCCTTTAGAATGGGTGTTTGCAGCCGTGCAGATAACGTCACATAAAATACAGAATAGCAAACTCCGACGGAGGCATTAACTGTTGGCAGTGCATTGTGATGAGGGAAAAAAAAGAGAGAGAAGAGAGAGAACGCCACCAACCGGGTGTGGCTGAAAGCGTGCACGCGCTTTCTCCTCTCGTTCTTTTTAGCAACATTCGTGAGCCGAGGATAGCGGGCACGTTAATCGCACAGGAAATGTGGAGCAAGAAACGAATGCGGCTGAACGTGCTCCGTGCTCATCCGCAACTGCAGTGGAACGTGAGCAACGCAAGCGACCGGTTTCATAGGAAACCAAAACGACGGCGGTTCCCTTTTCTGCCGCCAGACGCCACCAGCATGAAGTGACTCTCCAGCAATGTGACAATATCTGGTCGCCTCAAGGAGCAGAGTTGCACCTCCTAAATGTTTCTTCCTCCGTGGCAAGCAACACCTGCACACCAAGGATCCGGCAGCCTTCTAAGCCGAATACAAGCAACAACGTCGAGGTGAGGAAGCGGTGTTGCAAGGAAAACAGCGTCAATGTGGCAATGGCTAGAACTTGTTTGCTGACGCCCGAATTCCGTGGGTGTTCCTCGAGCCACTTTGGCTTCAGCTGTGATGCCTGCAACCGCCAGTGGCCGAATGTTTAAGCTTCGCGGGTTAAACATCTTCGTTACTTGTTCATAACACGCCGCAAACAAAAACCTACGATACTAAGCATATGCGTACAAGTGATAAGGAAATATATACACACACGCACAAGGGAAGCAGCTGCCGACTGGAAGAAGACAAGTTCACCTGTTTCAACATCTTAGTCTAGCGACACCTCGCATTCACAATTTTTTTTTTTCATCTCCTCACACAAACACCTCGTAATGAACCCTACTTTGTGTAATTTCTCCCGTTTTTTCTTTTTTTTGTTATAAATGCTTATGCTGAAGCACAATGGGCTGTTATAGCAATGCAAGCGTTATTTTGCACATATGGAAATGTGTACTGATCTGCATCAGAAGCCAAGCTTTGTGATGTACAACCCTGTTGTTAAGATGCAGCTAACAAGCTGAAAAATTGAGTGTCCTTTGCTGCCACTGTTCCGAGGCGCTTCAAGAAAGTAAAAATGTGTAAAAAATAAGCTCACCATTTGTTCCTTACACCACACCAGAGCCACAGAGAGCAAGCTGTCCCTCGTTGATTCGCGCAGCTAAACAAAATAAAAGAGTCGTTTCATACCCTCAGAACATTTCCTGATGCATATACAGATAAGTGAATTATTATGAATAAAACAAGTTACCAAAAGAGAAAAAAGTCATTTTCACTGCGTGGATGAAACAATGAATTCAATAGCAACAAATTGGTACGTTATAAGGCTAGCAGCTCACTTCTTTTGAGAAACGTTGCCGCTGAAACAAGCAAGCTCACTTCTTTTGAGAAACGTTGCCGCTGAAACAAGCAAAGTGAGCTCACTTCTTTTCAAAAATGTTGCCGCTGCAACGAGCGAAGTGAACTTCTTGGTGCCCATCGCCTTGATGCAAATTTCGCGATGAAAGCACAACATGCACAAAGCTACGAGCCATATGCTGATTGCATATGACGCAGCCTCGCCACTTAACAAAATGCTTCACACAGCAAGTCTGTTCATAGTCAAATTAAAAACAGGAGTGCAAGAATGATGAAACATAGAAAGACCAGAAAATGGGATGAGTCCTCTGATCTCATATCGCCGCAAGCCTGTTGCGTGATTGGGATAGGTTCGTTCATCTCCGCTTGAGAGGCGTTTAGTGGTGGCACTCACAACACGCTTTCACTCACACTGATAACATACACATGGTGCAATGTCGTCAATTTGGACTTCATGAAGAACATCATAGTGACAGCAATGGAAAAAATGTGCCTGAAGTGTCCATATAATTGCTATCACAATAAAAGAAGAAATGCAGTGCATAGTGGATAGAGTGACAGCACAGTCTCAAGTGCCAGTTGACACCGTACAAATCTTTGCACCTAAGTACAGCTAACTTCATACATTTTGGAGCTTTTTAACAAAATACGATTGACTGATGGCACCGTTTATTATGTTTTTTTCCAGCCACCGCAAGGATTGTGTTAGAAAGACTCTACTGTACAGTAGACTCTCAGTAAATGAAACTGTCCTAAACGGAATCGCTTCATTATAGAAATACTTCCTCTAATATGATTGGTTTCATACTTGAATTCTGCATTCCCAGTTTATCTATCACTAAATGAAACTCTTGTAAAATGGAAAATATTTTCCTGCTCCGTACAGGTTCCATTTAAAGGGCCAGTCAACAGGCTCCGTCAATCTGTTTTTACACCTCGCAAAGACGCTCGGCAATTCGTCAAGTAGACTGCGGCGATCATGCTTTTCAAATACTATTACAGTGCTACGCGCCGCACAGAGCCTCCATTTCGAAACACAGCGCCCGTGCTCTACTCCTATGCCTGGCTAATCTTCTTTTCATGCGCAGTGACAGCAAAGTTGCCGATCGGCGGCTTGAAGTAGCACGCAACTCATCTATTGGTCTAAACCAATCACGACGACAGGCTATGCCTTCACCTCCCCGCGAGCGAGAAAGGTGGCGAGGCCGTGCAAAAATTTGAAACATACTGAAACTGATGTTCTAACCTCTGTAATTTCCTTAAGGGGGCAGGCTACAATGAATGGGCAACTTTTTATTTATGTATAGATCTGAATGAAATTTTCAGTTTGTGTATTTAGATGTGCAGATTCTAAAAATGTAATTACTTTTTTGACAGGCCAAGTAGTTTTGACGATACTCTACAGTCAATGTAAAACCTGGGTCCTTTGTTTGCAGCCTAATTAGCATCTAAGCAGGAAGCACCAAAACATTGGCGACAGTGTAGAAACCATGTAGCATGTTTAAGGAGTACAATATGCTATAAATCAATTTGCTGGGCCATTTTCAACAAGAGTTGAAGGACATAAATGTTCAGAAGAGAAAAAAAAAGCCACCTTCACCTGACACGCATGTGGCCTAATTAAAAACTTTTTGATCTGTATATTGCTTTCAAAATAGGCACTTATCTTTCTGGCAAAAAAAAAAAATTTGCCGATAGCTCGAATGGAACAGAAGTTATTTTCCCTCCAACTTGGCGAACGTGCCAAAATTGATGTTTTGAGAAAACGAGTAAAAATGTTTCTAAACACCCATACTGAAGAAATACTAATTAAATCTTATGAAAAAGCACCAGAGCATAATCAGGATGCATCCCGTCCTTATGCTTCTTCTTGACCAGCTTTCTCAGGCTTTGGGACGCTTCTCTCTATTTATTTGAGATTGTACTCTGATGACAGTCCTTCTCTCTAGCCCTCAGGTATGTGCTGCTGAACATCCTGATGTCCGACTGCTCTAGAATAGCAGCAAATGTATTGACATTGCCAGTGTTGAAACACAGCACAGCTTCCGCAGCAGCAGCTTGCAGAGCGAAAACAGAAGTGTGCTGCTCCTTTGATAGCAAACTCTAAATCACGGATTGGAGGGTTTCGGGTGCATTCCGAGTCTTGCCTTGCTAGTATCTCGCCCCGCTGCCGCACCACTTGACTCCGAAAAGCGCTCAATTTTTCGCGCTGTTGCCGACACCTACGAAAGGCCCTCAAGCGTCGTGGTTGTCTCGGGAATGCGCGCGTCGCGAACTTCACTGGCATCGATCACATCATCGTCTACCCGCACACGGCCAAAGTCGACATAGCGCGCGCTGTCAGGGAGGCCCGTGTCTACGCGCACTACACCATTGCCGATAGCATCGGTGTGGTCATAATTCACAGAGCATCCACTATCGGGGAAAGCCGTCTCGCACACTCCTCTATTGATAACATCTTCAGTACACAAGCAGCCAGCGTTCACACTACGCACACACTAGGAATCGCCTTCGGTTACGACGGGGTTATCAAACAACGTCGGCGCTTGCTGCCGCAACACAGAAGCAGCACCATTGGGATTTCTGCCTTTCTTTCGTGAACGGTGAAAAGGATGCTGCGATCGAAAATTTTTCGCGCCGCTGGGCATAGCGAGACGCACAAGCACGTCATGGATACGAGTCACGACATTTTCGCAAAAACAATACCCTTTCAAAATGGCGGCGGACACTGCCAGCAAGCTTTCCTGGTCAATGGGAAAGCGCCATTTTGGTCACGTGCTTCAAGCAACCGATGGAATGATGCACTGCGCGTGATTTTGACTTCGCTTTTTTTGCTTTTGCAAGGGGCGCATAGTTGTCTACCAGAAAAGAAAAAAAGCTAGAAACGGGACCTTTCCAACAAGACCAAAATGGCGCTGGTGGAGCACGTAGTTCGCATGCCGTCGGCGGTTTAAGTACGACTAGTTTACGCTTCAATTTAAAGGTCTGCTTGCGTGAAGTTGCTCATGGGTTATAACTTGAGAAATAGGTGGAATTTCTTGATAGGTGCGGAACGGCATCGGGAACGCGAAAATTATGAGAAAGAAAATGCGCTTTTTGGGCCGATTTTAGATCATCTGAGTGCTGCGTCTCCCCTTAATACAGCATGTATTTACAAAATTCTCGTGGCAGCATGTTCACAAGGCAAAAGTGCACACACTTCTCTTATAACACTTTTTGGCACCCGTGGTTATTTACTGGCCCCTTCAATGATAGTTTATTGTATTTTTACGCAGCAGACAACACAAGAAGTCCAACAGAAAGACATGAGCAAACCTTGCCGAGGAGACTCCGGATGCCGGCTGCCGCAACCCGTTGTACGTTCGGCGACTGGTCGTTGACTAGGCGTGCTGCCATGGGCACAAACAGGCTGGGGGCGTAGTGGGACAGCACTTTCTGCACAAAATGAAAAAAAAAAAAAAGCCCCCGCCCACTCAACCATCAATAGTTACAAACCCAGAACAAAAGCAGAAACAAGGAAGATGAGACGTGACAATGGAGTCAGATTCAGCAAGATACTTCACCTAACAATTAGGCTTGCTAATACCAGGAAGTTACGGCACAAGTTCTTACGATTAATCAAAAGAATAACATTAGGCACAGTGTGGTCACCACTGAGATTAAAAGCCGCGCCTTCAGTCCCTGTTGCAGCAAACGTTCTTTGTACTAATCCAGACTTTCCATTTGAAAGTACTATGCAAATCTATGAAAGTAGCTTGAAAAAGTACAGTGGAACTTCGATTATACGTCCCCCAGGTTTCGCGATGATCCGCTTTTTACTTTTTTCTGTGCACAAGCTGATCGCAAGTCTTCATGCTGCCTCCTATTTCTCTTTTCGTTTTTCTTCCCTCACTTCCGTTCTGCCGGTAAAGAAACGCCTGGAAAGTGAGAGACCTAGCTCGCAACGTACGAAGTCTGCGTGGTGCTCGCCGTGGTCTACGTTACTTTTGTCGCAAGTAAATAGCAGCAGGGCACACACGAGCGAACACCCATCTCATGCTTTAGAATGCCTGTTTTAACACTTTTTTTGGTTTTGTACATGCCATAATTTTATCCCGCGACTGCGTCGTAGTGTTGTTGTATAAATAGGAGGTTTTGAAAAATGTTCGCTGTATGTGGACTCAATTTCAAAGTGCACCGATATATGGCCATTATAATCGATAGACCGTTATACCTGGGTTCATTATAAGTGGGTTAGACTGTATTTGCACAAGCACAAAAATGACTAATCTATGCTACAGCCACAATCTTATGAGAATTACTAATGCAGAATGAGCAACTTCCCCAGACGAGACACCCAAGAGAACCAACACTGCTCCTGTGCAACCACACCTCACCTGCGGGAACTTGTTCGAGTAGGCATCGAGCATCTCGAGGGCCGAGAGGCGACCCGCCTCGGTGCTGTACTCCAGCTGCGCTGTGAAGAAGCCCACTGCCTTCTTCATGGCCCGCTTCATCGGGTAGTCGAGAACGTATTGCAGGTACGACTAAATGTGGGACAAAGTTGGCATTATCAGTAACATAACTTTGAAACAGACAGGCAACAACATCTTTAGCAGGTAATGATTGATTGATCGATATCTGGCGTTTAACGTCCCAAAACTACCGTATGATTATGAGAGACGCCGTAGTGGAGGGCTCCGAAAATTTCGACCACCTGGGGTTCTTTAACGTGCATCCAAATCTGAGCACACGGGCCTACAACATTCTGCCTCCATCGGGTTTAGCAAGTCACGAAAGATAGTCTTTCATGCAGCACTGCGGGACAACCCTAAAACAGTACGAAATGAGGACGCGAGTAGTCCGTCAAAAATAATACAACGTTTAACATGCACTATTGGCCCTGTAGCTATGAGCCATAACAATCTAGAACAACCTAGTATTTAAATTCTCTGCAAAAGTGGTGGCATGCTTGCTCACAATATAATGGAAGTAGTACATCGCATCAAAAACAACGAGAAGGCCCGCATAAGTGACACCTCTGCTTTTTGAGCAGCTAAGAATTTTTTTTTTTTTTTCACAAAACGGCTACAAGTTATTTTTACAGCACATTTTTTAATATGATGATATGTGTGGCTTTTAGCAAGGTGCACGTTGCACGCCTACCTTGTTCCTATTACTTGCACATGCTGATTCCAATGAAATTCAGGCGCACATTAGCTCTTGTACTTTATTCCGAGTTGCCTCATAAAAAGTTGGCACTTTTCTTAATGCCATAGAAATTACATTCAAACCAAGCCGCAGGTTACATGATAAGTTTGTTATAACCAAAATTCATTATAAAGGTATATTCTTAACACTACGTTTATTACAAGACTATTCTTCATTTCTTAATTAAAACCGATATTTGGCTACATCTGGGTTTATTATATCAAGGTTTGAGAGTAGCTTAGGTCAACCAGTTTCCAGAACTTCAAAGAGTTGTGACAATGCTACCTTAGAGACTGTAACAACAGCAAAAAAGCATGCAAAGTTTTAGTTTTAATTACAACAAGATACTAGTCCTCTGAAATCTCCAAATGCAAGCTACTGCAACTACAGTAAAACCTCGTTAATTGAACTGGGTTATTTCGAAATCCCGTTTAAGGGGACAGACTGGTCTTTAGGACCAAGAAGTGATAAATAAATTCCTTTTTTAAAATGCACATAAGTGGTTCCTGCAAGTATTTTTATATCTCTCTGCAAATTCTCATACACCAGGAAGTGGTAATTTTTTGTAATGTCATTCTAACTATCCAGATTCTTGGTGCTGTTAACATGCAGAACCTGCAAAAAAATGGGGAATCAACTTTGAGGCTTCTTTATATTTTCTAGCACCAGTGTTAGAAGCTGTGCTACGAATTTATGAGTACCTTTATGAGGATTGCAAAACATGCGCACCATGATTATTGCTTTTAGAAGCAGCTGTGTGTTTTCAGTTTTTTTTCCATTTTTCTAAAAAAAAAAAGTAAATTTGCGACTGTTCAATTTTGAGGCCTCAATACCTCTGCAGCTAGGCCTGGTACAACAATAATTCTTTTTGCAATGGAAACCTGTATGTGTGTAGAATGTAAGTATGGGAGCAGAATTTAGAGTACAAGCCTTTTTAATTATTAATCATCAAAATAGTAACACAATTTCAACTGCTTTCAAAAATAGATAGTTCATTTTGCTGTAAAATAACCGAGAAAGGCCTAAAAAAAAAAAACTTGCATACTTTCAATCTATAGTCATTAGTCTATGTTGGCATATCTTAAATATCACTTTTAATTAAGCACTTTTTCTATTGCGGCTTTAAACAATAGTGAGTGAACTTAAATATCTCAGGAACAAGATCAGTACCAGAAAAACTAATTGAATATTTAAAATCAGCAGAAAAAACTGCATAATCCTTTGCAGTTTGATCAAGATCACTGAAGAAATAAAAAAAAAATCTCTAAGACCAATCTACCCCTTTAATTTGAAGTTTTTCCGTCGCCCCGTATTTTGCAATGTAAGTTTCAGCAGATAATTTGAAGCGGCGGGCAGCACAAGACTGGTTAACTCAAAAACTTTGGGTGCAGTGTGCCCGATCCAGATTTCGCCACAAATCCACAGAAATGACGGACTTTAAGAACCACAAGGCAATGTAGTTTAGCGATACTATTGAGTGGTAGCTGAAGCACCCTTACCTCGCTACTTCCAGCACGAAAAATAAAATTACATAAAAAATAATAGTCTCGTGATCAACTAAAATATGCGCCCGTGGAAAACAACATGTGCTTCACTGCACCAGTGATTGCAGAAAACATGTCACATGTTTTTCGCAACGTCAGTGAGTCACGATTTATCCATTCTTTTTGGGGAATTTAAGGAAATTAATAAAGGACAGCCTGGAGAAATCTGTGATGTATGCAAACCTCCGAGTACCGGTTGCTACACCAATTCGCGCCCTTGCACAGCTGGCGGAGTTCTTGCCTGCAACGCCTACTTTCGAAAGCTTCAATGATGATGTTTTCCAGCCAAAACACATCGCGAATTTCGTCACACTGTCCATTATTAAATCCCTTATTTTACAAAAAAAAAAAAGGGGCGAATGGTCGCATCATGAGGTGCTGACGCAGCGAGGAGCAGGGGACATGCTGCCCGCCTGTTGCTACTGTGTTGCAGTGAAGATGTCTTAATTTTCGCAAGCGCGAATCTCATTCTGTCACTTTTTTTGTGTGTGTGCGGTGACAGCAGTTACGCCCGAAATTCCCCCTTATTTGCGGCAAAACTGTGACCAGGTATTGCAGGAAAACATGACCCTTAGAGCCACAAACTAGCCGGCACAGGAAATGACCAGCCCTGGTTAATTTGAATAATTTTAAGTTCCTTGCATTCCACATTTTGTATGTTCTGTTAATTTGAAAAACTGCCCAATTTGAAGATTTCTCACGGTCCCAGTGACTTTGAATTAACGGAGTTTTACTGTACGTGAAAACTGCATGCAGCTAATTACAATGAAACATCAACATAACACAGATATAACAAAGTATCAGTTATAACAAGGTAAATAAAAAATAGTCTTGTAATAAATAGGTGTTAAAAATGTACCTTTATAATGCATTTTCGAATATAACGAACATATTTCGTGTAAAATCTAATTTTTGTTATTATGAGACTTGAATGTGCATCTAACTGAGTACATCATAACCTAGAGCGGTAACTTGAGTGTTGTTCAGTCTGGCAGTGCCGCAAAAGAGGTAAAAGCACCACCGGCTCACCTCTCGGCACTGGCTCCGAATGTGAGCCTGTTCGTGTTCAATGCTCATGGTTGCCACCTTGTCCATCAGGCCATGCAACTCTTCTGCGTCAACTTTTCGGTGCAGGATGGCCTGTAACATTCAGTCGCTCTTTAGGGTAACAGAACAGATACATTTGCTTCAACGCACACAGAGCATTTCATCGAAGAGAGCCCGGTCACCTGAAATCAAGTTAATTCACTCCACTGCTTGACAACTCTTGTTGAAAACTTTAACCGCTAAGTCTACCTTGCCAGCATGCCTAGGTTAAAGTTGTTGATTTTGGTTCTGTTCATGTGTGCCAATGCTGTCACCCCACCAGGAGGAGATTAAGACAAAGAGCTAAACTTTGTGGGAATTGAGGCTGGCCCGCTGCCTTTAAGCGGGCTTTCCCGCCTTTTCTGCCGTTCTCATGTCCCGACATGTCTGCCCTCCTTGCTGTCTGCCGCTCTGGGAAGGGCGGAGTGACGTATAACTCCCTCACCCGGTAGCGGATGTTGACTGTGGCGCCGCACGCGGGGACCCCTGGGAGGTTTTCGCGCGCTGCGTTGGGAGCGGTCAGATACTCTCCGGGACAGCAAACGGTGAGCCACGCTATCTTTTCGTCCGTCGACTCCCGTCAGTCGGGGCTCGTCGGACTTCGCTGACGGCGCCTCGCGCCCAAGGCGAACGCTCACCCGCTGTTTGCCCCGCTGCGTACGCACGGCCGAAGGGCGGTACGGTGTCCTAGTGCGTGGCCTAGCTACGCCGACCCGTCTCCCTTCGAAGCCAACGCGAGCGCCTTTGCCCTCGCTCGAGCAACCGGGCCTTTGCTCCGGTGTCTCCGTGGATCAGCTTTACCGCGGAGACGTGCTCGTGGCACCCCTGTGTAGTACTTTGTGCCCGTGGCGTGGATAAGCCTACTTGCTTTCCCGCCGCGCCTTTTTGCAACGGGCTGTACTGCGTTGGTGTTGCCACAATAAAGTGTTGCGACTTGAGCAGTATCGTGTTTCCCACCACGGCGACGGTTAACGCGTGCCCTGCGGCTCGCTAAGACTGGACCCACGCTGGTGGCCGTACTCCTTCGGGATACGTGTACACCACACTGGCGCCCAACGCGGTATCAAAAGCTCTAGCTTTTGATTGCTCTTAGCGAGTCAGTTCGCCTGCGCGATTCGGGCTCGTCGCAACATGGCTGCTTCGCGGGACTTTTGTCCGCTGTCCCTTTTAGCGGATGCCGCGTTGCACACGGATGCCATTGCCTCTGTGGACGGGAACCCTTCTGCACCCGTCCGTGTCGGCACCCCCTATTGCGGTGACGACACGAGGCGCCTAGCCGCTCCCTTTGGAGATGGCGCGTCGCTTCGGAATGGGCATCTTGCCCTACCCGAACGTTACGCACAAGCGCCTCCGACACCCGTCCGTGTCGGCACCCCCTATTGCGGTGACGACACGGGGCGCCTAGCCGCTCCCTTTGGAGATGGCGCGTCGCTTCGGAATGGGCCTCTTGCCCTACCCGAACGTTACGCACAAGCGCCTCCGACTGCTAATGCGCCCTTTGGCATGCATGGTAGTTCGTCGGCACAGCGCTCGCAGTCGGTTCCCTGCGGAATTGACGGGGCCCTCGCCGACTTTTGCCCGCTATCAGCCGTGCAACCGACACTTCGACCGCACGCTGAGCAGGCGCCTGAATTGTCGATGGTAGCCGCACCAAGTGCGCCTTTGGTTCGACAACAGGCAAATCCCACAAGGAGCCTATTTTGCTCTGGGAATGGCGCGCCGGGCGGTGGTCTGTTTGAAACCGCCCCACTGATCGAGCTGGGCGACTGCTCGCCTTCGCTCGACCGCGCCGCTAACGCACCAACGGTTTCCTACGAAGCCGGTGCGACGACGCAGACTTTGCTGCAAAACGCCGTGCAGATGATCCAAGCACTCTCGGGAGCTGTGCAAACGCTTTCGGCTGTTCCGAAAAGCGGTCACCCCGCTGTTATGTTGCCTGTGCCAACCTACAGCGGATACGGTGATCAGCTCACCGCCCGAGATTACCTCGACTCTCTGTCACGTTATCAGAGAGCGATGGGTTTGGATGATAAGGTGGTGCTCGAACGTGTTGTTCCAGCTGCACTGACTGACACGGCGGCGAGATGGTATCGGCTTTCCGGTTACCGTGCAGCAAACCTCGAGGAATTTCGTGCGGTCTTTTTGCGCGAATTCCTACCCGCTGACTACGAAAGTAGGATGCGGCGAGAGCTCGAGCTCCGTACACAAGCTCCTGACGAGTCTTTACAGGAGTATGTACGGGCGATGGATGAACTTATTTCTATCGCTGAGCCCCGAGCCTCGAACGAGGAACGCGTCGAACGGGTGATACGGCAGGCACATCCGACTTTTTCGGCATACCTGCGCGGCGGCCGCTTCAGTGATTTGGAAGCGTTGGCCGCCGAGGCGAAGCGCATCCAAGGCGACATTCTCGCCGCGCGTGCCTATCGCCCGCCACCGCCAGCCAGCGACGCCCTTGAGCCGCGCTGCGCGTGGAGAGGGGCCATGACCCTTCCCCAACGGCAACAGCCTCTCGGCGCCGCCTTTGCGGCTGCAACCGGCTGTGCGTGGGAGTTGAGCGATCGCGCTCTTGACCCCTTTACGCATGAAAGGCGGGCAGCCTGCGCTGCTCCACCTGAAACCTCCATACAGGGACGCTTTTCGACCCAACGTAATGTTGGAGGTGCGGCTCGCAGAAACGTATCCTACGATAACGTAGCGAGCCGATCACGACAGCTCGAAGCTGCTCCGTCTGGGAATACAGACCGTGATGGAGTGCGCTGTTACCGCTGCCGTGAAAGAGGGCACATAGCGAGGGAATGCACCGGATCCAGGCCTCCTGCGAGGCAGGGAAACGGGCTTCCGGGTCGTTCGTGAATGCACGACCGACCCAACCTTTGCTTCTTCCCTCTGCGTGCAGGGCAAGCACTTTTCTTGCTGATACGCACGCGCCGTTCATTCCGGTCACCATTGCCGGCCGTGAATTTTCGGCTTTGCTGGACACGGGCGCTAGCGCCTCGTTGTTTGGCGAACAGGTGTTGTCCCACTTGCGGAAGCACTCGGTGCGCTTGCGGGACAGCCGAACGACATTCACCCTTGCGAAAGGCGTGGCCCATTCGGCAGGCGCTGCAAGGTTGACTGTCCGATGGGGAGATCGAATGAGACGCTGCCGTCTTATTCATCTTCCAGGGCTCAATGTTCCAGTGATTCTCGGTCGGGACTTTCTCCTTAAAACCGGTATCGTTGTGGACATTGCGAATGGCGGCTATCGTGATGGCCCATTTTGCCAACTCAAGCCGTTCATCAGCCCGCCGGCGCTTATGGTGCATTCAGACGACGGACCGAATCCGAATTTGTCGTGGACGCGGATGGCTAATCCGCGGATGATCCGCCTGCAGACGCATCCACACGACGGACGGTGTCCTAGGAGAAAACAGCCGGATTACCCTCGACAGCAGGTTCGCCGCTCACCTGCGCCTGCTGAAAGCAGACCGGTTTGAGAGTATTCAACATGGATGCCCGCAAAAAGCGACGCTTGACTGTGATGTCTGTCGCGTTGTGACAAGTGAACGAGGAGTGTTATTCTGTCAGGAGAAAAGGTAGTTGCTGGCAGAATGTTCTTTCAACATTATTGTTCTCCACTTGTAGAACTTCTGAACGCGTCTCCCATCCTTTTTTTACAAGCGGCACGTCGCCGGTTGCAGACGTTAGAATGTTTCACCATCATGACGGCTAAGAATCTCGCGTGTCAAACGACGGCGGCAACATTTCCCGAACCACCAAAAATAACTTCCGCTTATTTAATCACCTGAGAACAGAGCACTCCGAAAACTAAGTAAACCATGCTCAAGCGTAGATAATGCCGGCCAGTCATGCAGCTATTCGCGAGCCATGGAGGACATGCCGCGAGCAGACGAAAAGTGTACTGGTTGCCACCGACCCCAAGCTATTCCGCTGAAGTACCGGCTCTCCCCCGCCAGAATCCCGATGTGAGAAACAGGTTGGGTTCATCCGTCCGCGAGCCGCGCGGACGAGTCGCGGACGAGGGGAATCGCTGATGTGAGGTCACGTGACGCGCCGTCCGCCCCGCCACATCGGGATTCGGTCCGTCGTCTGAATGCACCATTACCGTCGCCTTTGCGGCAGAAGCGTCGGAAACGTGCCCTGCGCAGAGTTCGGGGCCAAGCCCCCGCTCACCGCATTTGCCCTCTCACAGTCCCCTTTGGGAACGAGAGGCGCGGCACGAACCGTGTCGTGCGCCAACTCCGGGGTCGTACCCTGGCGTTCCGCGCTCGTCGGCTCGAAACCCCTGCTTGGATCGACCGGCACGACACGAAGAGGCACTACATCCTTTGGTCGCCTGCGCGACTCAGTTGGATGAAGCACAGAAGGCTCGTCTGTCGACACTGTTATGTCAGTACGACGAGCTCTTCACCGATCAACCTGGCTGCACCGATTTTGTGAGCCATGTGATCGAAACTGGCGACGCGCTTCCTTTGAAGTGTAACCCCAGGCCCGTCAGTCTCGCCAAAAGGCAGATTATCGATGGGTTGCTAGATGACATGCTTGCGGCTGGCATTATTCGCCGCTCGTCTAGCTCCTGGGCGTCTCCAATTGTGCTAGTGCCTAAGAAAGATGGCAGTCATCGCCTGTGTGTCGACTATCGCCGTCTGAACGGAGTGACTCGTAAGGATGCCTATCCGCTCCCCACGATAAACTCCATCGTAGGTAACCTGGGTGATGCACGGTACTTTACCACGCTTGACGCCTCTAAAGGTTATCTACAGGTCCGGATGGGTACCCGTGACCAGTGTAAAACTGCGTTCACGTCCCACAGAGGGTTGTTCGAGTTTACTCGTATGCCCTTTGGTCTTTGCAATGCTCCTGCGACGTTTCAAAGACTCATGGACCGCGTCCTCGGGGAAGCAAAGTGGTCATACTGCATGTGCTACCTCGACGACATCGTGATTTATTCACGAACCTTCGAAGAGCACTTGGCCCATGTTGCCGATGTACTCGAGAGGGTGAGGACCGCCGGGATGACACTTAACCCCGCTAAGGTCCAATTAGCGCAGACCCGTGTTCAGTTGCTCGGGTTTACGCTGGGCGAAGGCTCCATAGAGCCGGATCGGGAGAAACTTCGAGCTATTCTCGAATTTCCCGTGCCCAAGGACGTACGTGGCCTTCGCCGCTTTCTAGGAATGGTCAACTTTTACCGTTCCTTCATTCCGTCCTGTGCCCGACTGCAGGCGCCCTTGAGCAAACTCTTGGGTAAGTCTGCCGAGTGGCAATGGGGACTTGAGCAGCAGGAGGCGTTTTGCCGACTGTCTAACGCCATAGCGGAGACAGCGCAGCTCAAGCTCCCCGACCTGACCAGACCGTTCGTTGTACAGACTGATGCGAGCGATCTGGGTTTAGGAGCTGTTCTCCTACAGGAATACGATGGCGTGCTGCAGCCGTTGGCCTTTGCCAGCCGCTCCTTGGTCTCTGCGGAGAAAAATTATTCCGTGACCGAAAAGGAGTGCCTCGCCATCGTGTTTGCACTGCGGAAGTTTGACGTCTATCTTGATGGGACGAAATTCGTAGTGCAAACGGATCACAGTGCGCTCAGCTGGCTGATGCGGCTCCGTGAGCCTGCCGGCAGGCTGGCGCGCTGGGCTCTCCTGATACAGCACTATGACTTTTCGGTGCAGTATCGAAAGGGGAGCACCAACGTGGTAGCTGACGCGCTATCTCGTGCCCCACTGTCGGCCGAGGACCTTGATCCCGGTGCGACCGCCGCTAGCGGTGCCTTAGCACTTGCAAGCGTCGGGGGCGAAACAGCTGCTTCGCCGCCGTTCGGCGTGAAGGGTGAGTCCCCATGCGGACAAACCTTGGTTGCTAACCAGGTAAGCGGCGCACCGCGAAGCGGCCGAGCGGGGGAGCTCTCCGAAGGCCACGAGGCCGAGAGCGAACCCGTAACGCCGACTCAAGCGGTTGTTGCTGCGGTCCTGAGTGGGCGCGATACCAGACTCCCCCATTTTGGGAGAATGGGCATCGCTTTCAGCAGAGAAGAGCTTCTGAAGGCCCAGCAAAGTGACCCGTTTTGTCGCGAAATATGCGACGGTCTCAGAGAGATGGAGCGCCGTGACGCTGCTTGTCCTGCAGCGGGCGCCGATAACGACTGTCTCGACGAGACGGAGCGCCGTGACGCTGCTTGCCCTGCAGCGGGCGCGAATAGGGGGCTCGAACCAGCGTGTGTCGCTGAGTCCCCGGCGGATTCATATTTGCTGGACCATGACGGGCTCCTGCTGAAGTATATAGCCACTGATGACGAGTCCATAGACCCGTTTAAGGTGATTATGCCCAAAAGTCTGAGAGCCGCACTGTTGCGATCCTCTCACGACGAACCCATGGCCGGTCACCTGAGTGGCTCGAAAGTTTTTGCAAAACTGAGCCGCGTTGTGACTTGGCCCGGCATGAAGCGAGACATTTTTCGCTATTGCCGTTCTTGCCGCGTCTGTCAAACGGTGAAATCAAGGGGTGGCAAACCACCCGGTCTGATGAAACCGATTGTCAGTGAGCGTCCGTGGCAAGTGGCCACCTGCGATCTAATGGGACCATTTCCCAGAAGTAAGCAGGGGTTCATTCACCTGATGGTAGTCGCTGATCACTTTTCGAAATGGGTGGAACTTTTCCCACTTCGGAAGGTGACAGCGCGAGCGGTGCTTGAGAAGCTGCAGGAAGTGTTTTGCCGGTTCGGCTTCCCGGAAAGGCTCATCACTGACAATGCTTCGTATTTCACCGCTCGGGTGTTTGGTGTCACGTGCCGTTCCCTCGGAATTGATCACTGCACCACTTCACCCTACCATCCCCAGTCCAATTTGACGGAGCGCGTCAATCGTACGCTCAAACCGATGTTGGCGGCCTTTGCCGAAAGTCAAAGGGACTGGGCAGACCATTTGAGTGAGCTCGCGTTCGCTATTCGAACATCCGAGAGTCGCTCAACTGGTTTCTCGCCCGCCTTCTTAAATTTTGGAAGGGAGTTGGCAAATCCGGTGACCAGCGTCACTCAATGCCAGCTCGAGGACGAGGAGGCGCCGGCAGACTGCTCTGCTTATGCGTCGGCACTTCGGGACAGGCTTTGTCGAGCTTTCTGCAAAGCAAGGCAAAGTTTGGCGTCGGCCAGGGCTCAGCAGAAGGCCCAATATGACCGCAAGCATCGCGACCTAGTTTTTGAGGTGGGCGATCTTGTCCTGAAGCGCAACCACGCCCTTAGCGATGCCAGTAAGGGGTTCTCAACCTCGCTCGCTCCTAAGTGGCTTGGGCCGTACCGAGTGGAGAAAGCTTGCACTCCACTCGCGTACTTGCTGAAAGATCCCCAGACGGGAAAACTCAGCCGTGCCCATATCGCAGACCTGAAACCCTTTGTATCACGGTCTGACGAGCTCGCGCAAGAGCCCTGCGGCACTTCGCGCCAGCAACGAGGCACACCCGGGGCGGCGGACCGCATTCGGACCCCGCACCGGTATCATCTGAGGAAGCGGTCACCTTTGTGATTTCGCGCCGGACGGCGGACTTCTCCGCAACCGAAGGCCCTCAGTTTACTGTCTAGCCTCAGTATGGGTTAGCTTCTTTACGGCCTTTTCTCGTAAAGAAGTTGACCCCGCCCTGTCTGCTGCCAGTGTTTCTTTTTTTTTTTTTGAAGTGTTCATGCGTATTTTAAGTTTTTTTTGTCTATTAGTAAGTGTTCTTTGTGTTTATGTTTTTGCCAGATGTTTAGTGTCAGTATGCTCTGTGTTTACTTTTTTTTTTTCGTGTTCGTTTCGTCTACCGCGAAGGGAGCTGTGTGTGACCTTGAGTGTCGGTGCTTGCCGGGAGAGAGAGAGACGAAGGACGCTTTGCGCCTACGCTCGCGCAGCTGTCGGCGGTGTGTGTGCGTGCGTGCTTCTGTGCGTGTGTAAGTGCGTGACGCTTCAGTGCGAGCCCGCGAAGAGTGCGTCGGCTTCCCCCCCCCCATCGATGCGGACACTGGAGGTGCTGGGGGGGCATTGACCCACTGACGTCAGACCATCTGGCTGTGCTCTGCTCTCGGCCGTCGTCGAAGAAGCCCCGCTGCCTTTACCACCATGGCTCCTGCGCGAGGCCAGCTGAAAGCAGCTATATGCTGCCGGCCAACGCCATTCGCAGCCAATTTGGGTCGGCCTCCCTGAGCACTGGAGAGGCCCGGCTTCGCGCAACGTTCCAGCTTCATCATCGAGCCAGAAATGCGGGGCCTCCGAAGCACAGCCGAGGCAGCGTTCGTCGGACTCGCTGCTTAACAAGACCAGCAACGAGCCATCAGTGAGCCCCCCCCCCCCTTCCGGTACCTCTGACCTCGCACTCGGGCATCGCACAGAGCGGACACTGTCACGCCCTTTTCCGCCCCTCCGCGCAGTGGACGCTATTCCCGCTTCAGCACCACGAACACTAATCCCACTTTTCTGTGCTCCCTTTCGCAACTGTTTTATAGTGTTATGTGTTTATTTTGTTATTTATGTTTATGTTTCTCCTTTGTAATCATTTTTTTTTTAGCAGCAGTAGCAGGGCTGGACTGAGGTTAGCTGTCGCTCATAGCAGTGTCATTTTAACTGCATGGGTGACGCCCGGCTGCCTTTTGCAGACCGGTAAAGGGCAAATTTAGGAGAGGGGGATGTGGGAATTGAGGCTGGCCCGCTGCCTTTAAGCGGGCTTTCCCGCCTTTTCTGCCGTTCTCATGTCCCGACATGTCTGCCCTCCTTGCTGTCTGCCGCGCTGGGAAGGGCGGAGTGACGTATAACTCCCTCACCCGGTAGCGGATGTTGACTGTGGCGCCGCACGCGGGGACCCCTGGGAGGTTTTCGCGCGCTGCGTCGGGAGCGGTCAGATACTCTCCGGGACAGCAAACGGTGAGCCACGCTATCTTTTCGTCCGTCGACTCCCGTCAGTCGGGGGCTCGTCGGACTTCGCTGACGGCGCCTCGCGCCCAAGGCGAACGCTCACCCGCTGTTTGCCCCGCTGCGTACGCACGGCCGAAGGGCGGTACGGTGTCCTAGTGCGTGGCCTAGCTACGCCGACCCGTCTCCCTTCGAAGCCAACGCGAGCGCCTTTGCCCTCGCTCGAGCAACCGGGCCTTTGCTCCGGTGTCTCCGTGGATCAGCTTTACCGCGGAGACGTGCTCGTGGCACCCCTGTGTAGTACTTTGTGCCCGTGGCGTGGATAAGCCTACTTGCTTTCCCGCCGCGCCTTTTTGCAACGGGCTGTACTGCGTTGGTGTTGCCACAATAAAGTGTTGCGACTTGAGCAGTATCGTGTTTCCCGCCACGGCGACGGTTAACGCGTGCCCTGCGGCTCGCTAAGACCGGACCCACGCTGGTGGCCGTACTCCTTCGGGATACGTGTACACCACAACTTACACAGCTGTCTTTTCAAAAAGCCATTGAATTGTAGCACCCATGATTCAGGCAGGCTACAAAACCTGCTAGCTTTTGTGCATAACCCTCCCTGTTAAACAATAGTAATCGTCTGAATTTAACACCCCAACACCACGATGTGATAATGAGAAACGTCACAGTGAATGGCTCTAGAAATTCCGAACACCAATTAACAGGCACCTAAATATAAGTTCACTGGCTGCTCGCATTTCACCTCCATCACGATGCAGCTGAGATTTGACCCAGCAACCTTAAGGGCAAGGGCCAAACGAGATATCGCATGCCTCAGGTGGCGTCTCTGTTTTCGGCAAAGGCTACACTTTCATGCTCATCACCTTCAGCAGGGCAAAGGCCACGCTCTGTCTGGTCTGGTCGTACACGTCACGCTCGACATACGTCAGCAACACGCGCAGCTGCTGCTTGCCTAGCCGGCACAGGGAAGTGTCTCGCACCAGCGTTGTCATCACCTGCACAGCATAAAGATTTGCCAACTTACTGTTACGACCTCAACTACACTCGTCCCTCATCATAACAAAGTTGCATCTTACAAGAAAATGACTTTGCTATATCTAAAAATTCATAATAATAGTATGTTCCAAACACTGTATTCTTGTGGCATCTTCATCAACATTCATCATCGTCACTATTTTCTATCTACAACACCATGCCTCTCGAGCAGCTCCAGCAGACAGCGCGAGGCTCGTGCTAGAACAGAACGACTTCTTGCGCCTGGCAGTTCAGACGCTGACAGCCGCCGCTGCACTAAAACAGTGCAGCGGCACTGTTTCATAGAACATAGTGGCGATATCTTTCACGTCACTCTGCTTCTCGTTACAGCATCTATTGCAAGAATATTTTTAATTTACTAATTAAAACCATCGTAATTAAACCATCAGCCGTAATTAAACTATCGCAACAGATGTCCCACCCGCTCTCCCAGGTCGGAGTCTATGACGCGTGGCCACAAATCGCCGCCGCAGTTCGGAAGCTTCAGGCTCGGCATCGGGCCCAACGTCGAAGAAGCCGGCCTCGCAAAAACAGTTTCGCGCGCATGCAGTAGTCACCGCCGCCCACGAAATATTCCCCATCTCTACAGCTGAATACAGGGATTCCCGAAGCGGCAAGTTGGCTGCCAGGTGGTCAACAGCTACGAGCAAGCGCTTTGCAACGCGGCACCTAACGCGCTGATTACGCTCGCGATTACGACGTTCGTTGTAAGTGCGATTTTGTGCCATTGAACCATGCATATTTTGACGGTCACGCGGATATTGTTTGTTTTAAGAGAAAGTTCGTTTTAAGTGGGGCCGTTATATGTGGGCTCGACTGTACCAAGTGCCCGATTTCAAAAAGCTGAATGTAAAGTGCTCTAACAGGGTTGCTAGGGTTGAATGTATACCATAATATAACATAATTACATTCCAACACCAATGAAATAATTAGTATCATGTCAAAAAGACAAACTGAGATCTTCCCAATCCTTCTTTCTCAAGTCTGGTTCCTTGTCAACACTATTAATATCCTGCATTCTTTGGTGATCGACCAACTTGCACTCCCTCCCCACCTAGCAGTAAATATTACGTCATTCAAATGCCATCTTTACTTTCGCTTCATCAGAGGTTGTGGGGATCTGAGGCGCGCCCGCGACCATTTCGCGGGCATTCCGCCGCATGGCCACACCCTTTTGCTTTTTCTGCTCTGATAACGACGCGTGGCGATAGATGGCGCCACGTGCGGGCGCGGTGCGCGGTATGCGCGCGCCGAGGGAGCACGCTCTCCTCCGTGGTTGGCGCCGGGTAAGCACGTGTTTTCCATCGTACGCGTGCCCTTTGGGAATAGCCGGACTGTAGCCTGCCTGGGGTGGCCTGTGGCACCTCGGCAGGCATGTTTACTTGAGTGCTAGCTTCGGTACTGTACGCTAAGCCCACAGCGGTGCCTAGAGCTTGAAGTGGTCGTACCACACCGAGCCGCACTTGCCATAGGCCTACGCGTACGGGGTTTGCCCTAACACTCGCGACCAGGCCCATTGGCCATCGTGAAAGTGCGCAGCATAGCCACGAGGGACCTTTTCCCGACCGGGGTGTCAAAGCTCGCCATTGCCAGCTGCGACGTGCTCGCAGTTTTCCCCTCATTGTGAACGTCCGCGTGCGGGTGCCTTTGCTACCCGCGTCTTGGGAGCGGAGGTTGTACTGTTGTTCGGAGTGCCGCCAAAGGCAATAAAGTGTTGTGTGTTTTATATTGAACACTGTCCGTTTGCCGCGCTAAACGCCTTATTAGTTGAGCGCGCGCGGAGCGGTGCGCTACACGCGAGTAGGTGGCGGAGTCGCGGCCCTGTGGCTCGCTAAGTGTGAACTCACGGTGATCATCCGCTACGGTGAGTAGCGGGGTCACCATAAGGTCGAGGTGGACATTCACACTGAATATCAAGAGAGTAAACTTACAAGTAATGGAAGAAGACAAGAGAAATGCATAAAGCCATGTGCTCGAAGAGTACGAACAAGGTCTAATCAAAAAGTAGCTGGAGTACTATGGAGGCTTCACAAGACTGGCTGTCAGCAAGTTCTCCAATTGATTACCTGGCACACCAAAACCTTGTGCACACGCAAACTCAGCACCATGAATTCAATGCTACTTTTAAACCGGTTGCAAGGCTGTCATTCCATTGTGAACAAGGGATTATCCCCCTCCCCCAAAAAATCATTTTATACACTCAAACCTCGATATAACGAACCCAGATATAATGAATTATCAATCATAACAAAGTAAGTTCAGAATAGCTTTGTCATAGACACAGTGTTAAAAATATATGTTTATAACAAATTTGTGGATACAACAGAGTATGGCAGATGTGACTGTTATAACGAGATTTGAGTGCACTACAATTAATCCTCAATATAATGAAACCAGATATAACAAAATCTTGGTTATAATGAAGTAAATGACAAATACTCTAGCAATATATAAGGTTAGAAATAGACCCACATAACAAATTTTTGGATATAACGAACTTATTTTTCTGTAAGATGCAACTTTGTTATAATGAGGTTTGAGTGTGCTTATTAGCAAAACTATGCAAAGGGAATGCAGAAGACACTAACGGCATAAAAAGGATTACATTACCTTGAAAGCAAGGACAAGCAGCTCGAAGTTCTCTCCCTGCTTCATGCCCGCGTAGTTCTGCAGCAGCACGAACAGGGACTGGGTCACATGGTGCGTGTGCTGCCGCAGGCTAGGCAGGGGCATTTGCAGAAGGAGTCCGAAGCATCTCAGCGATGTCGTCATTATCTGCATCCAAAGCAAAGGCAATGAAGAGCTGCATATCCCCTTCGGGTGCGAAATATGATGCACTGTTTGGAATTAGGCCGGATTTGCATGGCATGATTCCAAGGCACTCAATATTGCTTTTCTAGAAAAAGAAATGAAGGAATGTATTGTATTCTGAGAGTATGAGTAATAAATATTAATTAACATGTAATTAAATGCCTAATTGCTCTATAATTGGTGACCTTCAATCCTTGCATAAAATAATCAAATATCAGGCCCAAAATGCAAGCACAGTTTTTGGTTGCACTCGTTTGGGGAAAAAGAAAACCAGAACCTCTTGACGTTGCCTGTGAAGCGTGCCACTGAACGATCGCCGAACACAGTAGTATCTCCAGCAAACTGATCTGCAGCAATACGCCGTGCAATGAAGTTAAGTGACTGCTGTTTGTCCACTCATGAATGAAGCCTGCACGAATGTGCACAATGACATTTGAATGAACATGCTGTGCGCGACATTTCTCCGAACTTGATGTTACAGTTGTACACACTGCCGCCAAAGAGGATATCTGCCAACCTGCCCAGGGTAGTTTTGCTGTCCAGCAACCTACAATGCAGTTTTCCACCAGTGAAAGAAGCGTTTGAAGAGAGGAATATGTCACTCTACGAAAACATGCGGGTGCCCTGCAAGAGCTATCACCACTGGGAGAGGAGGAGATGCCAGTGCAACGCTGCTTGACAGGTGGTGTGTTTTCCATGTTGCAATAGCTTATCTGTAAGAAAGCTAGGCATCAAATTGCAGTATAATCCCCCTACTGTAAGTTTTCTCGTAATCAAGACACAGAAGTGAGAAACACTTTAGTGGCAGTGCGAAAGCATGACAGTTGACTGAGCGTGCTTTCGGAAAGTGGTCCACAACAGGCACTTATGACCGCTACTCTGCACATGAGACCTGCTAACGACAAAGGTGTGAGCTTCTGGCAGGGGTGAACATCACCCACTCAATAGCTTGGCATAACGAGTCAGTCAAATCCACTCAATTACACAAAAAGTTACACCAATTCTATAGGTCGCTAAGGTGGCTTACTGTGTAGTAGGGCAATAAATGCCTTTGTTTTGAACATTTGCACTGCTGTGTACCCACTTCTTATTCTGCAGTGAGAAATATGGCCATGTATTATTTAAAGTGATTTTTTTGCCCCAAATTAAAAACAATTTCTCGAACACGTGACTAAACAAACAAAGTAATCCTGCAAAACCTTCTAATAAAATTGCAAAAATTTGAATTTAGATTGGAAACGTCATAATAATAGAACAGTTTCAATTATTTAGCTGATTGCTTCATGTCCATCTGGTGCAGATAAGGAATAAATGGTGACAGATCAACAAAATGTAGAGCAGACTTTTTCCTTTTAAACCAACATATCCATAACACAACGAATGCTGACAACTAGTATATCGTGCCCTTCTGAGTTTTTAAGGAAAATTCTGTGTTTACCTTAAGACTGCACAAAAGCTCACTTGCGTCTGGTTACGTCTGCAAATTTCGTCGTAATTACTGCTCGCAGAAAAAATAAGCCAAGTTGGTTCTGCAACACAGACATGGTCATGTGTTGCACACTAATGCTGAACTCGGCACATCGATTCCAACATACAAATTGTGTTATTGTTGTTTTATAATGACACAAAGAAATTCTGGAAAGCCATTGAAAAAGCGATTTTTAGATCCCAGACATGCAGTCAATGGAAACAAAAAAGAGTGGGGAAGGCATGCCTCACCTTCACATACTCCGATCTCAAGAGACTGGCCAACATGGAGACAAATGGGTCCAGCATTTCCAGCACTTTCTGGTCACACGCTCCTGCCTGCTCCTTCTTCAAACAAGTATGTAAGAGCTGAAAGGCACATCATTGCAACAGCAATAGTTAACCGTCAGAATTGCAGTGATGCGTTCAGCACAATGTCCAATGCAATAGTATCCCGTCACACCCCTCGAGCAGTCCACTGTGGATACATGATTAGCAGCGTGTGCATTCGCAACGTTTCTACACCGAAAGGGAGAACAAATGCAGGGGGAGAAGTCATGGCCACTGCTCTGTATCCTCGTGTAGAGGTGAAGGAGCAAGCGCACAGTAGCCCCGAAAGAGCGAGAGCGGTGAGTGCACAGAAACATTAAAAGAGCACCGACACAAAATTTCGAAAGCGAGGTAATGAGTAAGATAGACCTATCTAGAGACATACACATCATCTATGAAATGTCAACAACAAATGTAGCCTAGAACATACTGGAAATCAATGTTAAAGTGCATGCCGTGCGAATGAGTGAGATGCGGAGCCTCTTGTGTTGCCGACATCAACGCAAGGGCAATGCAAACCTAAGTCACAAGTTTATGTTGGCTGGTTGCTCGCATGCACCTTGCGCTACCGTTGAGTACATCTTTGCCTACATTTTTGTCTGTGCTGGCTGTCAGCGCAGAGCCCAGCTCTCGCACGTGGTGGTCATGTCACAGTTTTGCGTGTGGCCACGTGGCCTGAAGCGCTTTACCTTAGGTGTGTTCGATTCACCTAAACCAATCAGAACTGGTTCACTGCTGTGCACGTGAAGTTCAGAAATTATGCAGCACGAGTTCAGCGGTGCAGGCACAATGCGACACCTGCAACGAATGACAATGTGCCTACAAGGCGCTGGCCTTAATTCTGTTCGCTTAATTTAAACCGTTCAACCAACACTGGCCGATGGCAAACTGCACATGCAGACAGTTTATGAGGCGCAAACATCTTGGAAAAACACACTGCGTTAGTAGAGACGGGTGCGGCGCTTATGCCTAAGCTGCGTTGTCTGCTCAGCTGCACGCGCGGCTGCACCAAATGCACGCGCGGCTGCATTTCTTACGCCGTCAGCGTAAGAAATGCAGGAAAATTGCAAACCAGTGCAGCACCTCTTCTGCCCCTTTCGAAACGAATGGCAGGGCCCAGAGGTCGTCAATGCTGCACCGCTGAAACGAATGGCAAGTTAACCTCATGAACTGGTTCATGTGGTGCAGGTGAATTGAACGGACCTGCCCCCAGAACCGCTTATGCCCGGCTCGGTGCTCTTTGAAACCGAAACTACATCCGGGCGATCTAAAAACATTTACAAGTAAATACACGTCGCGCATTTACACAAACGGCGTCTCCCGCCGTGATAAGTGGGTCATAAGCTACCTATCGAGAGGGAGAGAGAGAGAAAAAAGAAACAGGTACAAAATTTTGGGTGGCTGCGCCATAGTCCTGGGGAGGCGAAACGGCTGAGCACGTTGGAGCCTCAGGGACAGCACGCTTTAGCTTTAAAGGGAGAGGAAGTGAGCATGTTATGAAAAGCAGGAAAAAGGTGAGCATGCTGAAATTTAAGAGACAGAAGGACAGATGAACGCACCCTGGTCCTGAGAAGAGAGTGAGCCCGCCTTGGGGAAGTCAAGGAAGAGCACGTTGTTGCACAAATAGAAGAGGAAAGAGAAGAGGACGAAAGGGTGAGCACGTCGAAGACTTTGGGGAGAGGAGGATAAGGTGAGCATGCCTGCAAGAGGAGGGTGAGGGTAAGCACGTTGAAACCTTAGGGAAGAAGAGAAAAGGTGAGCACGGCCTAGGGCTATGAAGAGGAAAGGGAAAGTGCACCGAAGCTTTAAAAGAGAGGAGGAAGGGTTACCGTACTGTAGCCTTGGGGAGAGTTCCAGGAGAGGGAGAAAAGGACGAACAAGCGCAAGTCCTTCCTGAATTTGAAAGAATTTGAGGTAGGCGCGAAGCGAAATACGGCTTGTTTCAGTGTTTCGCTTCACGCTACATCAAATATTTCTATTACATTACCAACAAGCCCAAATTGCAACTCTCCCCCTGTAGTCGGCTGGCCAGCGCAGCTACGCTAGGTCTAGTTGCAGGGCTCCGTGGCTGCAACAGTGATTCCAACTCCAGATTTGTCATTAGGTTTAGAGATTTTTAACCTCATTCAGGTATTTGGCATCTTTTTTTTTTTGTTAAATATAGGGATTTTTGTAAGGCTCTGTAAATATGACATTATGTGGCCTGATTAAAGGAATTACTAACTGATCACACTCTTTCAACTACAAAGGCTGCGAAAAATGATAATTTAGGCTATTTCATCCTTTTTTTTTTTCTATTTAGGACAGTTTTGCCTGTTCTGATGGACTGTCTGAAGTGGATCGCAGTTTCCTAACGCAAGGTTACAATAGACTCAACACTTGAAAAAATTAAACTCTGTAGTCCTAAGTATTAAGGCACACACATATCATGAGCTCTCCGAGTGATTGCTAGACTGTGAAACAGATAAATTTTTGTCTTGAAGTGCACATAAACACGTGTCAAGATTACACCCACTGTGTGCCTTCGCCGAGCAATGTCTCCATGTAAAATAGCCAGGAATATTATAGAACAGAGCGAAAGCAGGACTGAAGACTTGGTAGGGTGGTACGAGTTCAATATTCTGGAATCAGTGTGATGAAAAGAGACAAGACTGTTCGGGTGTTTCAGACTTTCCGCGAAAGGCCTTTACTGGATAGCGAAAAAGTGAGGACTAGATTTGGCCAAACGTGGAGCTGATCGAAAGTGCGGAGGAAAGACGGTGGTATCAGCCTGTAATAGAGCGACTACTTACATCTACTGAAAATATTGAAACAGGGATTGCAAATGTGAAAAACTAAGAATAGACCACCAGCTATCAAGCTGCAAGTACAAGAAAGGCACTACAGACTTGCGGTGCACGCGTATGATTGAATCTATGTCTTCAATGCATGTGCAAAGTGAATTTGACATGCAAATCTGTCTCTGCGACAACAGGTGCCATTTGCAAGCACTTTATAAGCAACTCCACAGAACGTGTAGAAAAAAAAAGACCTTAAAAGATGGTTAACAGCAATCTTTACTGTTAACAAAGTCCGAAATTGATTGGCCACAGGGCACATTATCTTAATACTTTGTTAAGAGTCAATTAGCCTGAATGACAAAAATAAAGATATAAACTAGGCCATTTTTCTTGAAATCTAGAGATTTTCGAGGGTTAGTCTAGGGATAAAACGTCTCCTTGGGTCGGCATAACCATGACCTACTGTACTCCTGACCTGCCCAGCTGGCGGCAGTCTACGGAGCTGCCTGTGCCGGCTCGGATGCCGAACTTCACCGCCTAGGGGGCGCTCGAGTTACCCCAGCTGAGCGCTGGTGGATGCACGGAAATGCATGGGTTACCGCCGGTTCAAGAAGAATTTCATCACGCATTGAGTAAATATGGCGGGTATCTTGAATCTTTTTATTTTATGTGACTTTGAGAATCTTCTTTTGCATTTTAGTTGAAATTTCAGTGCATTATTTTTCAAATGGGACCACAAATCAGATACAAACATGTATCAGCGTGCAAAACAAGAAAGAATGATGACAGAGACAGGTTGTAAACAGTGCTGGCCCACCAAATGTTTATTTAACTCATGATACCAGCTGTACGTGTATACATTGGTAGACTTGTCGCACACTCAGCTGGATTGAATTTACTGTCAGAACAAGAAAGGGCAAGGACTATGACATTTGACAGTGGCCACGGCATCCAGCGCGCATAGAAAACAACCCAATACAGACAATTTTGTGCATAAATACCTTCGTATCAAATGATAAATGTAGATTGCAGGTACATGAATAATCAATAAAAAACACTCTGCAACTGTTTTGAAACGAAACAGCACCAACAGCAAACAACTTTACCTGCAAGACTGCAGCGTTTGCTCTTTTGGAGAGAAGATTACCGTATTTACTCGATTCTACCGCGCCTTCGATTTTAACGCGCACCCGATTTCCACCACGGAAAAAAAAAAAAAAACGTAAGACATCGATTGCAACGCGCACCAATTTTTTTTCGCTGGTCCGCACGATCACACCACTCGAAAAAACGATTCCTTTCAGGATTGTCTTCCATTTAAATATGAGGTACGGGCGAAGCTTGTGCCCATCTGACGTGTAACAGAGCATCGCCGTCACTGTAGTTTTAGCGTGGACCGATGTCAGCACGGGAACTTGCTTCGCCCCCTTCTCGACAGTTGTGGTGCCAGGCATGTCGAAGTAAAGAGGCGTCTGATCGGCATTCCAGATTTGCCCAAGCAGGTAGCCGTTGTTGCGCCGCAAGTTAAGGACGAACCTCTGAAAACTGTAAAGCTTGTCATCGTACTTCTCCGCAAAAGTTTTCGCATATGCATGTTCCCCTTCGGAGGGAAGAGCCTTTCCTCTTCATATAGTTAATTAGCCAGCACCTGCTCGCTTTAAACTGGCTCCGCATTAGACTTTTTTCTAAGACTAATTGCATAGCCCACACTTGGAGCAGTTCTGTCGTCACGGGCCGCTGTGCCGCTCGCTCCTCAAGCACATACTCGCGGAGCAGCTCTTTAATTTGCGGAAACCGACCCTGCTGTGGTTCACTGAAGCCTTTGCGTGAAGCTTTGCTGTTGACAATCTTCTGCTTTTGTTTCCGCCGGTCCCGCACGCACGTTTCGGGAACGACCGCGCTGCGGCCCGATTTCCGTCCGTTTCTGCACACGCGATGACTTTTCTTTTAAAAGCAGCATCGTGGTGCACTCGAGTTTTTGGAGTCAGCCCTTTCACGTCGTCGATGCTAATGCACTACTAGATGACGAACTCCTCAGCACACGTACGAAGTGCCGCACATGGTAAACACATAGGCAGAAATAGCCGACGCACCATGCGGACGCACGTAGGGGGTGGCCATTTTGGATTTGCGATGGCAATAGATTGACCGTAATTTTTTTTTGTTTGTACTCGATTCTAACGCGCATGCAATTTATGAACTCGCTTAACTGGAAAAAAGGTGCGCGTTAAATTCGAGTAATTACGGTAACCTCTGCAACTTCACGGTTCAGCTTGTCTATTTGCGCTTTTAATTCAGCATTATTTATTCCTTGCCATGGTTTGGAATTTCCGCGCGATGATTTTGCAGAAGTCATCACACGGCGCATCTTCTGGCTGGTTATAGTTGTTTGCGTGGTCAAGGAGCGTCGGTCTTTTTTTTTACTTTCTCGCCAGGTGCAGTTTCAGGTGGTTTTGTGCGTTCAATTTCGGTAAAGGGTGCATAAAGTCTGAGGATGGTCCCAGCAGTTGTGCTTGCGGATAGTACAGATGACATGTCGCTCGATGTCAAGCTTTGCTGCACCGGGGCTGAACCTGTTTTCTTCCTGCATTAAAAAATTGCGTTCTGTTCTACGCCTTTCCTTGAAATTCGTTTTCATTGGTCCAATTTGTATGCAAGAGCCGTGGGGAGACGCCAAGCATTAAACATTGTTAGTCACTTTTTTTTTCTTTGGGCAGGGTCCATGTTCCTGAACATTTGAACGTTTCAAGGTGCAGGCAGACTTTTGCCACGGGCGGCACCATGTGCTTTGGGTAGTGTGGAAACACTGACGGCACAGCATCCGCTTTCAGTCTTTTTACCTTTAGTCCCGGCTTATAGTCGGTTGGAGCACTGCACACCTTCGACCTGTCATTTGGGAGCCAAACTTCATTGCCAGCACCTTGAAAGGAAGAAGATGAACATTCAGTGAAATGTTGTGAATAAAATACAAAATTTTTGTTCTTTTCTAAGGAGTATACCATGCAATTAGAAGTTTATACCATGGTGGCGAAGTGAATAAAATAAAGTTATGAAGTGAGCGTATGATTTCACCTCGTTAACCATGTGACACACGCAACTGGCTGAGATACATTAGCACTAAATAAAACCGATGACCACAAGAAAGAAGACAAGGACACACGCTACTCACAACTTTTCATTAGGAGAAAAGTCTTCACGTATATGTCTTTTTGTTATGCATGCACGTAGACGGGTAAACTAACACGTTTATATCAGACGCGGTAGCACATAAATTCAAGTTCGAGGTCGAACTAATCAAGCGACAAAGGAGAAATATTCACTTATGCAATGATCTCTGCTTTTTTTGGTAATGTAATTAAACTACCAAAGCAATCTAAAAGAAGCTGCTTCTTCCCACAATGGGTGTGTTTGAAAACCTAGTTGCATAACCACATGTAGTGACATGGCTTCCATATGTGCACTCTTCTGATCTTTTTTTTTTTTTTTGCTAATAAAAAGTTGTGAGTAAAGCACGTCGTCATTTGATTTCTTGAGGTTGTTGGTTTATTTATTTTTTTGCGCTAATATGCGTCTCAGTCTGTCATGCACCACCAACCAGCCCAGCAACTCACTCTTTTAAAGACACGTAGTCATTTACAACCCATTATATTTTGAGCATGCCAGACAACGCCTAATTGAGCAGACTTACCCTTTCTAGAAATCACCTCGTTCCATTTTTCACCAACCTCGGTCACTGGACACCCATGAAAAGTCACATCAGAAGTCTTCCCTTGTCTTGATTTGCAGAAAGACACGCAGCACACCACCATCGTGATGGTTCATTTGCACCAAGAAACCTCGCTTCGCTGGTGTACAAACTGCACCTACCTGCACGCTTCTATCGCAGCTCGGCACGAGGAGACGGTGGCAAAAGATCGTCATTATACTTTTAAGTTTATTCAAAAAGAGGCTTTTATTCATTTTTTTTTCAATCGTCCAGAGTGTATGCACGCGTAAACATTGCTGCTTTTTTTTCAGTGTCGCGCGAGCAAACGACAAAGAAAAAAAAAAGCGCGGCAAAAAAAGCGGTTTTGGCCGTCAGCAACCGGTGCGGATGGGGTAAGTTGTAGCGCCACAAAGGGCATAGCGGCAGGCGCCAGTACCAGAAAGGGCGTGCTGGCGCTTCGCTTGCTGGGCAGGTCAGTACAATACAGTAGGTCGTGGGCATAACTGGGCTGCAGGGACATTTCAAAACGACTATCGGAGGCACGTGCAATGCGTGCCGTTTATCGCGTGCTTGTCTCTTGACTGCAAAGCAATCAAAATTTCCCTCCCACCGCGCGTCGCACGACACGTTGTCACGCGCTGCCGTCTGGCTCGATAATTGCGTCGTCTGCCTTTGCAAAATGAGATCTGCAACCGGAGCACGTGGCTCCTGCCGTGCAGTGCACCTGTGCTCACGCTGCCGGCTGTTTACAAGCGCCACGGTACCGCCACATCCAGTCCTTAAAGTCACGTGAACGACACAGCCGCCGCCTTCGCAAGACGCGCGAATTTGATGTAGTTTCGAATTCACTACACGTAAGCCTGCGTTACCGGACGTTTGCCATTTAGAGGTCTCAAAAGTAATTCCGCGATTTTTCTCGCTAAACCAATTAGCGACTTTCACCGCAACGCAGAAACTCATTCGCAACAATAATACTTTAAATAAGCAAGTATTGAAGACACAGGCGCTTACAGTCGCGCTCAATAAGAGTAGCAACACGGCGACCGTGGTTGAAGGTACCCTAAGCCCGAACGGCGACACCGGCAAACGTTGAATTGATCTAGAGAATACCAGTAACTGAAGCAGCGCTTGCTTCACTAATTTTAGCTCTTTCGGCGCCGCTAAGAGCACGGACAACATGTTGCAAACTGTAGTACGAACTCCGCGAAGTTGCCCGAAGGTGACACAACCAAAGCGGTTGCACAAAAAAGGTATCGCATACCTTGATTCCGAACTCGACCATGACGTGACCGTTGGCCGCCCTGCTGGTACGCACAGGAAGACCGCTCCGGGCCGGTTCTTGCGGTACCAGGTACACGTCCGACCTCTCTTCGAGCAGCCGCGGCTGCGGCACCGACTCGCGGGGCCTGCGAAGCGACGTCGAAGGAGCCGGCGTCGCTTTCTCAGAGCTCATCGCGTGCAAACACAATACACCCAAACTTCGCTTCGAATTCGGAACAACACACCGAGGCAGTCACAATATACTCCACAGCCCGCGTCAACTGCTCGAGGCAGCTTTAGAGAACTTAGCAGCTCGGCGATGGAAACACGTGCTTTCACTCGGCAAAGCGCACAGCAAGCATAGTGAATCAACGTCTCCGTAAAATGTAAAGAACAAAAGTTAGGTGACGCGCGCGTCGTTCGCGCTAAAGTAAAAAAGAAAAGCAAGCGGCGAGCGCACCACTTTCTTCGCGTGTTGAAAAAACGCAAACACGGTCACAAAAAAAGCATCGACATTTCGGTATCAACCGAGTGTTGCGCCATCTGCGGAGTCCGCGCAAAGAGTAGCAGCTGCGAGGCACCTGCACTGCGAACGCCAAATTTTGTCGGAGTATCGCTCACAAGCGACGCGTGCGTCCGCAAGCTCCCAGCTGCGACCGGGTGCCGCAGCTGCGTGCCGTTGATAACCGACGTTCATCATCGAGCGGCTTTCACAACTACGGCTTTAGATAAACGCTTCACCATTCGAGCTTGGCACAACATGCGTTTGAAGACAACCCGACGCGACGACAGAGAGAGGGCGGGAAAAAAAAAAAAAAAAGAAGCACTGCGCTTTGCAGCATCTGATAAATTCAATTATCTCCGATTTGACGTCGCCGCGGGCTGAACCAAATGTGCGTGCGTCATGCCCTCGCGCGAGGCATGATTCGACAGGATTCTGCAGCAGCGTACAAAACTGGGCGAGTTGGTTTAGCTTCACGGGGTAAAATACTGCGCAGAAAAACTTCACTCCCTCTTTTGTGAGTCGTCTTTATGCATGAGAGAATTCTGCGCAGATCTTTAGGGGTCGAAGCTCCTCTTAGTCTAACCTTGTACTGCATCAGATGTAACCGAGAAAAGAGACAGGGAAAAAAAGGGGAGTATCTCCCGAACAGTATAATAGGCGGCGCTGTCTCATAAAAGTACATACAAACTGTAGTTGAGTGAGGATATTTTAGATGGCGCTGTACCACTACTCTCCGGCTTGGTGGCGCTAGCCACAGCCCGATCTAAAGTGTACAGCCATATCAATCCATCCATCCATCTATCCGATTGGCTGCTGCGCGGGTTGTGCCTGGGTGCGCGAGGAAGGAGAGCTTCTCTGTCTTCTGTATCGTAGCCGTACGTGGCAGATCGTTGGTTGGGCATAGACTCGACAGAGCGGCGGGCGCGGAGCTCCGCGGCACCTCGTCGCGTCGTTGATGGGGCATGGAAGAAGCGGAGTAGAGGGCCTCGGCGGCTCGTGCTCGTCGCCAGACAAATGGACATACGGACGCGTGCACGGACGGACAGACGTTTCGCCCCACTCATGATCATTCATTCCGTGGAAATGCTGTGATTTTTTTTCCGTTACGCGCGAGAAAGGTGATAGGGAAATTATACAGACAAAGGTGTTGCTCATTTTTCATGTGGCATCATTTAACGCTCTCCTTATCAAATGCCTAGCTTGTCCCTTTTTAGCACATCACAATGTACCCCCCTCCATCGAATGATTTCTCTCTCGTCAAAGGTGATCTGCCAAGGGTTCTGGTTCGTGCGCTGCTGCTTTGAGCTGTACAGTTGGTGGTGCCACCAACAGCAAACGGTGGCAAAAAGTGGATACAGGTGGCTGATAAGAGCTTTACACAAAGCGCCTGCTGCTAACTGTTTTATTTTTATTCAATTTTCATTCTGGTTTGATATTTGCACTACCAACACTGCTCCACTAGACAGCCATGACGCTTGTTGCGTGTTCTATTTTATTTGTTAAATGACGGGCCTATTTTTTTATTGCAGTGTGTGTGTGCAATCCAATGCACATTTACATGTTTTGCATGACTTGTGCCGGCTACTTTCACATCCTGAATGGCATGTGTGCTATCAGCGTTGCAAGGCATTCTTGGTCGAACATGCTATGTAACGAGTGGCGAGTGTTGAGTTTCAAGAAAAGACACGACGATTATTTCTGTGGTACAAAATGATTCTCGAAAAGATAAAAACTGTTTTTAGAGAGTACTCTGTTAAAAACAAAAGATGTACAAAAGAAAGCATCCTGTCCCATTATTTTAGAGCAGATGGAAGACATCTGCCAACAATTTGGTAACATCAGCTAGAGCTCGTAATGCGTCAGTAAACCAGAGCGTCGGAACGAAATGGTTTTTGTTTTGGTTTTAGTTTCGTTTTCCAGGAAAAAGTTCCATTACGATTTTGATCTGGAAAAAAAAAATGCTCCGCAACAGATCGTAATGCTATTTACTTCTATTAAGTTAGAGCAGCAATAAAAATACTACTGCTTCTGTTGTATAGTTACTCACACTCATTTCAAGAAGGCGGTGCAGGGGTAGGACACATTCTTTTTACCTTCTCAAGGATCAGAACTAACTGTACCACGAATTCTTACAAATCCACGGGAACTAGTGCCTTTCCAACGACGTATTCAGTTGGCTGTCCGTCTTATAGCTCAGAGTCGCCAGACATTCCAGCGCTGCCAGACATTCCAGCGCTGCATCGACAAATGGCGTCGATCAGACAAATAGTGCTGACATGTTTGGATGCAGCGACAATCTTGCCAGCTCAGCACATAGATGTGACGATTATTTTATGTTTATTTATTTATTTACAATACCTAATAGGCCCCAATGAAAAGGTTTTACATGAGGGGGTGGGCTATTACAATGGATTAAAGGGGTAGATGTTCGATCGCTGCTCTGAAGTAGCGCAGGCATGTGTGCAGTTACAGTTGCGAAGAAGATTAAAAATCGATCCCAGGCTTATGGCACCATAATAGCAAAAAAATTTAAAATTGCATTTCTGCTTTACACAGCGTAACAGACATGTCACTGATACACACAGCTCGTTCCACATTGACAGAATATACCTCCAAACCTTCACATGCCAAAGTGTTCTTGCTCCTTCAAAGTATGCGAACATTTGTAAGGTCTGACCTACACATGCAAGATCAAAAGCTCATGTTCCCTTGCCCTGTCATTCACGCAGCGTCAAATCAGGCCAATTTGAACTTTGACGCATGTAAGTGGAATTTCATAGACCCCACCCACAGCGCAAGGTACAAATGACATTGCAAGTCTTTTATCGCAAAAAGTCTGGTTTTGCGGTGCTGCAATGCAAGGCCAGCTTCCGTGGGGCTGAAAACACAATAGGTACCTTGTGCATATACGGCGTGACCAGTGCCCTGTTATCCACCGATGGCTTTGTTTTCAGCTTGCACTTCAGTTTCTGAAGGAGGGCCTCCACTACTGATCGATCCTATCCCCTTCTCTTTTTTTTTCTCGATCCTATCCCCTTCTTTTTTTGTCATCTAAGTGGGTGGCACCCTTCACCTTTCTTTAGCTTCAAGGCGTTTGCCACCGAGCTGATGTAACAGCAATGACGAATGTCAATGCCTCCTTTTTGAAATTTATCGCTACGCAGATGTGAAATCACTACGTACCCGCTCAAAAATGCCATGAACAACACACGTGCACATGCCCGACGATGTCCCCTGTCAGAAAGTGCGCTCGCGCCCTCACTTCGAAGCCGGGGCGGTTGGGAGCGCTCTAACTTAGAGTTTGATGCTCCGAAAGAGCCAACCGAAGGTAGTTCAAGTTCTAGCAACTAAACGTGCTGCCACTCTTCAGAGAGCTTGTGACCCCCCCCCCCCGAAATACGCCACAAGTTATAGTCAACTTTCTCAAAAGTTCTAGCAGGCTCAATGCTTTGTGTCATGAAGTCACAAGCAGCCTGTCGTCGAGTGTATATGTGAAACCGCCATTTACATAAAACAAACTTCTGCACCGAGAATGCCTTCTCCATGCTTGCATGTGTTACAGTCATATGAAAGTCCACATGAGTAAATACAAATATCTCTGACTGCCACTGTTTTTGTTTTTTGCACCATTGCAACGCTTTTTTTACTTGGAAATTCCTGCCTGGGATGCACGCTAGTACTGTTCTGAGATGTGCATTATTGCTCACGTTGCATGACCTCAGTTGTTCCGAATTGCTAAGTGCATACGTGAACTGATTAAAAATTTGTTTCACTTCAGAATGAAATAATAGACAATGTTCAATCACATTTTCATTCCGGCTAAAAATATAGTTTTGTGGTGGTGTTGCTCCTCCGCCCACTCGCAACACACTTCCCCCCTCGCTTCACCCTCTCCACCGTCCGCAACGCTCGACCGCACGTCAAGTGGAAACCCTCTCTCGGCTCGTTTATCTGCAATAAAACTTGCACGAAACCCAACCCGCCTCCCGTGTCTTTGCGTTTCAAAGAAAGGTTTACTCGAATGAAGGCTACACCAAATTTCGCTTCAAACAGTTCTTCTAGCACCTGTGTCGACGCCCGTTTCAACCGGGTCAACGGCATGTGCACTGCTGCTGCTTTGCATCCCATTATGGTTCCCTTCGAGGAAGTAGTCTCTAATTTTTTTGGTGTCTGGCAGCCGATATGGACGGAGTCTCCTGCAGTGGCCAGAAAGTTGGCAACTACAGGTCGTTTCTCGTGGATGCCTCAAGTCGATTCAAACGTTGGCGACGCTGTACTTGCAGTACCTTGTTGTTATTTTGCATGAGTGTTGTATTGAAATGTTGTATAAGGTTGTTCAGCATGTTGATCACTAATGACGTATTTGGTTCGGCTGCCGATATCATCGTCTGTAAAAGCAAGTGAATAAATTTACTTTTGTTATGATTGCCTGACCGCGCCTGCTGTGTCCATCCGCTCTGAGAGTGGGGTTGAGACCCCACACCACTAAAGTAAACAAAACCTAGGCTACCGCTCATATTCCGCCGGTTGTATGCGGCAGACCCATTGAAAATTGGATCACTTGGATCTGTGCCACCATAAGAAGGCTTAACGAACATTTGGATGATGTTATAAATCTATATATAATTGCATACACGATTTCAAGAATTTCGTTTACACCTTCCACACAACTTGCTTTATTACATTTCTATATTGAGTTGCCTTTATTAAAAAACCCTATTAATATACAGTAGACTCTCGGTAAATGGAACCTGAAGGGACCAGGAGTTACGTTTACTGAGAGGTGAACAAAGGTGCAGAATACAAGCCCGAAACCAAGCCTTGCAAAAGCAACAGTTCTGTTTAAGCAGTGGTTTCGTTTAACAGATTTCTGCAAAAAAATAGGGAACCGACTTTGAGGCTTCTTTATAATTTGCCAGCACCTTTGTCTAGAGCTCTCCTACTAATTTATGAGCGCCTTCATGAGGATCGCAAAACATGCACACCATGATTGTTGCTTTTTAAAGAAACTGTGTGTTTTCAGTTTTTTCCATTTTTCTCAAAAAAGTAAATTTGTGACTATTCAATTTTGAGGCCTCAATATCTCTGCAGCTTGGGCAGGTACAACAATAATTATCTTTGCAGTGGAAAGCTGTATGTGTGTAGAATGCAAGTATGGGAGCAGAATTTAGAGCACATGCCTTTTTAATTAATTACTAATCGGTATTGTAACACAATTCCAACTGCTTTTGAAAATGTATAGTTCATTTTGCTGCAAAATAACCAATAAAGGCCTAAAAACAAAAACCTCTTCCATACTTTCACTCTATAGTCATTAGTCTATGTTGGCATATCCTAAATATCACTTTTAATTAGGCACTTTTTCTTCTATGGTAACTGAGAGTCTACGGTACACCCAAACAAAACAACTACAATGACATCACAATGTGATTGACAGAGGGATACTATCAAAGATGCTTCTGGTAACCCAAAAATGCTCTGCACTCGAAGGCACACCGCGTGCCAGTGTGGAAAACAAAAGACTCACTTTTCTGCAAGGCTAGGAGCATGCTGGCTGATGGTTTGATACGCGTAGATAAGCAGCTCATCCACAGGCATGCCTTTGTTTGCAGAGAGGCCCGTGACGATGTTATGCAGGCAGTCATCACACTTTTTCACAGTCTTGTGACTCGACGTGGACAGCAGCACCTGCGGGAGCGTTGACAGATAGGAATGCACCAGAGACGAAGATGAAATAAAGTAGTATTAGAGTTCTCGTATAGCATGAGACTGTTGATTGCCATGTGTGGGAAGATGGCGCATCTGTTTTGTCACAGAAGCTGATCCAACACAGTAGCACTCTATCTTTGTCGCCAATCCAGTTTAGCATGATTTTGAGCGAGTGCATTTTAGTCCACCGAATGTCACTTTAGCGACGTGCTACTACACGAGAATAAAAAAAGTGCCTTTTGAAGAAAGATGTGACATCTGCAACTGTTTTGTTTATAAGTTTCTCAATTTTGTTAGCAGCAGGCTTTCTTATGCATTGTTCAGAAATAAACTTTGTTCCACTGACTTGACTAAAAATGTGGTGAAAACATTTTTTCAACATCGACTAGCTATTTTTTAGTACAAATCCAAAATCAGCGATAAAAAAATAGCCACTTTTTGGCCGGAAATTAAAAAAAAAGAGCAGCTAAGGGGTTAAAGCTTAAATTCGTGAAGATACTCTAGAAGAAACAATGGCCGCAGGAAACGTACCTCACAAAGGGCAGGGGTGAGCTGACGCAGGCTGTCCTTTGAGGCCACGGATGCGAGGATGTTGTAAATGGCAAAGCTCTTGGTTGCTTTGGCCTCCCTAACCTTGCTGCCGATCTGGGCCACTTCTTTCTCCTCTGCAATGTCTGAAAACAGCTCGGCCTGGCAGACCTGCGTGGCAAAGAAAACGGCGCAGCTTGCCGATTTCACCTACTTATAAAAGAATTAATACGACAGTCTTACGTGCCAAAAGCAGCCAGGCTTTTCTAACACGCACCTAAATCTCACATATTACGTGTTCTTGGGTGCGATACAAAGCTTTAGGAAAGGGAAAAAAGACAACCACCTGTTTGTAGCACAAAGTCACAAGAAAATCGGTACGGATTTTCTTGTGGCTTCATGCTAAGAACAGGTGGTTGTCTTCTTTCCCTTTCTTAACCCTTCCGTTATTTTGTGGGTTTCCGCAGAACTCATTTGCAATACAAAACTTTATGCGCTGATATTCAAGTGAACATCTAGGAAGAACCTCAGGTGGTCAAAGCTGATCCGAAGTTTCATGTCAGAGTGTGCATCAATGTCACACCATACTTTTTGACACACCAAGCCTTAGAAACTATACCATTACAGTAAAGCTTTGTTAGTAAGTACCTGCTGGGAATGATGGCATAACTACGTACTAAACGTACTACTCATTAACCACCAGCTACAAATTTGCATCTTCTGACATGTGCCATCATCTCCAAGAACGGAATAAATACAGCGCCACAGCAAATAGTACCAAAGTGCCCACCACAAAGCCATTTCTTTCTTAGTACCATTGTGCAAAAAAGATTCCGTCTCTCTTGCACAACCCTCCCATAGCACACAACGGGGATGCCAAGGAGTACTTCAAAGTTATCACGAGGTCCGTGATACGCAGTGTGGTATATAGCGACAGAACGAACTGAAATAAATGAGTTCCCCGGTTTACTCCCAAGCGAAAACTCAGTTATTTTTTTAAATGTGGTACAGTAGTAGCTGGAAAGCCAAATAATTGACTGGATAGTTACGTGCAGCGCTTCGTCTACTCGGCGCCTGCCGCTACTGTCGATCTGCTTGCAGCAGAATACGCTCACTCCACTTCAGACCATGCACAGATGCGGCAAGCAGACCGTTGGGTTAACGCATCGATGAGATTTCTGCAAGTGATGCACACTCTGCGATGCTCTAGCAGTCCTAGCAGCGGATGGAGGCAGCGCTACACTTGTACCGTGCAAATGTTATCGTCAATACAGCAAGGTCTCCCGGTGCCTGCGACCCGCAACGTTAAACTCTGCGACAGCCAGTTGCTTCGTTTCTACAAAGGGATGCGCAATTGAACACGGTTTCGCATGATAAAGCGGCAGCAATCCGAAGCCTGGCACATTTAGGAGGTCGCCCATTAAAAGCGTGCAGTAGGCTCAAAGTGGCGCTATGTCACACGTGTGCCGTAGCAGAAAGATTGGGACGCATACTGTGACAAGGCTTTTTGTCCACAATAAGTCAGACTGGTGCTCTTGTTCGGTGGTCGCCACCTTGCCTTCCTTTTTTTTTCCCAACGATTATCCGCGAAGGCATTATTGCAATTGCGCGGAAGTTGTAATAATTGATCGGCGGTCTCCACACTTATTAAAATGTCAGGACTCCGCTTGGGGCACATTGTGGTGTCTGCAAGATAAGTAGCACAGTAAAGTTCTCCAGCGCAAAATGTAGCGTAAAAGCCAGCATATAGCTCGGACCCACACATAGTCCGGGGTGTAATTTGGGGACAGCAAACACGAGAAAAAATGTTTTCACTTAAATATAGCCCGAGTAAAATGAAAAAATGCATTTATTGACACACTCCATTCATCACCGTCGTTGGATGCACTCTCTTCCAAAGCTCCCTTGTCGGAAATTTTCTCCCACAGCACATCATCCTCAGGGCCATCAAGCACTTTCGAGATCAATCACTTTTTGACATGCGGCAAACGAGAGCCTCAGAAATGCAGGCCCAAGCATCGACTATCCACGAGCACAGCATCACTGGCGAGGCCCATCTCAGCAGTCTTGGCAGAGGTCACTTCTGGTTCTCCGCACCTCATCCGCTCCGCGTAACCGCTTGACATGGTCCCTAAATGGCTTATTTGAGCACACATCAAGCGGCTGCAGCTGTGATGAATGGTGACGAGCTCGGTGCAACAGTCACGCAGCAATCGCTTCACTTAGTCGGTGAGGTGACACCGAAACCCGTTGAGCACAAGCATCGAAGTAAGCCCAAGCAGTGCTTTGGGCCGTCGACACCACACGAACATTATCCAGTCAAGCACTAGCAATTGATCCATCCACCCATTGTCCTGGCAGTGGACGACGACATTTTTGGAAACTTCTGCCCCTTCAGCAGTGTCTTTCAGTTTGAACACCACGTAGGATGGTAGCTTGCGACCAGTCTCAGTGCAGGACAACATTACAGTGACCCGTGTTTTTTCGTTCCCAGTTGATTGTATGATAACTTGCCTGGAGCTTTTGTGATGCACCAGTCAGTGCCGAGGGCATATTCAGGTAGACCGACATTTGATCCTTGTTGCCGATCTGGCCTAACTAAAAGGGGACAGCCTTTCGCAATGCAATTAAATACTGTTGAAACTTGCCAAGGTCTTCTTCACAGCTCTTTGGTAGCTTCTGCGAGATCAACGTACGCCGACGTATGGAGAACCCAGCACAGCGCATGAAGAGACACACCCAATGCTTGCTCGCTTTGAAATCCTTCGTCTGAATGCCTTTGTCTCGGGCGATCTCCCTTGCCTTCACTTGTAGCAGCTCGATATTAACAAAGAGATGTGTAGCTTGCTGCTCCCGCACAAAGTCTGCGAGTTCTCGTTCCACGTCAGAAACTGTTACATTTTTTTTGGTTCACGGAAACTTTTTCACTGGCCGCTACAAGCAAAAAGGGTGTCCTTATGCTTCCGCCTACAGCGAATGCTCCGCTCTTTGACTCAGAACTGCCGCTCCGCAGCATAGTTGCCAATGATTTCGGCAGCAGCGATAACTTTTCTTTTAAAAGCAGCAGAGTACTGCCTGCGCAGTGCTGGCATGGCTTAAAATCACAGGAGCGAAATCGTGGCCGTTGTTATGGGCGCCAAGTTGAAGCAAAGGCTACTGACCGCTGTTTATCGCGCGGGTCTGTAATACTAACGCTTGCTACCGCCGCTATCACTACCTAGCACAGAAGCGCGCAAACACCTGATGTTGCCGAAATCAAAACTGAATATTGGCCGAAAATTCTTGAGACACGCATGTGGTACGGGGCCGAAATATAGTACCCTAAAATAAAAAAAAGGCTATACGCAGGCTTTTACGGTAATGTTACCACTGTACACAGTTAGTACGCACTAACCAGTAGGAATAAGGTGAACATCTATGGCTTAGGTAATCTGCAGCTACAGCTTAATTAAGCAGTCCAACTACGTCTTAACCATTACTACACTTAATGTGGGTATGTACTAACGAAGTTTGACTGCATGCTGCAGATTACTCCTAAATTATTAGGTAATGCAGCATAAATGCCAGTTCAGTGTAAAACGATAAGCCACTTACCTCAATGATGTCCTCGAAACAGGCGTCCAAGTCACCAGTGACAAGTCCAGATGACATGGCGGAGAGAACGGCGTGCACCGTGTAGGTCAGTACGTGAATCTGAGCAGAAGAGTACCAAACACCAGAGAGTTGTAGCGTGCCTGGCATTCTGATATACACTCACACCTCGATATAATGAATTTGAATATAATAAATTATTGGTTAAAATGAAGTAAGTGACTACTATATTTACTCGCATAATCCTCACACCCCCAACATCGCCCAACAAAAATAATTTTTTTTTTTTTGCATCTCAGCCTCGGGCTGATGGCCCGAGGCTGAGGTCGTTCGCTAACCTTTTGCGTGCTCCCGTTGAGTGACGAATGCTACCGCTACGCCCACAACGCCCACAAGGTTTGCATACGGTATTCCAATTCCGTACTATTTGCTTGCAGCTTTTGTGTCTTGTGGAGATAGGTTTGCCGTTGGCTTACCCTATGAAGCGATGAAGAAGGGTGCGACGTAATCCACTGCCGTCATGCATAAAGACGCAACGGCCAGGTTCGTTGACTCTATGACACGGCACGGAGATGGCACTCGTGGCAGGTTGTCACCAAATACGGGTTTATTTACCCAAGATACAGCACAGTGCAACAATAACAGGCTTGCGGGCTGGCAGGGAACTCCGTAAGACCGACCAAGTGTACGCTTGCTGGCAGGCGCTAGGGCTAACACACAAAAGGCAGTAGCCGAGCCCGTGTACAAGAAGCCGCTTGCTAAAGCAACGCTAGCGTGTGTTAAAGGGGAGGCGCGCTGTCCAGGCATTTTTGGACACGCGTCTTTTGCAGGGAAGACCAACGCACGGCTCACACCAGATGAAAGGAGCCTGGCAGCGAAACCACGGTGGTTATGTTCCCGGCGCTCGAGCCGCACGCGTCAGCGCTCGTGTACGCGTGTACGCTAGGGAGCGAGATGCCAAAGGGGAGGGCGCGCTCGATTCCCACAGTCATGAATAAATTTTGCCTTGTGTTGAACCTGTGGTTTTATAGTTGAGGTAAGTCTTAATTAATACTTTTTGTGGGAATTGAGGCTAGCCCGCCGCCTTTGCGCGGGCTTTGCCGCCTTTTCTGCCGTTCTTATGTCCCGACATGCCTCCCCTCCTTTGCTGCCTGCCGCGCTGGGGGAGAGGAGTGACGTTTAACCCCCTCACCCGGTAGCAGATGTTGACTGTGGCGCCGCGCGCAGAGTCTCCCGAGAGGTTTTCGCGCACTGCGTCGGGAGCGGGAGATACTCTCCGGGACAGCAGACGATGAGCCATGCAATCGTTTACGTCCGTCGACTCCCGTCTCTCGGGGCTCGTCAGACTTCGCTGACTACGCCTCGCGCCTCGAGACAAACGCTCACCTTTTGTTGCCCCACTGCGTACGCTCGACCGAAAGGTGGTACGGTGTCCTAGTGCGTGGCCTAGCTACGCCGACCTGTCTCTTTCCGAAGCCAATGCGAGTGCCTTTGCCCTCGCTCGAGCAACCGGGCCTTGGTCCCGTTGTCTCCGTGGATCACCTTTACCACAGAGACATGCTCGTGGCACCCTGTGTAGAACTTTTATGCCCGTGGCGTGGATAAGCCCATTTGCTTTCTCGCCGCGCCTTTCCAACAAGCTGTACTGAGTTTGGTGTTGCCACAGACAATAAAGTGTTGTGACCTTGAGCAGTACTGTGTTCTCGCCATGGCGACGGTGAACACGTGCCCTGAGGCTCGCTAAGACCGGACCCATGCTAGTGGCCGTACTCCTTCGGGATGCGTGTCACTACATTCTCAAAGCTTGCAGTTAGTGGCTGGCGTGAGAATCCCGATTTGCAGCCACTTCGTTTTCTTTTCCGCTCTATACGTTTTCGTGAAAAATTTTTCCCCTGTAATTCTCACGCCCCCCCCGAACTTTTCATCGGTTTTCTGTGAAAAAAAGTGTGCGGCTTACACGAGTAATAACAGTAATAACTTTGTCATAGATACATTGCTACAAATGATCATTTATACTAAGTTTTCAGATATAATGAACTATTTTCATGGCAAATGTTTATAAAAATGAGGAGTGAGGGTATGCCTTGACAGAATACTAAAGGGTTGACAAACCCTGGCAGTTCTTTTCTAGCCTTTTTTTATGCACCATGGTTGAGTACCACAGAGAGTGCCTTAACAACCAGCCCCATCACATTTTTTTGTTTTCGCACTTAGAATACTTTACTTGCCCAAAGCCATATGCCACATTTGGTGAAATTACATTGGGGCTACGTTGTTAGAGGCTCGTCCATATGACTTTTTCTTGCTTCATGCGAAGCGTGGCTTCTTCAAAAGGATGAGCACATATGCTACCATATAATGTTATTCAGTTGTCATGATTGCCAAGTGACCCAGGTGTTACACTTGTTTGTCTGCAATGCACAAATCTTGATTGAATTGATTAAGAAATCATAGAATATGGCTCAAAGTTGCCAACTGTTCTGAACAAACAGTTCAAAGTAGGATGACAACACAATAGCTAAGGCCGGGATATTGTACCCATTCCATGAGCAAATATCTGTGCTGCGTGCCACTGGTGAATGCTTGCACCATCACCACAAATGAATGATGTACGCATGAGCTTCAACCAGTAGCACGCAGCAAAAATGTTCATTTGTTTAGTGAATGGGTACAAGATCCCTGCCCTGTAACGTGTCATCTTCGAGACACGGCAATTTATCGCAAAATTTTTCGGTGTAATGATGAACAGCTCGACAAGAATAATGTCACAGTGCTCACCTGGTATCCTCTCTTGAGCACTGCACGCATCTGGGAGAATAGGTACTTTAGGTAAGGGGCGCCCAGTGATGACATCACCTTCATCAGCGTGCCCCGAGCCGCTTCCCGGACATCACGAGAACGTGACTTGAGGAAGTCGCAGATCCTGAGGAAGATGCTGTAGGCAAAATGACAAGGGTGTTTCAACGAAGCTCGTCATCAAATGCAAGTCCCGAGGGTTTCACAGCCATGTACTGTATTTGCTCACGTAATCTTCACACTCGCACAATTCTCGCACCCCCCCCTTCCCATTACCCAACCAAAATACGATTTTTTCCCCCCCGAGTAAATATCGCACCCCAGAAAATTGAAGCAGTAATGTCGTCTGCTCTTTCCAACCACTGGTCATGATAGCACACGACAGCATGGCACCATCTCTTAAGCATCATGCATACTATGAACACACAGAGCCCCAATCAAATCCAAGCCAAGCCAAAATGGCAAGTGCACGTTGCAACGTCTTGGTATACATCGTGTCCATTCTGTGGCCATGCTACGGGGCAATATGGAAGCTACACGGCTGATTTAAAGTTGAAGAAGATTAATAATGCACTAAACAAACAGCAACAAAAATATGTGCACAAAATATGCGAGTAAATGAGGTATATAGTCAACAATAAATTTCCTTAATTTGTGACGAACTAGTTCACTCGTTAATTCATAGCCCATGATGTCATAAGTGGAACAATCATGTGCAGTTATGAAAGTGATGACATCACTGATTTCTTAACCAGGGTTACAAAAGACACATGGAACCTTTTGTATTTCCTAAAATGACTCGAAGACAAAAACCACTGCATTTTTCTTTCTGTACTAAGTCTCTTGTTTTGATTCCCCTGTTCTCCGAACACACTGTTGCCAAGATCAGAGGCATTGGAAGCTTGCGGCACCTTATTAGGATTTGCAGTGCCTCTGGGATTGGTGCACACTTGACCAAGCGAGGATGTCGTGTGATGACGTTGTCATTAGAAGTCACGAAATTCGGCGATTCGTGCTGTCATCACACGATCATTCTTCGCATCATTTCTGCTGATGCCAAATCCGGCATTCACGTACACACCCACAAACAGCCACGTAAAAAGAATGGTCGCTTACCCCGGCAAGTGCCTTTGGAGCATGCCATCAGGCAGTGCTTGGAGAAGCTTGACCATGGCCACAGCTATGGGGATTCGCAGGATCTCGTGTTCTTCTGGAAGGAGAACCTTTGCTGCTTTGTGCTCCTCGTCGGCCCGGGCCTGAAATGAAATGCTTTATTAGACGCACCTTTCATAAATTGTTAAGTCCAGATTTCTAGCAAGAGCACGTGTTGCCATCCAGGTAGAATTACTGCCAGTCACCATCTACCGATAATCATCATCATCTAGCTCCCAAGAACGAATCGCTGACCATTCTCAAAGTAAAATGAATAATCGCTTTTTGTTAACAGTAGACTCTCAGTAAATGGAAATCTGTTAAAAGTGTAGTGAGGAAGAGGAAGACTGTGAATTCATTGTGGTTCCTGCTGTGCATGAGATGTGCGTTTCTGTCAGAAACGAAACTGCCTCTAACATGATTGGTTTCATACTTGGGTGCTCACGCCTGTTCATATCTCAGTAAATGAAACTCCTGTTAAACAGAACATACTTTCCTGGTCCCTTCAAGTTCGGTTGAATGAGAGTCTACTGTACTTGTTAATTTCACCCCTTATGTAACACCCTCTCAATGAGGTCCATTAGGACAATTAAACTGAACTGAAAATGTGGCAGAATGTTGTATCAGATTAGACCAGATTAAATAGAAGTTTTAGGGCAAAATCACAAGCCATGAATCCCCCCTAAGCCGTTCAGGACTCACTGGCTTTGTGGTAAATCTCGCTAGGACATACCTTTTGGTTCAGGACTTTGTGTAGTCTTGGCAACAGCCGAGTGGCTATGGCTGTGTGAATGGCTGTGGCCGCATCTTCGCTGAGGGCCTTGTTCTTGTCATCAACCGACGTCTCTTCCGCGTTGCCTGTGTGATAAAGAAATAAATAAAAAGCAAAATATTGTACCTAAAGTTAAAGGCTACTCCACACATGAGAAGCAACTACCCTGAGCTACCTTTCCTACGAAGTCACCATGAGGCAAGCAAAATGTACACGCACCATTCACCTCAGGAACTTTGTTTTCATCAGAATTCTCGTCAAGGTTATCGTCAACATCTTCAGTCTGTTTCATGCCCGCCTCCATCTCCTCAGCCTCTCCCTGATCAGCCACAGCCTCGGCTTGCTCCTTATCCTGAGCCGGCTTGGCTGTTCCTGGCTTCTGTTGGATTCCCTTGGACTTGCTAAGGTTGAAATGGAACGCGTTCAGGATGGCCACCACCAACCTGTGAACGGAAAAGCGGGTACATTTGTGAGTCAAGATAGTGCTAGCCCATGCAAGATTAGGTTGTGGAAATCCACCTCTTATGCGTTTGTGCAGTGACTGCAGAGTGTGCAATGCAATAGAATCTGCAAAAGCACCTATGTTTCGTAAGTGCCACCATGATATGACTCAGTACAACTCACTTTATGTAAGCATACATTACTAATGAGTCTGGATTGCTTTAAAAGTCATTTTGCGTTATTCAATACATGCTTTTCAGATTTAGTATGCATATAGTACTGATATTATGAGATTGGTCATTAAATTCTTAGATCGCAAGCTTGACATCATTAAAAACTCTGAGAATGCATGAACAAAATGGCAGTGTTCCCAAAACTTTGATGCAGCCCTAACCTGCAGCATCACTCATTTCGGCTGGGTCGCATAAACTTGCACTGCCCACAGCATTTTCATACCTAGTAAACCTCCAGTGCATGTTTGGCACTTATTACTTGCTTTGCTTATCAATGGTTACCGTAGTTGGCTTATGGGGTTTAACATCTCAGGCTATGAGATATTGCATAGTGGAGGGTTCCAGAATTTTGGCTGCCTGAAGTTCCTTACGGTGTACTGACACCAGAAGGTACACGGCACTCTAGCTCTACTACTTTCTGCGTAGCCTCACCAAAATCATTAGACTGTCATCAGGTTCGTCTCATTCATTCTATACAGGCAACCTAAACTGGACACGTGACAAGGTTTACTGCACAGTGATCAATCACACATAGTTGATAAACGACCGTTTCAAGGAAGTCACCGACTGCTCGATCTTTTGTTAGTGTGACTCAGTCACGGTGCCAATCAGATGCATAAAAAAAAATTTTTTCTTACAGAACAGTGGGTTGACAGCACTGATTGTGGTGCACTTCAGTGTGGCGATCAGTAGATTGGAAACATGCATCAACATTAATTATGACAAGTGATTTCCTGGTGAGCAGCTGCAAACCGTTGTTGATGAAACTTTTTGGACATTCGGATGATTTGTTGCACTGACCGTATGGCCATCTTGTGGTGCTCCGGGTCCCGCTGCAGTTGCTGGATGTATCGAGACAGGTTTGCTTCGTAGTGACGCCACGGCAGTCTTGAACAGAGCGCGCTCACAGCCTCGATGGCTGCGTCAACGAGGGCCGTCTGCTTGGAGTACGCACTGTTGAACAGGTAACACGAGCACAGCGGAAAAAGCACGCCGGAGATGGCTGGCGGCGCCAGCGACGTCAGCTGACCTGCCCTCAGAGCAGCCGCCAGCCGGTTCAGGGCTCGTGCACGTCGGTGAAGCTGGGATGAAGGCACAGGCAAACAACAAATGTTTCTATTCAAAAATATTGCAGAAAATGACGTCCCGAGATCCTGCAACTATTAAATGGGGTTGCAAATTATTTGATTCATACAAGACATGGGGTAGCGCATGCCTCGCCTCTCCAACTCCATACAGCACAAGAAAAGCTGAGGCTCACAAACCGATTCCCTAAACCCGAAACGATATGGCAACAGGCTAGTTGAGAATCTTTATATATACCCAGGCAAACTTCAGCACTTCACTGTGTTCGCCTTCTGTTCCGTGTTAATTTTGCACATAATATATTTACCAACAAATGTTTTGACCGAAATTTATAACCAACTGTCATTAGTCAAGATTGAAAGACGAGCCACAAGTGTCATACAACGATTCAGGGAAAGAACAGAAGGCGAAGATGAAGCAGCTTAACGGGCTAGGTGTTTCTGCTTGAGGAACGGCCAATGCGAAATCCTCGGGGTACAAGTTAGGACAAGGAAACGAAATGTGCACCTCTGTTTTTACATCCGACGAGGGCCGTCCATATGTGTTTCAAGTGAAAAGAAAAGTGGTGAAGCTTGCATGCAATCTCTTACGTGGTGCTGTTTGGTCGACATGCCTTTTCAGTACTACATGCAGTCGATGAGACAATGCATAGGCAATGCATGCAAGTTTGAGACCAGCAGGAGCTGTACCTCTTGACAGCGAAATGCCGTCCTGTTTTTACGCTTAGAATGCACACAATACTCAAATATTTCGTACATATTCAGCGCTGTCCACAAGCGTTGCCCACCTTCTTTCACAAGTACCCTGCATCAGATTACTAAAGAATGCCATCAAAGAGCCCATAAGTCGCAGTTGCCTGTTTCCAAGCTGTCGCTGTGGTTCTAGGGCCCGGCCTGCCAGCTGATCTCGACGCAGGCCAGACGTCCAATGCACGAAATGTGCCACAGCCGGGTGCAGTGTGTGCCGATGTTTACAACGCCTGCATTGAACTTGGGTACAAGGCATCAAGATTCACCGACAGCTTTTGAAATTCGCTCAGTAACATGTAAGGCTCTTTATCGTGCAGACCAGCTGTAGCCTTGTCCCACGAAGGGCGGCTTCAGGGGTGCGACAATCATCACTTGCAGGATAACGTGATATCATGGGGCAAACGCTTTCACAACATTCTAGCTCACACGAAAATAGAGTACTTTTTGAGCAAAGCTTCTGTGAGTCGCAGATTCCAGTGACGGTAATGGCATAATTCATTTTAAATAATGTGGCGCCGGTGAGTGTAGAGAAATACGGGTGTGCAGAAGCAGGGCCCTGGAATGTGCACCAATCACACATGCAGTAGTGGTCCAGCCACTTTAGGATTTGGAGCAATTTTCAAAGCAGGAAAAAGTCCCGTTTGGTGGACCTTCGGAGCAGGAGGAAATGTGTTTTGGAGCAGGTTTGGAGCAGACAGTACAGTATTTAGGATAACTTGGAGCAGAACATGTCCAAATTTTTGGTGAGTGTTCAAATGAGTGTGCATACTAGAAATGCTGCAGCATTGTATATAAAAAAACAAGATCAACATCGAGATAGCAGCCATTAATCAAGGTCTTAGCACGAAAGATTGTCACACCCTGGCTTCACTGTACTGCACAAGATGTGCGTTGAAGTGAAGCATTAGGGACGAAGTAAGCAGACACATACGGTTTCTGCGAATGATAGGGGCCATAAGGTAATCCCAAAAAGAAAAAAAAAAAGCTCTAATTAGAAACTCAGCAGTCTATGTGAATAAAAGGACAAAGAAAACTAGGGTCGACTGAGAACACACAGTTCGAAATTACTTTCCTACACAATGCCTTCAATAATCGCCACAACTCACTGGAGATGACATTCCATCGTACTAAATAATTTTTACCCCCCTATTCACAAACACTCCTCGACTCGACTTTCAGCCTTCACTTGACAGAGTTGAGCACCGTGCCACCGCTCGGCTGAAGTTGCGTGCTGCACTACTCAAGAACGGCAGCAGATTATCACTGATATGCAGTGACTTGCCGTGCCTAGAGATGGCGCTCCCATCGGCTTTCTCAAGTAAAGGTGAAGCGTTGAGTGAAGTGACGTTCTAGAATATGGAGGTTAGAGTCGTGAGCACCACTTGGCATTCTCTCTTCACTTTGAAGGACTTTGGATAGGGCAATTACTTCCGGCTTTCTAAATATTCAGAAAAGGTCTAAAAAACTGGTACAGTGTGAATTGGTGTGAAGAAAGCGGGGTCAATGATCAAGCACAAAAGGGAGGGATGCTCTTCTTCAAGGAAACCTTGAAGAAGACACGTTTACCAGTTGCAACATTGGCTTCTGCAGCGACACCCGGTGTAGATGCATTTTTTATTTTAATATGCTGTCAATGCGTGATTAATGGGTGTAAGCCCCTGTCCTACTCACATAGTTGGGGAATAGTTAGAGAGTCCTGAGAACAGGCCACATGACAGAGGACAGTTGACTGGTTACGTGAAATGAGTGCTACCGTGGTTTTTTCTTTTTTTTTTTTTTTTGAGGGGAGGGAGGTCAAGACGGGGTGAGCAACCAAACACCCTTTTTCTTACAATCACCACCCCTTGCGTTAGATCTGCTGTTGACAAGTGTCAACAGCGGATCATGGCTAGTCCCTCGTGGTAGAAGGCGGTCATATATCAAGAAACAAGCAAACAAGCAAGCTTCTCCCACCATCCAGCTACTTCTAGCGTCGACATCCACGCTGAAATGTCTGGGACAATCTGAGGTAGCCGTTTTTATGAATCGTATTGTACTGTACTTTTCACTACTGTAACCGGTATTGTCGATGCTGACTGTTGCCAAGGAAGGAAATGCCGGATAAACGCCAGACAAACATCGACGAAAACGCTGTATGGTGTTCAGCCTTCGTGATGCCGCATCTTGTATGAACACTTGCGGAACAGCTCCGATGGAATGCTAATCGCGCTGAAGCAAGGTGGGCTCGCATACGTGCTCAGACACAGTAAGGACGTGTTGCTGCATGTGGGAGAAATGCTGCAGCTAAACGCACGTGCGATCGTGTTCAGTACATTTCGTATGGCTCCTAAATATCCTAACTTTACTCTGTATAACAATTCAATGTGTTGCTATTACAATCATTGATTCAGCCTTGTGCCAAAACTGTGACTTTTATTTTGTCCGCTGATGGCAACATTGGTTGTTCTAACCGCCTTTAGGGTGCGCGTGAGGGCACTAGTTCTTTATTATCGGCTGACCACATGGCTAAATGTCAACGGTGGGTTGTCGCCGAGTTACATCGGTTTCGCATTCAAAACGTGCGACAAGCGCTTGGACATATGCCAGCAGCAGCTGCACCACATCGTGCCAGACATGCTCTATAAGTGGGCATTTAGGCTTAGCTTTATGATAGGCATACTGAAAAACATTGCGCAGCGTGATTAAGAGGCATTTGGCATTTACTTTTTTTGCGAAATATCAAACTTTGCAAGGCCAAATCTTCATTTTCATGAAGACGCCGATTACAGTGTGCAATACAGTTGAAATAGATTCAGTAGAGGGCATTGGTGGCATTGTGGAAAAGCTTTAGTGGTGTTAAATGAGGCCAAAAATATTTTTCAGTCATAAATGGTCCCACGCCATGCAAAACATGTGAATTAGTGAACTTTGGCACAGTTGGCGCAAGCTTTACTTGAATGTGCAGGGTGCAGGGACATGAAATTGTAGCACAATGGCACAGTCGGACCAACACTCCACAAGTATTTGCATGTGCCATTGTCCAATAACTGACGCCCTCTCAATCATAAACTTGTTGGCAATCAGCCATTTCTGACACGGCCATCTGGTCTTTTATCAATGTTACTGAAACAACACGTCATTTTTTGTTGCCACATTCCATTGCTGCCTGAATACAAACACATGGTGTATCATTGTTGCGTGTAGCAACTCGAGCAATAATAATGATAACTGCAGGGGGTTTAATGTTCCAAAACCATGTTATGATTATGAGAGATGCCATAGTGAAAGGCATCGGAAATTTCGACCCCCTCATGTTTCTTTATTGTAAGCCTAAATCTAACGGCATATTCGGTTGGCCGCTCTGGTCCTCTGGCTCTGAGTCGCCAGATGCCGAGGCAGCTCGCAATCAGAGCGCAAGAAGCAGCATACCAACCGAATACATTGGTGATCTCAAAGCAGCGCACCTGTAGCGCCACCGAGCAGCCAGCGTGGGAAGCTGCCGACTAAACATTCCTGCGCCGCATCGACAAATGGCGCCAATAAGTTCAGTGGCCATTTCCAACATATCTGAATGCAGCTACAGCCTTCTGAGCTTAGCACATAAATTGGCGATCGTCGTAGTCCAAGATCGTATATTCAAGGCAAATCACGTGGCTCTCTACAAGCTGCTGTAACGACAGCTTAGTCTCGCTAGCCGCCGCCTCCTTTTTGACAGGGTGCATTCATGGTTTGATAGATGTCAACTCGCGACACATACGCTCAAAAACGCTGCTAACAACACACATGCACGAAATATTACGCGTCCAGCGATGTCCCCTTCCGAAATGCGCGCTCGCCCTGTTCTAGTTCACCTGCCAGCAGCCATGTAATTTGCGGACTTGTGTCGCGTGATCCGTCCTCCAAGTCGGATCGCACCATGATTTCACTTCGAAGTCGGAGGGATCGGGAGTGCTCCCAAGTCAGAGGCTGACGCTCCGAAAGAACCAACCAAAGATAGTCCGGCCATTCGAATTCTACCAACCGAATACGTCATAAGCACGCGGCCCTCAAGATTGTTGCACTGAAGTGTTGCACTACTAAGCTGTGGGTTCAACTACCAACTTGGAGGAAGGAAGCAGCTAGGAGGGAGCATCACACAATGGAATAGAAAGGAAGCAAGTGAGAAAAGTAGTTTAGACACCCAAACCGCATTGAAACAAAGTGGATCTTACACGAAAATAAGTTTGTTATATCCTAAAATTTGTTCTAAAGGTATGTTATAACCCCAT